TGACTGCGGTATCAGGAAGCAATACTATCGCCCTGGCGATCTGATTGAGCTTTGCAAGACTAAAGAGGCGGTTTGGGTGTGCCAATGCTGGAAAATTCACTGGCGGCCTGCCGAGATCAAATGCACTGACTGCGGGTCGTTTATTCCTCTTTCGACGCCAAGTAGGAGAAGAGGATGATTGCTTTTAGTGTCTGTGGTATGTTTCCCTTTTATACCTCTCTCAAATCATCAGAATGCTGACATTTATATCTCGACACAGGCTTAACCCTCAAAAGACTCATTGTTTTTCCTTGTCGATTCCGCCTTTTGCTCTTTAGAAGGATATACCTCGCTCGCATCTGGCTGCATGTTTTTCCAATGTCTGGGCTGGCAACTCTGCTTTTTGCGCATTTATTGTCACTCACATACTTTATACTAGGAGAAAGATGGGAGGCGGCAGCCTGTTTTTGCATTTGCGTATTTTTTTTCCACGTTGATAGCTACCTACACGGTTCTGTGTCAGATTTCCTACGCATTTTTACCACCTCGAACCACCTATCTCGTTCCGGGTGTATTGAGACGAACCAAACATCATGAAGCGTGGTTTATCACAGACTTTGTTCAGCCGCGGTGTAACGTGTAACAATCAAACATTTACGCCGCAGAGGCGCTTGTATGCTACAGTTTCCACTATTTCTTGGGTATTGTTCACCAAAGAAGAAGGTCGTAGTAGCCCAAGACATTTTGTTTCTGTTGGTTGTTGTCCTTGAAAGATTGTCAGCCGCAAGCGAGAGCCCTCGGCCTCGCGGTAAATCTTTTCAAATGAATCAAAGCGTGATGAACCAACAGCGCGCTTGAGACGGGGGCAACGATGCTTCACTTCCCAGGATAAGGAAGGTCTCTTCAGGCTTTGCAACAGTAGAGACCCTGACCTATCCGTACTATGTGGGCAGATCAACAGACATGGAATCACTTGCTGAAGATGGCACCTAGTCAGATCTCAGATTCTGTCATCCCGCGGGAGTTTTGAAAAAGTTGTTGGCTGGCTATTCACATTTTGCAGTAGCGTGTTTTAGAAGCAATCTTGATGGGTGTGGGTAGCAAACACGCACAACGTCGTCAGCCCTGAGGGTGTGGGTGGTGATGGAGGGTAGGCAAAGTCATGTAGGCAGGGTAGTAGACGCACACGATTCACACGACGCGGCATGTTGGTTCGGCGCTTAAAATGCTCGAGCATGGTGGTGGTGACTGTTGGGGGGAACTACATCAGCCGAGCCGGAACCAGGAATCGTGTGCACGCGCGCCGTTTTCTGCAATCTTCGCCTCATTTACCTGGTTCCCTTATGTCCGAAAATACCATACCTGAAAGCCGTTGCATTGGAGAGGCAGTTCTCGTTAGCGGTGGACATCGAAACAAAGGCTGAGTGAATCGGCTGATCATGGCCCCTGGGAGCCCTCAGACTTGGGGCTGGAAGGCGGCCATGGTGGCCTGGATGGTTCCCGAAGAAATCCTAGATGCTGTCAGTGTCGCCTTCGCGTTGAAATGGTAACCCTTCCACTATCGCCAGTCGGGTACTCGGTCAGAAAGGTGGTGGAGACGCGGGACGACCGTGATGGTTCAGTGGGATCGACCCTGCGCACACAGGGGTGATCAGGTCGTTGAAGCTGGGGAAGCCACTGGTGCCGCGGTGGTGTCTCCTGGCATGTGCGAACACTTAACACCGAAAGCACTGTGTGGTACAGAAGGGCATGGTGTTAGTCAGATGGGTGGCTAAAAAGGAGCAACAAGCTTGCATGAAACCATCTTGGAGGGTTGGGGTGGGACTGGCAGACGATGGTCAACGCTCTGCCCCTGTTGCCTTCCTGTCCGCTGAGTTTGCTGATCAGGCGCCACGACGCAGGGGGGTCCTTGTGAAGCTGTGGTGTCTACCCAAGCTGAAATGGGAAGGCAGACATGCGCCTGAAAGGTCGTACTCGAGGTGAGTTGTCCGTGGACCCCTGGTGCGGGCGAGTGTCAACTCACCGCCAGCCACACCGAGGACAAAAGAAGCAACGAGAGAACCAAGATGGTTTCGTGGAACGGGTTTTCTTGATCGATGTGCAACGCAGGGCAGCTCAACATGCAAACGTCATGTGTGGCACTTCCCTAGCCCCCATCAACGGTTGAATTGGCGGAAGGATTTAGCTCCCATCACCGTGCGCGACCCATCTGATCGGATGACAAGACGCCAGAGTCTCTCCAACAGGATATGGTCTGTCAGTGGTACACGTCCTCCGTCTGAAAATGCCAGCTTTCGACTTCGTGTCAAACCAGTCTCATATGCCACCTCCCTCTCCCATGAAAAGCGAGGGGAGAGTGGTGGCGCTAGGAACCAACAGCAGAGCTATGAACAGGGCTCAGCGACTGTACCAGTCTGTCGGGACAGGGGGATGAAGGTAATTGGTTGTGGAAAGCCAACTTTGACTTGTCATATCAGCGCGCACCCCTCGAGCATTTTTTTTGGGGGGGGGGGGGAGATGATGTTTGAAAACGCATCAGAACAGGGCCGGAAATCCTAACGTCTGCCACCACGGTGAGCTTCCGTTCCGTCTAGATGATCTGCCGAGAAGGTTGGGGGTCCACAACCTTGCGCAGAATTGCTCTTAAAAATGGGATTGACGTGGGTGGTGGCGTTTAGATCAGAGCCAAGTGCGAGCTAGTGAGGTAGATGCAGGTTTGCCTCGGGGTGAGGGAGTGCATGGCGTTGCTGGCAGCAATACGACGACGTCTGCGGTCTCGACCGAGAGAAAGACCGCAGAATGGCGCGATGGGCGAACGGAGGCTGGTGTTTGGGACCCCAGGAAGATAGCTTGTCGCTTGCAGCGCAGATAACATGATTTGCTCTCTCTGCGAGTCAAAGCTGCAAGGTCCACTTGTACCAAACAGTGCTGTTGCATGGCGGTATTCTTCCAGCTCCGATATGCAATAATCGATGACAGACCTGGCTGGGCATCATGCTTGGCTCGAGGAACCAATGTTACGAATAATTATGAGAAAGCTATAGTATATCTGTCAGAATATGATTGTACAGCGATAAAGTGAGTCTAGGGATCCCAGTTCGGAAAGATAATGCTTATGGACAGAACCGCTCTGCATACGTAGACCGCCTATTGCGAGATGGAGTGGACTGAGAAACAATGTGTTGTCCATCCAGGTTGTTGTGTCAGAAGAGCCGTCTTTTCAGTTGCTCGTTGGTGGTAGAGCAGCGGGTAGAACTGCGAGAGTAGCGTGGGTTGGTTGCATAACCGCCACGGCTCCTCGTTGAGACTCTGAGGTCTTTGTCATCCGAGCGGCTGTGTGTAAGGCAGAAGTGAAACGGAAAGATGGAATCGGTGGTGTTTGGTCTTGGATAAAGGGCATTGTGCTGCCAACAAAGCTTCTTACCTTAGCTTGGGCTGTGTGGATGAAACTGTTGTGGGGTGTGGGTCAAAGTGCTCTGCGCCTTCGCTCTTGCCTCACTCACATCTCAGCGCTCCGACTGCCTCGAATTGTTTCTCCTCATGACACTCAATCAACTGAAATCCTGAAATATCTCATCTAACCATGGATAGTTCAACGAGTCTATGGAATAAAGATTCAAAAACGCTATCATTTCAAAAAAAAAAAAAACCATCGACACCCCTCATCTATACCGTCTGATCATGCTCAACGGCCCTTAGATTGCCTGTTCTCCCCAGCCAGTCTGAATGTACCACCCCGCAACAATATCTTTTGTACAGGCTCCTGGTGGGTAACAAATGAAGGGTGTCAACCTTCGCTTGCCGTTATCGATGTGCAACTCCACCTCCCCGGAGAGGCTTTTCCGTGGTTCAACGGGTGATCAACCATACTCACCTACCACTCAAACACACCAGTCACAATCTAAACACATCCCACACCCTCTCGGCAGCTGCTCAACAAGATGAGACAGAAGAAATCGGCTGCTCGGCACCCATCGACCTGTCAGGGGTCAGACATGGCCAAATATCGTGGCATTGCGCCTCGGACAGCCACGGAAATCACCGCAGTTAGCCGCCGGCGAGGTCGAGCAAAGAATGAGCCGGTCACCATCAACACTAGCGCCACATCCGCAACGGTGTCAGACGCACTGTGCCCTGTCAATCAATTGAGGGAAGACTCCGAGTCCTGTTGCACCTCTATGCCCTCTGGTGTATCTCACGATCTCGCGGTCTCCCAGCTCAGTTTCATTCTTCCATTCTCAAGTAACCCAGTAGCAAGGATTCCCCGAAACCAAAAGCCTGCAAAGTGCCTTATCACTAACGACGCCGGTGAGAGGCGACATCCCCATCTCCGCTGCGGAGTACCAGACTATCCAAACCATAACGCCACTTCGAACCGTCCAAAGCAGTATGAGCCGAAGAAGATAGATACCTTGTCCCTGTAGAGTCCAGACAGTTCGAGATCTCCTCAAAGTACCACCATGTCACGTTGACCTGAAAGTACTTTCACACTCTTCCCCCTGAACAATCTTGATTTCTTCCAGCCGAATGCAACTCGGTGATCGCAAAACATGCGCACACACAGTTGTCATCATCATGCCCCATATCTTGTTGAAAAGCCACGCTACGAGCAGCCCAATCAACGAGCGCCGGAACGGATGCCCGGCTCATTCCGCCCACGAGACATAACCGGCTGCTGAAGAGAGATGCCCAGCTCACGAGTGTAGTACTCTTACATGAGCCCCCTCAGACTGATTAGAACCACTTTGAGCTACATGTATCTCATTCTCTGTAAATAGTGTTGTGAAAATGTATGTATCCCTGATAATCAAAGTCTGTTGGTCCGTGCGCACTGTTTACATCGTGAAGAACCACCCCTTTTGCCCCTTTTCGTTTCCACAGCAGGCTCAGCAGTATCCACTTTCAACCACCCATCACAAATCCAACATCAACACCGCAACAGCAATACAACCATCAGCAATCTTCAAGGAGCGATCTGTTTGATTCAAATTTGTCTAGTCATCAATCTTCAATCTCAAAATCTACTTCTTCTCTCCCTCTACGCTCACCTCCTCAGCCCACTCCCCATGCTCCACAGTCCTAAACCCCCACCCGCCATCCTCCGCACTCCTGTACATCGCCACATTCTCCCCCGCAACCCTCTTCTCCAACCCGCCTGGAATCTCCAACCCAGCCCTGCCTCGTTCATACAACCCCTCATCCACCCTGCAAAACAACAGCGGCAGCACCTCTCCCTTCCACGCCCTGACTCCAGCCATCGAGCACGCCAGAACGGTGTGAAACAAAAAGTAGATGCTCAGTAGTATCATAAAGGCAGGGTACATCAGCCAGTACCACCTCACCTTCACCACTGGCGTCATCTGCGTGGCGTCTCCATCGTATCGTTTCTTCGTCGTCTGTGTCACCGCTCCATGAAGCCGGAATTCGTTCGTCAGGCTGGCGGCAAAGGTGTTGATCCACTGATTTAAATCGCCCGTGGTGGCGTTCCACATGGCTTCTACCCAGTCTGATGACGAATCAAGCGTGTTGAGGGTCGTGGTGACTGTGCCCATCGTGATGGACGACATGAAGTTACGCAGGGCGAGCATGGCCTCGCGCGTGACGACGTATTTTGTGGCATTGTCTGTGTTGAGACTGGGAGGAATGTTGATAAAGACGTGCTCTGACCCATGGGCGGCACTGGTCATTGTCAACGAGGTAAGGGAGTGGTTGGCAACGCGGGTTTGGTTCTGCTTGCCGTCCTCTACCCAGATCTTGAGGCCCTCTACGCAGAACCACAGAGCGCATTCTGAACCAGCCAGAAGCAACCCAGTCTCTTCTGTTTGTGTTACAGAGAGAAAGTCAAACACCGAGTAGTAAGCCCGGGAAGTCGAGGAGATCTTGTGGACGGTCCCGTTGGTTGGTGCGACCTTGAATATGCTTCGTTCCCCCGGGTCCATCGAATTTACGATTGACGTCCCAGAGCCAGTTGTGTAGGTGCAAGTATTGGCTGTTTTGTTGCACTTGGTATATATCTCGGCATTGACACAGTCGCCACAGCTGGCTAGTGTAGGTATGATAGGCCACGAGCAATTGGCAGTCCCGCAGGATACTGGAATCATGGGAATCTGACCTTGATACTTAGTTATCTGGTCGACCCTACCAAGTTGAAGACTCACCTCTGTGGAGATAATTCCGGCATAGACAGCCGCTTTTGTCGATAAAGACAGAGACGTATCTATAGTTTTTGTAAGCCGGCAAACTTCTCTGGAGCAGATGAACATGCTTACCACCAATGAACCCTCGGTGTAGATAAGTGTCCTAAACCTCTGACCTAGCCGGTGCTGGTGCCGGACTCAACGTTCCATTGTCTAGATGCCTCGGCTGCTGTTCAAAGCTGACCATTTCCTGACTGAAGGTCTCAAACCCAACCCCAAGAATGGCAATGGCTGCTCCAACGCATCCAAGGTGCCTATATCCCCATGTCAGCACCGCAAGCAATTCCGTCACACCGGGCCTACAAACCTCCCCTTCAACCTCCAAATCAGCTTTATTGCCCCCCTTAACCCCCTACTCGCAGCATCAAACTTCCCAAAATCCTCCAACTTTGCTCCGCACCTTCCATCCTCCCCACCCTTCCTCCTCATCTGCGCACTCTCACTCACCCACAACCACGCCCCCTGGCTGATGGCTGACCCAACATACGCATCCATACACAATCTCATCGCCGTCACCAACGCAACAACCCCCGTCTCAAAGCTTATACCGGACCACCCAAATTCCTGCGGCAAAACCTGCCCATCATACGTCCTCAAGAACCCGGCCAGCCCCACCACAGCAACCACACTCAACCCAGCATAAACATACTCCTCCTTCCACCAACTAAACGAGCTGTAATACTTCCTCCTCCTCCTCCTCCCCCCTTCCCCCCTGCCAGGCGAGTTACTCTCCTCCATCACAAACCCCTCCCCTCCCCCCAACTCCACATTCTCAAACCTATCATCCTCCTCATAACGCCACTCCTCTTGTTCCCCACCCGGCCCAGTCATGACAATCGCCGGCCTCGGCGTCCGACTCCGATGATGATGCCCCGTCCTCGAAGGCGTAAACCTCTCCCCAATAACATGATCGTACAATCTCTGCGTATAAGTCGAAGCACCATCATCCTGCTCCCTCCTCCCACCACCCCCATGCTGCCCATCACCACCACCATCACTCATCGCCCTCTCCGACGGCGCAGAAGGCGGCTCAGCCTTGTGTGACCACGCCCCAGACGAGGAATTCTCCCCTTCTTTCCGTCTATTCGACACAGAATGATATCTCTCCCTTCTCGGGTTCGGCGGCCGGACAATGGTCGATGATTCGTCATCTCGTTCGGTATTCCACGGGTTCCGCTGGGGATTAGGCTCGGAATGAGGGGATTCGTTGCCAGAGTCCGTTACTGGTCGTTTCTTGGACCGGGTCCGGGGGGATATGTTGCCCGAGTCCGTTATTAGTCGTTTCTTGGACCGGAGGGATATGTTGTCGGGATCCATTATTGGTCGTTTCTTCTTCTTCTTCTTCTTCCCCCTGGTGATGGAGGAAGTGGGGGAGAAAAAATGAGCGCTCCTTGCGTCAGGTCGGAGGAAGGTGACGAGGGGGAGGAGTGATATCGTGGCGGTTCGCTCGGAGAAAAAAGGAATGTGTGTTAGGGTAAAATAATCATTGAGAAAAAAAGGAAAGCGTGTACCTATCTCAGAGGTAATGATGGGAGAGAATGACAGGTAGGAAGGATATAAGGAATAAAAACGCGGAAATAGAGGCCAGCGAGTGGCAGCGTGAGTCAAGATGAGAGAGGAGGGACAAGAGGGGTCCCGACAGCATGGGCTTTGAGAACTGGAGTGGCATGGAACAGGTAACAAGCGGGCACTGGCCTCCTAGAGACATATAAGGAAGGAGCACGTTATAGGAGAACTTGGGAAACCGCGACTGAGCGCTTGCCACATCATTCCTTCATGACCCACCAGCAAGACCATCAATTTCACTTGGGTGTAAAGTTGGAAAAAAGAAGGAAAAAAAGAAGGAAAAGTAAATGAAAAAAAGACAAAAAACCCATTTCCCGTTGTACAGAAAAAAAAAAGAAGAAAAAAAGAAAAAGGCTCAGGAGAGTTCTTCATACCCTGCTCCGGAACGGAGCACAGAAAAGAACATTTAAACAAAGAGAGAACCTCTACGGAGCCCCCTATTTGTCTGACCAGCGCCCCCTTCTATACCTATTAACTTGTCCTGCCTATAATATAATAAAAGACCTTTCAAGAAATTTACCAGCCTTTAAACTATCTTTGAAGGCTTTTTAATTATCTTTAAAGGCCTTTTAATTATTTTCAAGGCTTATTAAATCCTCTTTACGCTTAGTAATTATCCTTCACAACACAAGGTAGTTAAATTATATACAAAGTGGGGGAAGGGGGGGGTGGGGCCGGCGTTGGTTGGATACATAGGGGGCTCCGTAAAGGTTCTCTCTAAACAAAAACAACAATCTGCCAAATCAGCATCAAGGAAGACATAACACCGACACAATATCGCATCAATTTCACTTAATTCATAATGCGCTTTTATTTTCCGCTATGCCTCAATAACCAACGCCATCGTACAATGCTCACTGACTCCTCATCTCGTAGCCATTATTCGCGCCAGTGGTCAGTCAACTCCACGCGGCCGGCCCCAACCAGTTTGCCATGGCGATATGAAAATGGAGGGGGTCATAAAAACACCACTGCTAGTGATACGGGATGCAAAAGTCGATCCAGGTAGCCAGATAGTCAAGCCGGCTACCGTTGGCTTCCTCCTCCTTGTAGATACTCTCAAATTCCTCGAAGCTGAGCCTGCCCCATCCACCGCGATCGCTTGCCTCCTTCTCAGCCAGATCCAGTCGTTTCCACTCCACCAACTGTTCATAGGATGGCGGAGACACCGATCCATTCTTCTTGCTGGCCTTCTTCTTGGATTTTTCCGCCTTCACCGCGGTTCTGTCGACCGGGGTAGGGTCCTCGTCAGAGGGTGTCTCGACGGCGGGTTCGGATTCAGAATCGCCATTGGGTCTAAATTGCGGCATGGTTGGATCGCGATGAGAAGCCGCCTCTGATGATAATGCTGATATTTCCGCAGGCTCCTCAGATGGCAGAACAGGCAACTCGTCCGGCACAATCTCAGAGGCTGAACCCACCAGAGTGGTTCCATCCCCCTCGCTCTGGTCAACGCTGTACCCGCTAGCAGCAAGAAGCTCTTCCAAGGACAGCTCAGCAGGCTTACACTTCTTGGTAACTTTCTGCTTGTTCCTGTCGACCTCTTTGAGATTGATGGATGTAAAGGACGGTCTCCATTTGTCGCGCGCCTCCTTGGTTTCCGCCGCCTTTATCGCAAGGTCCTCCTTGCGTTTGAAGAGGGTATCGAGTATTTCGTTGAACGCCTGCTGAATGACTTGGTAAAAGATTTCCTTGCCCACGTCTCTTTCGGCATCAGGGATTTCCATTCCGCCCCATCTTTCTGGTATACTCCGTGAAGAATTGGAGATGTTGGATCTCGCATCAGTATCGTAGCCATGGTCATACTCATCATCATCATCAGCGAATCGCACTTTAGATGAAGATCGTGACCGCGAGAAAGGAGGCTGTTGAGGAGCCTTTGAGCTTTCTATTGACGAATTCGCCAGTGCCAAGACGTCAAGGCTTTCAGGCCAGCCGTCAGGAGCCATAGCACCTTCCTCTTCATCCAAGTAAAACTGCCGCTTCTTCCAACGATCAAATAGCTTTTTTCGTGCTTCAACCCTTACACGCCGGTTAGAGGTGGCAATATAGGGAACGCGAGTGGAGTGACGGTCCCCGGCGCGTCCTTCGCCCTCCCTGGAGTTATCACTGGCCTCCTCACCGGGTGGGGAAGCGCCATTCTCGACTCGGTGAGGTGTTTGCTCGCTGGCCCCGCCGTCTTGACCATCACCATTTGTCATGTGAGCTTGTGGGCCGTTCATAACAAGCATCAACTGGTCACCGCGCGGCGACTCCCCCACTATAATAGTCGGTAGCTCGCTGGTCCGGGTTGGTGGGTTCAAGAGAGCGTTCAGGTATTCGATGCCGCTTTCTCTGTTCGCCGATGGCCTACTATCAGCCAGAACAAACAGGCTTTCCTGGGTCTGGGTTTGCTTTGCGAACAAGTCATTCAAAACTGACTGTCGGTCGGAAACATCAGGTGAATCCGTTGCCACAGCCCGGGGGTTTCCGTCCGCAATGTGAACTTCGCCCAGGCTTTCGTTGACAACCTTTCCTTCCAAGGGGCGATCGGTTTCGGGCGGCTGGAAAATGCCTTCGCGGCCAAAAAGACTGCTCAACGGTGCTCTGCTTGTTCCTAGCTGTTGGACCTCAGTCGAACTCATGACCTGATCGTCCAGCCCTTCCAGAATGTCCCTGTGCATCTGCTTGAAGAGCACGTAATAAGCGCGGAACAAGCGTAGGAAGTCTCGGCGGCTCACGAAACCGTCGTTATCCACATCGTATCCGTCAAAGATCTTCCTGAGCCTGTTTTTTCTTTTCCTGTAGGATGTGCCGCGGAGAAATTCAGAGAAGCCGATGAGGTCGTCATTATTGTCGTCATAGAAGGCAAACATCCGGTCGTGTAGCAAATTCGGAATAGGCTGTCTGTCTCCTGAGGGTACGAGATATCGCTCAAAGGTCTTGCGGTCCATAGCCAAGCACAGCTCATCCGGATCCTCCTTCCATTCCGTGTTGGCCATGAACGTCCATTGTTCCCAGAGAGCTTCCAACTCTGGGCGTTCGAACCCGGTTTCCTTGGACAGCTTGGCCATCAATCTCTTAGGAAGCAGTCTCAGGCAGTTCTCGGGGTCTCCAGGGTACCACACGGGTTGAAGCTGGCGAGGACCGAGGCGCGGGGCCGGGATCCTGATCTTGTAGAAGATGTGCGTCTTGGTGTGAAGGCCTTGGGATTCGCATGTCTCGCAGAGGTCGAAATCGGCACAGTTGGCGCAGCGGTAGCGGATGCCACGAATCGGGACAATGCCGCACCCGTTGCACTGGCAGCCTCGGTGAACATAGGCGCTGCGCCGGGCGTTGTCCTCGGAGACTCGAAATAGCAAGCTCACGATATTTTGACCGGCTCGTGCCTGGGGACCATATTGATTTTGATCGTCATCATACCAGTTATCATCGAGCTCCTGGGCATCGTCGGCGACCGTCTCGCCATCGGCCAAGGGTCGAACTGTGGTGTCGATATCAGCGTTCTCGTCGGCATGGGATTCAGCCGACGTGTAGGACGCCTCGGATTGGGCGCGACCTGGCGGTTCAGCGGCTACGGGGGTGCTCACAGAACGTCTGCGATGTCGAACGGCGTTGCTCCTGTGCAGTCGACCACTCGGTTCGGGTTGTGGGTTGTATAACCGGTAGCAGTATAAGCCGACTGTTGCTGTAGCCGCGAGCGAGAATAAGGCCACACTAATGCGTTGCCTCGTCAGCGTGGATGCTGCGACAGATGAATCCATGATGTCGGACGTTGCATCCTGTTAGCTCTGGGGTTGCAATATTTCCTGCTGTTGAAACTGTCGCGGTTGTAGATGATGGTTTGTTGAAGCTGGGTAGATAGCAGTTGAAGGTCAGGGCAGCAGCAGACAGCTTCAGCTCCAGTTGCGCAACAGTGTGGGTCGCGCCAAGACTTTCAGTTATCGCTCTAGCTTCGAAATGATTTAAAATTCGTTGACCTCAACATCTATATATAATCTGTTACACGCCACCTAACGACATAGACGGGTTCTATCACTGTTTTGATTTATCTACAGGAAAGTATAACCACTGGTACCATCTCCAAATGTGTCATTTGCGGAGAAGGCTCCTGTTTGAGTCTGGAAATACCACTTAGATATGACTCGATTAGGTTAGTCACTATAATGCGACCGCTTTTCGGGCGGCCGTTACTTGGCATGGCCTGTGTCCACCTTACCCAAGCTCTCGGCGACGTTCCCTAATAACGAATGCTTCTTCATGGCTGACACGGCAGCAAGTTTCTGGCTCTCAAAACGTCTCCTCTTCCAGCAAGGCATCTTTACAGCCGGTGCGGCCTGGATGCCACCATGAATATAACCGTCGCGGATTCTCTGTCTCTAGACTCAGGTAATTGCCCATTCTATTCGCCACTAGCTTGAGCATGCAGGGAACACATGGTCACTGACGTTGGACTGGGCTGGCAACTCATCAGTGGACTACGATCCGATCGCACATCTCAACCTCCTATTCTCCCACCCGTCCACTGTATCGTCGGTCTCGAGCGTATCCGCGACGATTCAGAAACACAAAGATGAACTCTCCAAGTCCATTACTTCGCTGGAAACGGCGCAAGCCTACGGCCCCGACTCCTCGCTAGAAAGAATGCAGTCGGCTCAGGCCGAACTGGCCTCTCTATTCCAGCGCATTGAAAGTGTGCGAAGCAGAGCTCTACAGACCGAACGCGACATCACCACCATGACGGCCGACATTAAGCGTTTGGATGGCACCAAGCGCAACCTAACCCTCAGCATGACTGCCCTCAAGCGGCTCCAGATGTTGACCACCGCCTACGAACAACTTCGAGGATTGGCTCGGACCCGCCAGTACCGCGAGTGTGCTGGCCTTTTGCAAGCTGTTTTGCAGCTCATGCGCCACTTCAATAGCTACCGGAGCATTGAACAAATCGCCGTGCTAAGCCGAAACGTCAGCGAGCTGCAGCGGGAGCTCTTGGAGCAAGTCTGCGAGGATTTCGAGATAGCATTCGCGAAGGGAGAGGTCGGTGCCCGTCGCGCGGTTCTGGTAGAGGCCTGTCTCGTTATGGATGCGTTGGGCGATCATGCGAAGACTCGACTGGTGACTTGGTATGTCAATACAGAGCTACGCGAGTACCGTCAGGTCTTTAGAGGCAACGATGAAGCCGGGAGCTTGGACAACATTGGGCGACGCTATGCATGGTTCAAACGCACCCTAAAGACGCACGAGGAAGAGCACGCTGTGATCTTCCCGCCCCATTGGCGCGTCAATGAGACGCTAGCCATGTCCTTTTGCGACGGGACCAGGGAGGACTTCAAAGGCATTTTGGAAAAGAGCATGCGGAGACCCGACGGTCCCAAACTCGACGTGAACCTGCTACTTAGCTGCCTGCAGGAAACCATGGACTTCGAGCAAGGCCTTGAAAGGCGCTTTGCGAACGAGCCAAGGGCTAGCATTGATACGCTCAGTTCCGCAGACGACAGGGCACAGAATTTCAACGGGTCAATATCTGCGGCATTCGAGCCCTACCTGAGTTTGTGGGTCGAGTCGCAGGACAGAGCATTGGCAAGCATGATACCAAAGTACAAACAACAGCCCCTCATTCCGGCTGATGAGGAGTTTTCGCCTCAGGCGGTGATACCATCAGCCATTGAATTATTCCACTTTTACAAGGTCACCCTATCCCAGTGCGCCAAGCTATCCACTGGTGAGCGGCTGCTCGACCTGACGAAGACGTTAGCAAAGTACTTGGACGAATATGCTCAGCAAGTTCTCCTTGGCTTCCTCCAACGTGGTGGAACTCAAGGGCCACCTATCGAGGACATCATACTTGTACTTAACACCGCGGACTTCTGGCATACCAACACTGATCAGCTGGAGGAATTTATCAAGAAGCGCATTGACCCGGATATGACATCTCGAGTGGACCTCTCTGACCAGTCAGATGCCTTCATGGGGGCTGCTGGCGCTTCCGTCCTGGCTTTGGTCGCCAAGGTTGAGTTAGAATGCGAGTCCGCTTGGCGCGAGATGAGGAACACCAACTGGTCACGCATGGAAAGTGTCTCGGATCACAGCTCCTATGTGAGCGAGCTCCTGAAACATGTCAACAGCAAGGCCGAGGAGATATTGCCGCTTGTTGTGAAGCAACAATATGCTCGCACGTTCTGTGACAATCTCGTCGACCATCTTGCCAACGCCTACATCACCAATGTGGTCCAGTGCAAGCCTGTTTGCGAAACTGGCGCCGAGCAGATGCTTTTGGACAAGTATGTCCTGACAAAGTCGTTGGAGAATCTCATGTCCTTCCACACGGCATCCTCCTCGACTCAACCGCCCGCTTCATTCGTAAAGCATGTCAACACATCCATGACCCGCATGGATCCGTTGCTTAAAACCCTACAAGTTCGCCCTTCACCACCAGAGGGTCTCGTTCAGGCCTATCTTATACACATCGCTGACCGGTCCGATACCAACTTCCGCAAGATTCTGGAGCTCAAGGGTGTGCGGAGAGCAGACCAGGCACATCTCCTTGAGCTGTTCGCCATCCATCGGGAAGGTCCTGCAGCGGCGGGAGGCAAGCTTGTCCAGAGCTCTCCTCTTTTAACACCACTTCTCAACTCTACCCCTGGTGGACTGGGAAGTACTACCGCAGCAGGTGGCAGTGGTCTTGCCGCGGGGTTGGCCGCAGGTGGTCTGCAAACTCGTTTCGATGCCGCGTCTCTTGGTGAAAGGCTGTTGACTGCAGCCAGAGATAGTGCAGAAAGAGCCGGTGTGGGGGCGGCAACAGGTGAAGGTGTCACTATGAATGAAAATTTGAGGAATATCGGAAACTTCTTCAGAAGGGATATTGGCGGTTTAGGGGCACGGTTTGGGAGAAGAGATATCACTCCTACACATAGCAGCAGGCCTGACGTATAGGGGTGAGGATAGGAAAAGTGGTTATCAAAATATTTGGGTAGTAAAAGCGATATTGATAGATTTATGTGCTTGAATGGCTATATATCATGGAATGCAAAGCGTGGTAACCAACGACAATGATTGTGAACTGCTTCGAGTGAATGAATCCAGGGGGCATGCAAGGGTTAGGGTTCCTACCGGACACAACTCATCAAGTGCGGTGTCTTTCATCCCCTCAACCCTATCCCCATTCATCGGTTGACTTGAACTTCAGAGTTCTTTCACCCAGTCTACGGCACGTAAGGAATTGGTCTCATATTTCACCACTTAGACTCATCAAAATCATATCTTTTTGAGTTTTGCGCAGTCACGAGCAGCCAACACTCAACTTCTTCAAATCATAACTCGGGTGGGAATTGCGGGGCTTCCAGACGACACCCATTGAAACACCATGATTCAGGGTATTTTCTATGCCCGCTTCCTTCCCCAAGAAGGTATTTCTCGATATCCTCCAGCTTAGAAAAAACAGAGATTGACAAATTCAAATAGGCACAAAGATTGTGGCTCAGTCACCGCCCGGCTGCATTGTTCCAGTCACAACCCCGGGTCCAAATACGGCTCCTGTTCCCTCGCAAACAATCAGCAACCTCAATGCTAGCATCACATCTTCCTCAACGACGCCTGGCACCTCAACAACCACACCCGCCATAAAATCTCCATTATTTGACTTTGCAGTCCTGTCCGAGTACATCATTCCTAGGGAGCCGTTCCGCAACAGGTACATCACCGTGACCGACCCAGACAACAAATACCTTATCCTTGGTTTCCCTGTTTCTATCCCAGACCCCCGGTATCACCGCAATGAGTTCATCTTCAATTTTGGTCTCGTGGTCGATCACGATGTCGATCAGGTTCCTTATGAGAGGGTTGTTCGACGGCTGGCGATTACCTTTGCGGAAATGGAAAAGCAGAGCGGGTATCTCAGCCAAGACCAGACTAAGGCCCAGGGAGAGTGCGCGTGGGGAGAAAGCAGGGACAAGAATGGGGATGGGGGCTTCTTTTCGACGAGGAGGCCGATTGAGAGTTTGTTGGAGATCATCAAGGAGGATTTGAATAATTATGGAGAGTGCATGATCCCCGTTGGTATGTCCGCCTAATCACCCCCTTCTGATGACCCTCCAACTAACACAACGACAAGACGACGCCAACACCATCAACATGAAGCTCTTCCCTTACCACCCCAACCCACCAGAAATCAAAAGCTGGCACGTCCCAGTAGCAAAAATGAAACTCGCCGACATCGTCGACCCAACCTGGGACCTGACCCTCCAAAAGGTAATCGCCCACATCGACGGCGTCTCCGACGTCCGCCGAATCGCCTTCCAAGCAGACGTCTCCCTAGAACTAACCCAACTCGCCCTCCGCCACCTCCTCTACTACGACACCATCCTCCTCCTCGACATGTTCTTCTTCTCCGCCTGCTACGCCCCCCGCCCCGGAATCCACGATTTCATCGCCAACGTCGACGGCATCGTAGATGAATGCGCCAATTACGTCTGCGTGGGCGCACTGAGAATTAATTCCAACGACAATGACAAGTATTCCAACCCCAGGTCGTCGTCAACCACCACCCTCAACAACAACTCCTTCGCCCTGAACTCCTTCTCCACCACCCCTCGATCCTCCTCCCACCACCTCTCCACCTCCCCCAGCAATTTGTCTCCAGAAACTCACTCCCACCACCCCACCTCCCCCTTCCACAACCCATCCTCCTCCTCCTCCCTCCTCTCCATCGAACGAGACCACCGCCTACCAAATTATCTGCTCATCAAACTAATGACCACCTTTGCCCCCTCAAAAACAGTAATGGAGTGGCTAAAAATGCACATGGACGCCGGGATAGACGTCCTCAGATACGTCGACGTCCGGAGGTTGGTGCAGTTTGGTGTGATAAAAGGTTGTTTGTACCGTGTTCACAAGTATGTGGTGTCGAAGCAGTATCTAGCCTCGTTAGCGACGGGTCAAAGTAGGAGGTTGACTGAACGGGAGGCCGCGGCTAGGGGAGGCGGGAGAAGGGATCCGCTGCAAAAGTACACGGATGGGTGTCATTGTTTTGATGAGATCATCACCGAGATGGACATGACGGACGCGGAGGTGATGGAGCGGCTGAAGGGGTTCAGGGGGGCGCCGGCGGGGGATTTGACGGTGCTCCATCGCTGATGATGCGGGCAAAGGGATGATGTAGGCTTTCGGAAAAAAAGATCAGAAATCTCTGGGGGAAAATACTGAGAAGGTCTAGCAGCGAGGAGGCCTACCTATTTGGAGTAGCAATCTTTCTTTTATCTTGGTCCGCAAACGTATTTGGATTGGAGCTTTTTTATCTACCTACGTTTCTACCTCCAACTCTTCATCCCAGTTCATGTGCACACATACGAAAATCTACAATAGAGTATAATGCATCTGATATAATACAAGCCAATATCGTACAACTCAGATGAAAACCCAGATCCACGATGGCTATCCCCCTCTACAACTCATCATCATTCCCTCCTCTCTTCCCTCGGCGAATCACCCCCTACCTCCTTCTGGTGAATCTCATCCATCAGCTCCTGAGTCGCCCTCCTAATAGCATAAGAGTCCTGATCCGGAAACTTCATAAACCCAGGCGGCGGCGCCTCCTCCTCGACATGGTTCTTCAAGTTGGCCTTGACCTCGTCCGGCGTCAGCATCCCCGACTTCAGCATCTTCAACTGCTGGCGAAGCATGCGCAGCGCACCGGTCCCCGGCTCGCCAGGGTACGTCTGACCAGACTCCTTCCACTCCTCGTCGCTGACCATCTCAATGACGCGAATCTGGACCTTGCCCTTGCGGAGGATGAGCAATTTGCCGTCGATGAGGTAGTTCCTCGTCTCCTGGGGGAACCAGAGCTTGATGGGTGTGAAGCTGAGCTGGGAGTAGTCCATCACCTTGTTGTCCTCGGTGCGCTTGTGGCCAGGCATGGCGCCAATGTAGGCACCTTGCTGGGTGGCGAGGCGGTGGCCTTCTGAGGCGCTCTTTGCGAGGCCTGCGGCGTAGAGGATGCGGCCGATGGATTTGCCCATGATGAGAGATTCGGGCAGTTGCATGTCCATCTTGGGGGCGTCTAGAATGGAGGGTGGCGTGTCCTCGGTTGCTGCCTTGGGCATCCTGAGCGTGACGCCGGGGATGTCGATTTGCTTTCCGTACCTGGCCTGGTGGTTCAAGGCGGTCCTATGCGCCGCGTTCATGCCGTGCACCAAGCCGACTACCTCAAAGGCCAGCAGATGTTGAGCAACTCGTCGGGCGGGGTTCTCGCTGTGGATCTTCATGGCCTCGTTGATATTCTCCATAGGCAGGAAGGTGAAGAGCTTGAGAAGCTTCTCGACCTCTTGATCGGATCGCCGCACAAAGTAACCGTAAAGGTCGAACTCGGAAGTCTGGAACTTGTCAAGCCAAACGGCATTGCCGGCGCTCTTTCCAAACTTGACACCGGCTGAGTCTGTTAAGAGGGGGACGGTGAAGCCGACCGGATCGTTGAAGGGACCACCTTCAATTTTTTTCGCCGGATCTGGCTCGTTATCACGGACGACTTTCACCGTCTCGACGCCGGTCACGATGTTTCCGTACTGGTCGGAGCCACCGATCTGCATCTGGATTCCATTTGCCTGATACATATGCCACCAATCCCAACCTTGCATGAGCGGGTAGGTGAATTCTGAGAAGGACATGCCATCGCCTTTCGACATTTTGTTCTTGACCCTGTGAGAGAAGGTCAGCAATGCGCCTGCCGATGAATGCCTGAAATCAACACTTACGTATCGCGGGACAGCAAGGGACCCATTCTCATACTATCCCCTAACCTCTTGAGAACCTCGATCAGAGGAAGCGAGTTCCACCATGTAGAGTTGTTCACAACAGCCCGTTTCCATGCCCAATCCTTCTCGAAGCCCCGCCTCCTTGCCTGTTCTTCCACATTCATCCAGAGGGCCTTGAGTTGGTAGTGTATCTTGGTCAAATTCATGGTGAGGTCGGTCCTTTTGAGAGGCGTGCGGCTGACCAACCGGTCAGTAGGGTCGCCAATCTTGGCCGTCGCGCCACCGATCAGAGTGTAACCAGCGTAACCGTGCATATACATCCAGAAAATCGGCATGAGCGGGAGCAAATGGCCAATGTGTAGAGAGGGCGCCGTTGGGTCAATGCCAGTGTAGGCGCCAATCCGTTTGTGAAGCATCAGTTTGCGAATAGTTTCATGAGATCTTTCTCCCAAGTTGAAGTCAGCCAATCTGCTCCGGAAAACAGTGCTCTTCAAGTTTACCTCAGCGCCAGACTTTGTAGACCTACCCAGCTGTGTCCTTCACATAGCCTCTCTCAACAAACATATCCCATGTGTGTTGAATCTCCCCCTTCTTGATCTTTTCAGCCCGCTCTTCCCAATCAGCCTGTGCCTGGTCAATCTTCGCCTGGTACTTGGGGCCGTGCCATGTCTTTTTGCCGCGTTGTTGAGCGTATGTTGATGTTGGTCCTCCACCAGCCATGGACTTCATCGTTAACAGGCATCTCCGGCAGACGGAGCCTCTGCTCATGCTCATGAGCGCTCCTTTTCCGAACGCCATTACGGCGGCTGAATGTGGTGAAGTTGCTTTACCGCCAACGAAGTCCTACGAAGATCTGATCTGGCACCTTGACCTGCTGAAAAAGGGTGAGAGCTCGTGTAATATGTCGATATGTTGAGTGAAACGTCTAGATTCAAGACCCGCCAGACGTCTCGATGGACGCTGTCGCGGGCTCCAAGCTCGAAATTTTGGGCCAAAAGCTCGGGCCACCTCCCACCCAGAACAGGGTCCCCTGCACTGGGCCCGCTCTGGGCTTGTGACAGTGACGTCTGGAGGGGTGCTGCTCGGGGTCTAGAAAATCCGGTCCGACCCGAAGCTTGGCTTGAAGCGGAACCCAGGTGGGGTTCTTCGGCTGACATCAACGACAAGACGATTGGCAGAGAGAGGTCCCGATTGCCGAGGGATCATTCAGTTGGCATTGGACATTCGGCAACCATTTTCGCAGGCCTGTGTCTCCGTCGTTCCGAGTTCGTTGTCGCCGTCGTCGTCGTCGTCTTCAAAGCCCGCCCAAGCCGTCCCAGTCCCGGCGTCGTCTACCCAGCCAGTCAGTTTTTTAGTCGAATCAATTGGTTGCCGTCCACCTTTCAGTCATCATGGCCTCCATCGCCCGCTCTTCCCTGCTGCGCCAGGTTGCGACAAAGCCTGCTCTCCAGAACAGCATCATCGCGCGTGCTGCTTTCCACACTACCGCCAAGAGGGACCTCCTCCCCCCTCTTCCCCGTGCGTTTTCCTACTCACGTTTTGGTTCGGGGCTTTATTTACTAACATTTTGTTGCAGAGCGTGTTGTTGGCACAGGTACGAGCGCATCTTCTTAAACCGAGATGGGGCCGGAATCGACGAATATACGGCACTATATATGTCTTTGTGAGGACACCAACTAACCCATACAGTCAACGATGCTGCCCCCGTACCGCCCCCTTCTCCCTCGCACGGCTCCTACCACTGGACCTTTGACCGTCTCGTCGCTGCGTCCCTGATCCCCCTTACCGTCGCTCCTTTCGCCGCCGGCTCTCTCAACCCCACCATGGATGCCGTCCTGTGCGCCACCCTCCTCATCCACTCTCACACCGGCTTCCAGAACATCATCGTCGATTACGTTCCCCAATACAGAACACCTCGGGCCCGCAAGGCTGCCATCTGGGGCCTCAACGCCGCCACCGTCGTTGTCGGCCTTGCCCTCTACGAGTACGAGACCAGCGATGTCGGCATCACCGAGACCATCAAGAGACTGTGGAAGGCTTAATCGGGAGAAGGAGTAGAGATTGTGCTTTTGGGACCCGAGGCTTTGAGGAAAGAAGAGCGGGGGCTCGTTTTGTTTTATTTGTTCCCTGTATAGCAACCCCCTACGACTACGGCAACAACCAATATCCCAGTTTTTGGTTCTGCGAAACCACGTTTTCCATTTGTTGTCCTCCTTGGTAACGGGCGGTGTTAGTGTTGGCTTGTGATAAAAAAGGGGGGTAAAAAGGGAGCAGAGGCCTTTTTGGTATCTTGCAAAATAGTTCGACGCTTACTGCAAGGTTGTAAAGCTAAAAACGTGTATAGGATGGCCAATTTTGATAGAACGAAATATTGAATTGTTTGAAAGGTTCAACAGCTTTTGATACCGGAGAGTGGCGTGTTGAACTTTTACCCAGTCACCTTCTCCGCAAAGTAATTGGCACAGCACAAGTAAGTCAACACGCATTATTTTGTGAACTATGCCTCAAAGAAGAATTGATAGGCCTATCAAATATCCTCAAAGGCATATGAACTATCTTTAAAGGCCTAAAAGTTTCCTTCCAAGCCCCTTTTTCTCTTTAAAAAGGGTGGAAGTCCACAATAATGATACGTTTTACTTGCTTGCAATGCCTGTAATTTCGGGAGGAGCGTGTCAGTTTATAGTTTGTTCAGAGCAGCTACTTGGCCTGTCTGCCAAAGTTTATCGCTGGCAAAGCCCGATCCGTAATAGACCCATCTTACCGTACCTACCGACAAACTCTCAACCTTTCTATTTCATCGATTTCTTCTCAACATCAATTTCTTCTCGACCAGCCGTTCGCGGCGGCACTATCTCTCGTGCTCTTGGCCGTGACATTAACAGAGCTCGCGAGGAGGCACGCCGGAATATCACTTCGGGGAGGTGGGGCATCAATATACCCAGGGAAGAAAAGAACATTAGCGCTCTTCAGTGGATGTTTACTCCACCAGAGCCAAAAGATGAGAAGAATAATTAGTGAGACGTGTTAATTGGATTACTACAGTCTATTCGGCCAATGAACATATAGTCATTCAAGGTGGTCGGTCCTCTCACTCTTCGTCTGAACTGTTTTCGTCTATCATTAGAGAAACCAACAAGCTCCCATTCGACTAAACCCCCAGCAAGACATTGATCAACTCGTCTGGGGCCTATTGACGAGGCCTGATCATTATCTTTTAACGCGCTTCGACTATCTTTGAACACATTATAATATATATTGAATGCATTTTCACCATGTCCACATGCTTTCCAACCATCTTTTAACACATGTATACTATCATTGAACGCCTTTTCGCCATGGTTACAGGCCTTCAACTCACTGGATTTGGTGTTCAATAATTGTTCCTAGGCGTGTCAAACTATCTATCGAGACGTATTGCCTATTTTGGCATGCTTTTCTATCTTCAACTAGGATTTTTGTGTCACGTTGAAGTCTCCATCATTTTTTTGCCCATGATGCAACGCTGACAATGTGATGATGGTGGTTAGATTTACATATGCAGCTAAGCCCAGTTGAAGAACCAACGAGCTCTCTCATTCGACCAGCTTCCCGCCCGGATGTTCAAGCTTCCATCTGCAAGATAATTGTGGCGCACGCCGGAAGCTGACACTCCCGGGAAGCGATGCAAGTTGTATCCCAACGGCACGGTCTTTCCGCAGCCAACCGGGAACCAGGTTCAGCTTCTCTGTCGTGGGTTTACCCTTGTGTAACCCTACCGGTGCCGCATCGACCCATGTTCTCGGCAACTAGGTATCGTCATGGGATGAACTGTTTTTTGTGTGGGGGGCTTTGTTGGTGAACAAAACAGTTTGGGGTGTTATTACTGGTGTATTGGAGAGTTTGTGTCGGAAGTCGGTAATACGTGACGCTGATACCACGTTTTGGCGATCTCCCGCCCCCTCACTGATCAAGGGTCGCTTGGGGGTTGGGGGATTAATTAACTTTCTGGAATGGGTAAGGAGGATGCCGGCATCTTCTATGATCCGAAGGCAAGCAGGTGGATAGGTCACCAACAGGGCGTGGGCCTTTTTTCCTGTTACATGATCCAGAAGAGGGATCCATGGGACTCCTCGGTTGTTCTCGTTCTCGTGGCACTGATTGAGGCTCCCTCCTCTCTTACTTTCGCCATCCTTCCTTGTTAAGTGTGTATTATGAAGTCCGTTGGCCACCCGGTCACCAAGGGTAAAGCAGCACCAAGCTCAACCCGCCGGGCATTGTAGCCCCTTTTCATTTTAACAGGCGCTAGCAACCTCATCAGCCTCACTCGTCGGTTGCTCTTCACCTTTCAACCTGTTCAAACCACCAATGGCCATCTGCGGGAGCGGCCGCTTGGTTTTCCTCCCGGCCAGTATGCCACGCAGGTCCGAAGTCAGTGGAACCCCTCAAGGCAGCAAAGGCTGGAATAGGAGCGTTTGTTGGGACCCTGGAGTATGAGGATGGTTTGTTGGTGGCGTGGGGTTACGTTGTTGAACATGGTATGCTGAAGCTCTTTTTGTATAATATGTGTGTTTCCTTGCTCCGGTGACTATTCATCTTCTTTTTGCTTATCATTTTCCCTGCTTCATTCTTCTGTGATCCCTTCATTTTTTGCTCTGCATGTTTCCTTTTTCTCTTGATCTCTGCCAAAGTTTCTACTGTCCGTCATGAGTCGGATTGTTCATGAAGAAACTCGACTCTCCTGACAGAGCTTCGTTTCCCGCCGTTGTCATGCCATGAAGGAATCTCCGTCCCCAAATCTGGGCACAATGTCGGACGTATCATCCACGATGAGGCGATATTTCATCGTGACAAACCATCTCACCAATTTTAAAAAGCGAGGGGAAGTAGCACCTCACATGATCGGTCTTTTCTTATTCACCGAGACAGGTCTAAATGCTGTGGCTGATTGAGACAATTTGAAGACGCCGCTGATAAAAAGCTAGGAAACTCTAATTTACATCCCCAAACACAAGGAAAGTACCATGCAAAGCAGAAACCCAGCCCTTTCAACAACAAAACCCAGTCGACAGTATCCAACTTGGCAGCTTTCCAACCCGCCCGAATGCCAAAAACGAAAAGAAACGAAAATGACTTGTCAACAAATGAGCGAAAGAAAAGTACCGAAAACTGCCAACCCAGACGCCTGCGTTCGATCTCACGAGAGAGAGAGGAGCGCTTCATGCAAGCCGTCCACAACATGACCAAAGAACTCTGTCAGTTCTCCCCGTTGCACACAATCCGAAAACCACACCAAATCTCCAAAAAACGGGTATCTTGTTCCTAGCCCACGACGCCAAAAATGCGAAAAGAAAATCATCCGACATAGGTGCCCAGCCGGACACCAAGCTGCTGGTCGAGCAAATAAAAATAACGTTCTGGAGCAAACATATCAGTGACAAGTCCACGCCATCTACACTAGGAAAGGCTTACCAGCAATCTTCCACCTTCCAGCGCAAATGTGCAGCATATTCTTCAAATCGATAACCTTCTGAAGCCAGTCCGCCGCCATTTGGAGCTCCGTTTCACCATGAGAAATGAGCAAAAGCGATGCATAGTACGCCGCAAAAGCCCAGAAAGGAGCCACCCTCCCCCGTGCCAATCGCTCTTGGAAACTCGGCAAGTTCGCCGCCTCATTATGGAGGTACGCGATAGCCTTCCTGATATTCTCAGCAGGGCTGGAAAAGCGCGGATCGGTCCCCGCCGATCCAGCAAGAAGGCCAGATTGGTTGAGTTTCAGCATGGCTCTAAAAGTCAGTCAGGTTTGGCCAGATGACGCTCGGTGAAAGGAAACCCGATACTTACATCAAGTTGGTGCTCATCGCCCCGTTCCGGTCGCCAGTACTCCACGGAGTCTGGAAGACGTTGAGAGTGTGCTGCCAGACAGCATCCGAGAGTTCCTCATGGCGTTCCGACAACATCAGTGGGCTATCCAGCGGGCTAAGAGCGGTGTTCAGATTGAACGCAGATGTTGCCTCGGGGAAAACCATGCCGTCGATATGGTGAGAGTTGCCGTCACAATATGCTGCACCAACACTCTGGATTTGAAGCTGCGATGGCGTCGGCGCAAATTGGCCGAAAGTTTCGGGCTGGGGTATCTCGAATTCGAGCCCGAGGGTGGGAGCATGCAAGGGGAACTTGGACTCCTGATATGCAGCATGAAGATGGTTGTCGATATACACCATTGCCCACCACAGGATCGAATGGAGCTTGAGGATCTTTGGTATAGTTGCCATGTTGTTTGGGCCCCAGTACGACTTATCCTGCCAACCGAGAGCGCGGCTCATCTGGAAACATCGCCCAACAGACAGATATGCTTGCTGTGGTAGAGCCTGAGTGTACTCGTACATGGCGACTAGGAGTTCTGCCTGCAAAAAGGAGGTGGACATGGGGCGGCTACTTTGACTCTGGACCAAACTCAAGAGCGTTTTGGCCGACTGATAAACGGTATCGCCCATCGGTGTCGGGCCCGGGCTCGAAATCGTTGGACGGGAGATCAGCGACATGCAAAGTATCAAAACACATGTTTCCGCTGATGGGCTGGTCCAGAAATCCTCCAGTAACCTCTCGAAATTTGAACGATCGATAATGCTGAACCAGCTGGCGTTGGGGCCCTCGAAAAAGGCCAAAACCGTCTGTTCAACACCCTGGCGACTATCGAGAATGTCGATAACACATTGGAGGGCGTACAAGTTGATATTATCTGCCGACCGAATGCTGGCAACCAAAGAAGGACGCAGACTCCCACCCCAGGCTAATGGTGATTGTCGATGAAGCTGGACCGGATTCCCAAGCGGCGAAGACACTCCTCCATACAGATACCCAGCCGTCACAGGATTTCCAGCAACAATGTCGTCCTCATGCTGGCAGACTTGAGATGATCTGCCCGGTTCAGAAAGAGGCCCCTGTCAGCAACATTGATATTCGGGAAGTGGGGGCCGAAAACTTACTCGACACAACGACTGCACGACGGCAACGCTTTGTCACACTTTTTCTTCTTCCTCTTGCAGTTGAGACAGACTCTCGATGCTTTCTGGACATCCGGTTGAGGGGACGTCGCCACAGGTGACGATGCGTTCGACATATTTGGGGGTTGTGACGTATCAGTCAAGCGGCGCCGAAGTTATAATAGGGTACGGGATACCAACGGATATGACCTGTGTGGCCATTTCCGACAGACGGCCCCATCGCGAAGTTATTAATACAAAGCAGACAATTGAGGCAGCCTCGAAGAGATGGAAGCATCCGCGATGGATCCGGCAGTGGTGCATCATGGATGGAGGAATGGTTGCCAGCCCTGCACGACTGCCCTACAAGGCCCGGTTCGAAACGCAGCAAGTTACCCAGAGCCACAAACGGTTCTCAGGGCTTCCGGACGGCAACCCGTTGGCTTGGGACTGATGTGTTGCTATCATTGGCTTGTTGGTACTACCTTCCTGTCAGCCCACCAATGGGGAGGTGGCCTTGTCCCAACCCTTGCTCCTATAACGAGGCTCAGCCACTCGCCTACTCGGGAGCCGACTACCGCGACCCTCTGCCACATCACCACATCTGCCAACAGGAAACATGGACAAAATCGACAAAATCGGAAATAAGTGGCTTTTTAAGCGCCATAGACGCGAGAGAATAACCTCCGATTGGCCGGAAAGCTGCTATCTGGATGAGAAATATCGAGAAGCAGATCTAGGTATCGAACGTGGCACCCTTGACGACAATTCACCCACCACACCTTCAGTACACCAGCCCCCTTGACAGCGATGAGATGTTTGCTCACCGCGAGTGTATGGTGATGCCCGAAGCTTTCCGTGATATACGTTAGGCTTTCTGAACAGTGAGATGGAGGGTGGAAGGGCATGCCATCATCATCACTCTCGAGCCAAGCCACTCGTGGATGTTGGCAACGTACTCCCAGGGAGCAGTGACATGGAATTCGTCGAGCTCTGCAGATCACATCGATCATACCGAGTGGTAGGGGCTTTGATGAGGATCAAGAGGCCCGATCTCCAACCTAGTGTCCGCATGGAGCTGCTTTCCACGCCAGGCCAACAGACCCGTTCCACCAATGGTGAAGCCGGATTGGACCGTTCTCTAGGTCCGAAGTGTTTAGATTACTGTGTCCATGGTTGCATCATTGTTTTCAGAAGCCATAGTTTTGCCAAAACACCGATACACTCAAGTGAGCCAGCCAACCCCGACAGCATTGACATCAGCCATCATTGAATTGCTCGCCTCACCATATCGTGCATATGAACGGAGCAACCCGGGAACCTTGCGCATCAGGCTGACACAGGGCAGAAAACTAGAATCCAGGTAAGCTTTTTTTGTTTCCATGTTTCGTTTCTTGCTCTAGTTTGATAGCCCCACCTTGAATGATCTCGCCGTCAAAGATCGAGGATCACGATCTGATTGATCAGCCCTACGGTACTGTCAAAGTAGTGGCTTATGCGGCGTGGGTCCTCGGAAGCTAGCGCCGCCGCTGCAGGTGCTTTAGCGACGTGCACAGCCACAGCGCCCCACGGGAAACATTGTTTCCGGGCGCTAGGCGCACGAGCCATTTAGTGGGGGTCGGATAGACAGGGGTCTGGGAGTTATCAGATCTACTCTGAAACGCGTGTGTCGTCATGTTCAATGTTGTTGGTTTAGTTGTGATCATTCAATCCTGTCTTTTTATGATTGGGGAGTTCAGGCTTTAAAAGCAAACAAAACAAGAAATCATTTCATTCAATCGCTGTCTCTGCCACGCTCAATTTTGCTGTCCCTTATCTCCAAGAAACCCTCAAACCGTGCGTCACAAGCTCCAAACATCCACCTCCTCTCCGCCAGTCCTCTGCTCCCCCTCGCTCCCCCCCGGCGTCGGCGGCGGCAGGTTATCCACCTTGGTAAAAACCCAGCAGCTGGCATACATATTCACCCGGTCAATACACTCTCCCACCCCCCTATTCCCCACCCTCTCGCCCACAAACCCCCTCTTTTCAAACTCCTTGATGTACCACGGCCTCAAAGCCGAGCTCCTCACCAGGACCCTCCCACCCGTCTTCAAGGCCCTGTTAACCTTTTCAATCTGCCTTCCCGCCGCGTCTGTGTCCGGGTCGAACCAATCCATGCTATCCATCAACACCGCTACCGTCACCGTCCCAGGCGCCATTCTCGCAATCACCTCGTCAATCTCATCAGTGTGTATCCTTAACCCCTCAAACGCCCCAGGCTGGGAAAGTTTCTTGTGCGCAGCGCGGGATAGATAATCAGGATGACATTTCTTTGTGAACCCCCCCGTCATGCAGACGAGGTAGTAAGGGTTATCAACCGCAATGTGCGTCTTTTCAACTACAGGGTCAAGCGTGTTGACCATGTAATGCCATATCGCGTGCGCCCTCGTGCTCTTGGCCAGGCCAACCTTCACGGCGCGGCTGCTGCCGTGATCGGCCTCGATCATGGCGAGCTGGTTCTTTGGCACGCCGAGGGCTTTCCAGAGGAAGGCTTCCGTGCTGACGAGGAGGTTGCTCACCAGGGGACTGAGCAGTGCAGGCCGGATTTTGCTGTGCCAGATCTCGCGTTGTTCGATGAGGGTTTTGCTGTTCAGGAGGGAGGTGACGGCTGAACGGCAGCGAAAGAGACGGGAGGTGTATCTAAATGCGCGGATGGCGTGGCGGGAGCCGCCGGTGTCGTATAACCCCCTGGACGTGGGGTTGGTGAAAATAAAAGAGTTGTCGAGCCAGTACTGGAACGCCCGGCTGGAGAGGTGGGGGGACAATCTTGTGATGAGAAGCGCGCGGAAATTTTCGTGTTTGCCCTCGCCGAAAATCTTCCAGAAGTCGGCATGAGACAAAGCGGTGAAGGAGGCTGCTTTTAGCTCGAGGAGGTGGTTCTGGCTGGGGTTCAGGTCGATGGCGTGGATGCGGGCCGGGGACTGCAACGCGTACGAGAGGATGTTGTCGCCCGCGCTGGTGATGGCGAGCACGACGTCGTCTCTGCCGAGCTTGAGGATCTCGCGGTCGACGCGGGAGTCTTCCCAGGTGAAGGCGTAGATGTATTCGTTGTTGAATTGGGTGTGTTTTGGGAGCTGGTCGTCGTAGTAGATGCGCCAGTGGTGGTTTTGGTAAAAGAAGGAGGGCAAGGGGAGGTTGGCGGAGAGGTTTTGGATGGCGGCGTCGAAGGCTTTGGAGCGGATTTCGGGGGCTGTGCGCTCTATCGCGCGGGTGAGTTTGGCGGTGATGACATTTTGCTGCTTTTTGCTGCTGTGGGAGTCGGATGGGAGCAGGTAGGGGGACTCGGTGGCTAGGGCGTCGATTCGCTGGATGATCTCCTCGGGGAGGCTGGATGAGGAGAAGGGCTTCTTGTGACAGCCTAGCCAGACGTAATAGGGGATGGACCCGAGAGCGGTGTTGCGCAAGTTGGCCGTGAGAACGGTGCCGAATTTGTACTCGAGGTAGTCTCGGCGGGCGGGCTCGAGAGCAACACGGTCGAGATCGAACCAGGCCCTCCAAAAGGTTCGTGAGAGGTAGTTGACGTGACGGCCGATCATACCACCCGTCCAGTTGCGGTAAGTAAAGTCAGCTTTGGACTGAACGTAAAAGTCGACAACCCCGAGAAGTCCATCCGGAGAAAGAAGGGATGTCAATGAGTCAATGACGGAGTAATAGTCAGGCTGTTGTTGTTCATGTCAGTACCCCCTGTGATGCTTTCCGAGATTGACTTGGACACCCACAATCATGGACAAGCTGTAAGACATGGTGATCAAGTCAGCACCGCCATGCTCGGGACGCTTCTGATCAAAGTAGCTCTTGGGAGTTGAGGACCCTGGCGATCCTGGACCGGAGAGACCATTTTCATAGTCTTCCAGCCGGAATTTGCGAGCGTCTTGGCATATGATTTTGACGTTGTCCCAACCGAGGCGCGAGAATCTCTTCTCTGCTACTGCGCAGAGCGACGGTGAGAGGTCGACAAGATAGACAGTGCTGAAGAATTCAGGGACGTTGACAAACTGCGACATGGCCTCGATATTCCAGCCTGTGCCACCGCCAACCTGGGAGGACGTTAGATGGTTTCAAGCGGCGGAGAGGACAGAGTCTCTCGTACATCGACCCAGATACGTCTGCTTCCCGCCTTTCGGCTTTCACTTTTGGCCTTGTGAAGGAGCTGAGCAGCCGCAAGGGCCAGCATGTCCTCACGGCCTCTGAGGAGTAGCTTTCTGGTCACATCGTACTGTGGAAGCATGTTGGTCAGTGGGACATACTAGGTACATTTGAAAGCCTATCATCTTGGGGAGCCGTACCGCTGAAGCCTGGCCTGCGTAGAAGGACTCGAGGGCGCCTTGCTGGTTGGCTTTGCCACTACCAGAATGCGGCTTGAAGAAGCAGCCATAACAGAAAAGGAGGAGCGCGCTGATGAGGCCCGGCTCATCATCATCCTGACGCTTCTGATCCGACTTCTGTGAAGCCCTCTTGTGGGAAAGCTTGATAAGACCGGCGAAGAAAAGTAGGCCGCCGGTGATGCCGGTAAAGAATGCATGAAGGTTGAAGCCAACGAGGGGCAAAATGTTACCACCAAGAGAAGCCATGGTATTCTCTCATTATGGATGATGGAGAAGTAATGGTTGAACACAAGGATATGCTAGGTACTGCTGAGAAAAACAGAAGAACCCGGGGAAGAAGCAAGTGAGCAACTTGGGGGGGGGGGGGGGAGGTATAAAACTGTGCAACCTTTCCTTCTCCGTTGTCCATGGGTGAGAGTGAAAGGCTTGTGATCCCCCACAACGCATTGCGGATGGTGTAGCCGTTACCAATCGCTCTGACACGAGGGTGTTCATTCGTCAGTCTGCTATAGTAGGGGACCTCAAAGGTACACCCTGAGAGTTGAGGCAGGATGATGATGAGATCATCGAGACTGCAACTCTTGAGCCGCTGGCAACAGAGCCACTCATGTGCCAGCTTTTGACATGGTGCCCAGTTTGCTGCTCCATATGGGATCGTCAGTGTTGGCTGCCATGCAGACAGGCGGGGTTCTATGGCAAAAGAGTCACTTGGCATCGTTGGCCCCGTGTTTTGAGGCATATCATATTGATACCCATGATACCATGAAAATGCAGTATCTGTTGAAGCTGTTGTAGAACGTGCGAGGTGACGGGGAGATGCAGGGTCCCCTCCTTGGCAAGCTGGTGGGGTTACTCCGGCACACCAATCGGGAAAATGCTTGCGGCCACGGGAAGAGCTCAATGGCGATTAAAGGAGCAGTGCTCGTGAATGAAGCTTTTCTGCATCTGGGGAGGTGCTTCCCATGAGAAATCTTGTTGAAGCCGGCCGGCAAGGCTATCCTACCGTGGTTTCCCCTCTTTCAAGTGTGTACCTAGGCTGTACATTGTTGGGCTCACTGACAAGCTGTACATGAAGCTGACGGAGTTGTTTGCGTGACACATGAATCCACGTAACAATAGATCTGGAACTTGAATAGTAACGAAGTGTACTCCGTCGTAGTGTATGGAATGAGCGTGAAGAGGGCTCAAAATATGATCCTATGAGCATGCTGAGTCATCATCAGCGCACGGACTCTCTCATCAGATGGCGGGATGAGTTGAGACAGACAGGGATGCAATGCGCCTCGTTGGCGCCCGCGATCATTGGATGTGACGTGCAGCTCATTGAGCCTCCAGCAACGTCAAAGTCTCACAGCTTCGGAAAGTTCACCAAACACCACCAGCCCGTCGCGCATCTCGGCGCGTGTCTGATCTGAATGCAACAGATTCCGCGAGACCTTTCAGCACGCGATCGGTGATACGCGACACGAGGTACGGCGTGTAGATACCTTGCCAGGCAAGACACAGCACAGTGCTTCCATAGTGCCCTGCTCAAAGATGGCTCCATCGAGCCAGAAGGGTCCGGGGAAGAAGGCGGGCGCGGGGGTAATCCGCTCCCAGTCACAACAGCAGCAGCGAAGTCGCAACACCACCCCCAGTGCCGCACCGCCCTCGGCCAGTCTGCCACCCATCGACAATGTCGAAACGGACCTGCTGGAACTCCGCTTCGAAGTCTTCCGGAACCTGACCTTTGAGGACATGGTTGATCCCTCGACCTCCAACACCGCCATACCCGATTCCAAGAGCCTTGATGGCATCGTCTCCCGACTGCAGAAGCTGAGCGACGTCATTGACAAGCGCGGCCTGAATTGCGACAAGGGCATGAGACTACTCGCCCAGAGCCGCCGCACCAGGCTCGATGAGCTGGCTGTCGAGCGGGGGAGGGAAGAGGAGCGGAGACAGAAGGAAGCCGATGAGGAGGAGCGCGAACGCAAGGCAGCCAACAAAAAGAAGCGGAAAGCGACCGACAGTCTGGCGCCCGGAGGGAGCAACACAGGTCAGTCATGGTCCAATTGTCACATTCAGGAAGCTTCGTTTGCGTCCAGCTTTCTTCCCAATTGGCTTTCAGCCCTCTTCTTAGCACTGCGGGCGTATTCCTCCGAATTTTCATCATCCAACAACACCAACAACACCAAGCGACCCAAAAGCGATGTACAAATGTCTTTGTGAACCAACATTGACCAGTCATTTTAGAGCGGTCATCTCCTTTACGAGAGTCGACAAAACCCCGAAAACTATCTCGCGATAACGATTCCGCCAGCTCGTCGCTGTCGCCAGTCGCGCCAAGCAACATGGACGCCGATGACAAGACCAAGACAGAGGAAAACGAGGACGAGTCGGACTCTGACGATGGTCGCCCACCACCTCCCGCTCGGCCACAGGCCAATACGTTTGGCGATGATCCTTCAACCTTCCCCGACCCAACCGTGTACGAGATTCTTCCCGTCCAACCTGGCATGACCGAAGGCGAAATAAAGGAAATATACTCGGTAGCCGGCTACCCTAAAAGCGACCTTGCTGATCTCATCGCTGGTGACCCTCCAGACAAGGATTTCAGCAATGCAAAGCCTAGCAATCAGATCAACTTTAGCACTTTTAGCACCTTTATCGACCCCTACTTCCGGCCGTTCACCGAGGAGGATCTCGCGTTTTTGAGAGAAAGAGGGGATCGCGTGACTCCGTTTGTCATGCCGAAACGTGGCAAGAAGCACTACACAGAGATCTGGGCCGAAGAGGATGGAGCGATGGCCATCGACTCCGTCCCTCCAGGCGGCCGGGAGAAACTCCCTCCTAACCAACCCCGCGGGAGTATCGAGAACATGGACGACGACGTTGCCGAAACAGACAAACTCTCCGTCGGCCCACTCCTCTCCCGTCTTCTTTCAGCGATGCGCCCCGAGCACCGCGCTCCGCCAGCAGAGAATGCCAACGGCGTCAACGGCGACGGAGACACCCTCATGAACGGCACCACCAGCTTCGACTTTAGTTTTGACACCAACCCCCCTTCCAGCAGCCAACAACCCAACGGCACCAACGGTGTAAACGGCCATGTCAACGGCGTTAACGGCACCACCCCCGATTCATCCAACAACAACAACAACAACAACAACAACAACAACAACAACAACAACAACAACCAACTCCCTCCGGCTACTTACATGCCCGAATCAAATTCGGAAGCCTGGAAAAAGGCCAGCCACCCAAAACTAGACTACACCCAAGTCGACGAGCGCATCAAGCAGGAACTCCGTCACATCGGGTTCCTCCCCTTACCACCCAACCAATCCGACTCGTCCAACGCGGCAGGCAACGGCTCCCAACCAGGACAGCCGGACCCGACAACAGCCGAGTACGACGGTCACTACGACGACGAAGTCGCCGCCCGCCTCCGCCTCCTCCAATCCCGCCTCCGCGAGCAAGTCCTCGTCAACGGCGCCCGAAAAGCCAGACTGACAGAGCTGGTCAAGGAGCGGATGGCCTTTCAGGAGTATACCACCATTTTGGAGGATTTGGATTCCCAAGTCCAGGCGGCGTACCTCAAGAGGACGAGGACGATGAAGAAGCCCAAAAAGGCGAGGCCGGGGCAGTCCGGATCGGCGGCTAGTGCGGCTGCTGCTGCGAGCGCGGCTGCTACGGCGACTGCCCGCCCGGGGATAGGGGATCTGACAAAGACGCTGATGGAGAGGAGGAGGAGGTGGATTGAGAATATTGGGACTGTGTTTGAGGATGAGGCGCTGACCAAGGTGCCGAGGGTGAGCGAGGAGGGGAGCACGATTTTCAAGGCGGGGGAGATGGGGGAGTTGTTGAGAAGGGAGAAGGAGGCTTGGGATGAGGAGGTGGAGGAGGAGTAGTTTTCCTTGTTTTTGGGCGTTGGGGCGAAAGGGAAAGACTACATACAAAGCAATGGATATCTGTCAGCGTTGGGATTTTTCGAATATTTTTTTGGATTTTTTCTTTACAGCGTAGTCTATCACTAGGCTTGTCATCAGGGGGCATCTAATTGGGTTGGGGCAGGCAGGTATTTTGTTCTGTTGTGCAAGATGGTTGTTTCCACAAAAATGTAGCAATTGAATCGTTTCTGGCTTGTGAACTAGTCCCGTGACCCCTTTTGATACTATCTAACAAAACACGACGCTACCTCCCAAAAACGCCAATCATCTTCTATGCTGAATAACTAAATAACAACCAATGTGATTCAAACAGAAAAGAAAACACAAATGACGGGGTATCATCCATCGCTAAAAGTTCGCCTTCAAACAAGAGTCAAGACACCCGAAACAATCATGAAAACACAAGAGCAACTACCTAGTCAAAACCGGGAAATATCTTGGTGCGCATTCGTCGCCCTGGAAAATCATCAGTTTGACATCCTGCCTGCCTTGCTGGTTGGTGTCCGCAAAGTTTGACTTACACCTTGACGAGCCAGCCTCGCCATCATCAAGCTCGCTGCCGGCTAGCTCTCTCATTCTCTCACGCGCCAACGCAGTTGGTTTGGGTAATGCTGGCGGCGGTATCGGCTGCGGTGGTGTTTGCTGTAACGGTCCCGCCGATGATTGAGCTGTCTCATCTGACGGTTGCGATGACGGTTGTGGTGGAGGTCGGTTGGGCTGTGATATTGATATTGTGGGTTGGCCTTCAACAGGTTTACTCCGCACCTGAAGTTCTGTCGAAGTCGACGATGTAGGACTTCCCCCATGAAAGATCTTGTTTCGAAAGGTTGCCGTCCAGCCTCCTGACCTGCCGCCGTCGGAGTTGTCGGCATCGTGATCGTCAACTTGCCCCCGTATCTTTCGAATTGCCCGCTCTCGTTTCACCATGTGGTTGGTGATCTTGGGGCAGAAGCCGGGAGGTAGCATGCTAGCTTTGCACAAGGGGCAAAGTGAGCTGTTCTCGTTAAGAAACTCATCGATGCACCCCGGGTGAAATATGTGGCCGCATGGTAGTTCTCTGATGATCGTGACTCGATTTTGGTATGGCTCCAGGCAAATCTCACAGTAGGGTTGATAATTTGTTGTGACCGTTGCGAACGGCCCACTCGGACTCTTTTCCGAAATGGTTACAGAACGAGTTGTTCGGGAACCCCTTCGTTCTGAGTGACCATGACTGTCCCGCCTGCTCCGCGATCGTGGGGACTTGGCCGACCGTGGAGACGTAGGTGGCGGGCTGGCATCTGGTGGCTCATAGTGGTAGGTGAAAAGGGGGAAGCTTTGAATGTGCTCCAGCGGCACTGTGAGTCTTTTGATGCCCGTGACTTCCAGGTTGACTTCGCCCGCAATGACTCTCTGTCGCAGGGAGTAACGCCGACGGGCCTGAACAAGGTGCATCAGGAGCGACGCCGAAACAATGACGGCGAGAAGCACGCCGACGACAATGAGGAAGTACAGCCAGGTAGCGAAGGAACTGGGGGGCGTGCTGATAACAAGCTCGGTCCATATGCGAGCATAGTCCTCTTCTTCGGCCTGGAAGCGTGTAGAAATGTTATATCCAAACGGCACTTCGGTCAGGTTGCCAGAATAGAGACTGAGGTGTTGCATCATGACTTGGCCGGCCATACTCGAGACAGCATATACAGGGTAGCCACTCTGAGTCCTCCATTCAAACTCCTCCGCAATGTTCCACATCTCAGACTCAGCAGAGGGCGGGGCCTCGGTTGAGTTGCCAGGGAGATAGAACAGAAACCCTCGAACCGGTGCTGTGCGGGCAGAGGCCAAATAGGCCCGTGAGCATCGAGCATTGATCCACGGCGCAATGGCAATAAGATAGTAGTTTGTGGGAGGAAGGCTGGATTGTCGCACGACTGATGGGGGAATGTGCAGCGCTGTTTCTTCTACGCATTCATGGCCGTAGGGGAGATCCGGGACATAAAGGAGACCTTGGATGATGCCATTTGTGGTGCCGGCGAACCTGCTGGAGAGCACCGTGGTGTTGCCTGTATATCGTGAAGAGTATGCCATATGGCCCTGAGCAAATGTTAGTCTCGAGACTCTAGGTAGGCAGGCAGCAAGATTGTTGATTTCGTGAGACTTACAGACAGGGCCGTGACGTTCCGAATGACGGTGGACGACACGGTGCCGACACCGCCCCATGATGGGTTGCTGAACAACAGGCTATCACCACCATGAATTAGTGGACAGCCTCGGGGTAATAACTCTTGGTGGTGATACAAGATCTGATAGGTGAAGGGGACGGTTAAGGAGACACAAGCCGCACCACGGCAGGGTGACGATAGCGGCTGGTTGGTAGAGGATGGTGGAAATTCACGTCGTCAAGCAAGCAAGCAGACGAGGGGACTCCTTGGACGCGGCAGGGAAGAGGCATGAAAAAGGCAGACGTACACAACATTGCGGATCTCATCGACAGCTGTGAGACGTCAGTTTGACTGGGTCTTGACAATCTGCCCCGGGCTTGGCGCAAAAAGCTTGGCTAGCCAAGATGAGATAACCTTTGAGGCTGGAACCCATCGCCAAGCAGGTCGGAAGACGGGATTGGGGGCTTCTGATTCGATTTGACTTACACATGGACATTGTCGAACATGGCGAAAGGGGCGTCTCAGACCCCCCGAGGCGATGAATAAGGCATCCGCCGAGGGTGAGGCAGCGGCGCAACTGGGGAGTGAGATTGGGGGACTGGAGGAGGTCTTCGGATGGGATCGCCTGGGATGAGGTGGATGGGATTGCACGGTGCAAAGAGAACAGAGAGAGAGGGCGCTCCCGAGCCAAGAAATGCAGACGGGAGGGTGCGGGTTTTCAGGTGCCAAGGGCCTTGGCGGGAGAGCCTTTCCGTGCGTTGGGTGGCCATGCTCAGAAGAGTTAGCGCCGTTGCCTCGATGCAGGGTATTGAAGGGGCTTCACAGGGGTCCATTGGCTTGTGCCCTGGGAGGATGGATGGGTGGGGGCAGGCAACGTCGGACGGTTGTGGACGTCCAAGGTCGGTCCCCACTGATCAAATCATGAAATCCGTCAAATCACTGATGGACGACACATCAGACACATCAGCTATGGGATACAGTCACAGAGCACAGAAGGTCACAGCGGTACTCAGACCAAACTCGTACGTCAATCACCCTGAGGTCCCGGATGGCCGGGATGACAGCTGGCTTGTCCCTTGTGTCTGCTTTTCAACGGCGTCAAAAGTTCCCAGCCACGGATAGAGCATACGAGAAAGGGTGAAACGGCGAGGCGGAAATAAAGTTTGCAACAATGGATCCGTTGGGTGCGATGCAATCAATATCCAGGATTACAGTTCCCGGCACTCGGGGGGTTTCGCGGTACGGAGTACGATGGATGGCCTTCTGATTTGGGGGAATTTTACCGAGCTTTGGCACGACTCCTCCAATCCCGACCAGCGTCATCATGGACGGAGTATTAGTCACAGCTGCTTCCACGTTCTGACTTGACGCCCGGCACTAGCAGTTTATTTTTTTCGTGACTAGCGCCTATACGCAGGGCACTTTGATAAGATCTTCGCTGGCTGCGATGGGAGCATAGGGCGAGGTGAGAGGCCCACCAAGAGAAAGCTTCAAGATGACAACAACTATGTACAGCCAATATGAACAGCTGCTTAGAAGCTGACACTGTCATGATATTTCCATGATTTTCATTGGAGGCCTCTTGCCGTTTTATTCATCGGGATGGAGCCCGTGGAAGGAACACTATGTCGTTGTTGGGTCAGCTTAATTGCGGGGTCGCTCCCTAGCTCAAAGAAGCCGGCTGGCAGTACGATGACACTTACATCACCTCTACACTTTTGGCTTTCATATCAACCTATCAGATGCCCGCCTTGTATGTAAAAATGCAACACCCAATGCCGAGAAAACCGTTCTGTCGTTATCACCGAGCCCCTGACGGCCAAGGTATTCTTTGCTCCAGTTTAAGCCACGACAGAGTGACCATTGAGAGTTCAACACAACACGCAAGGCTGCTTGGCGTTGGCACAGACAGAGTCCCAAGTCCCAACCCACACAGCCCCCTAATCTATGGACCCCTCAGCTTATCACGAGATCCATACTGAAAACTTTATCAAAATTCAAACTCTGGCTTCTTTAACTCTATTGTTTTCGACTCGCAAAGTGGTAGACAAGTTCTAGGGCGACTTGAAAAAAAAACACCACCATCATGGCGCCCCTCGCCAGCGAGCCTCGCCAGGTTCTGCACATCCTCAACCACGCCAAACGCAGAGCTTTTTATGGCCTCCTCATCGAGATCACAGCCTACATGCGCTCCCAGCTCGAGCTCAAGGACCTTCCCGCATTGCATGTTCATGACAGGCCGTCTCCTCTGCGCATTGACCCCAACGCCCGAGGGAGCAGCATCATCGACGAAGAGCCGACACTAATCCAAGTGGATAACCGCAACTTTGTCACCCAACCCAACCAAGAACTTGCCCGGATCACCGCCGCGGCGCTTGAGCATTTTGACAAATGGAGAGCAGAGACCCTGACCAAACTTAAGGAGCTTCTCGCCGCCCAGGATGATGCCAAGACCATGGATGAGAGGCGGAAGCGGACCGAGAGGATGAAGCAGAGGAAACCTGCGCCGGCAGCAGCGGAAGGGAGTTTGATTGACTTCGGTGGAGGGGGTTCTTCATCAGTGAGAGATGATGAGGCAGTTCGGAGGGAGGGAGTGGCACGGCTTCAACTGCATTGGCATCCTATTCCCACAAGGTTGATCACCATCTCATACGAGGACAGATTGGAAAGTCTGAGTTGCATACTGCTGGAGTTGCTATCCACGGGTCATTACACAGCTGAGTCGAGAGCTTTGGCTGTGTATCTCGCCTCGGCTCTTGAAATTCCGCTGGATGCCTTGAACGCCGAGGAGATTGAGATTGCAAAGGCCATGGTGGAAGGGTCAGAGGAGGCCGCCAAACAGCAGAGGACGAGGACCATGTCCGCTGACGCTGAAGCCAGGAAGAGGCAGCAGCAAAACCAGGCTGGCAGGTTTCTGAAAGTTGGCTTGGCGTCTGTTGCCGGAGCTGCGCTTATAGGAGTCACTGGTGGACTTGCTGCGCCAGTCGTAGCTGGAGCCATCGGTGGTCTCATGGGTACTGTTGGGCTGGGTGGTGTTGCGTCTTTCTTGGGCATCTTCTGGATGAATGGAGCCCTCGTGGGCGCTCTATTTGGTGCTTTCGGAGCCCGCATGACGGTAAGTGTTGTAACTTCACTTTCTGAATGCCCGTGGCTGACGAAGCTAGGGTGAAATGGTGGACAAGTACGCCCGAGATGTCGAGGACTTCAAGTTTATTCCGCTGGCAGATGAATGGGGAACCCGAAATGCAGCAAACAACAAGGACGCCAGGCGCTTGAGAGTAACTATAGGCATTAATGGCTGGCTAACCACCAAGGACGACATCACGAAACCGTGGCGGCATCTCTCCGACGACGCCGAAGTATTTGCGCTTCGGTACGAGCTGGAGGCTCTTGAGGGGCTTGGCAAGTCTCTTGAGGAACTCGTCAACTCGTATGCCTGGAACACTGTCAAGATGGAAATCCTGAAGCGTACAGTCTTGGCAACTCTCTGGGGCGCTTTGTGGCCGGCCTATCTCCTTTCTATGGCTTCGACATTGGACAACCCGTTCTCTCTCGCCAAGAACCGGTCCGAAAAGGCTGGTGAAGTGCTGGCAGACGCCCTGATCAACAAAGTCCAGGGTGAACGCCCAGTCACCCTGATCGGATACTCGCTCGGCGCTCGAGTTATTTACTCGTGCCTACGCTCTCTTGCAAAGCGTCGAGCCTTTGGTCTTATCGACTCTGTCGTCTTCATTGGTGCCCCTGTTCCCTCGAATAGAGAACACTGGCAGATGATGCGCACCGTAGTGTCCGGTAGGATCTACAACGCCTACTCCGAAAACGACTACATTCTCGCATTCCTATACCGCACCACATCTGTTCAAATGGGCGTGGCGGGTCTTCAAGCGATCGAACACATCGAAGGTGTTGAAAACCTCAACCTCAGCGAGGAGGTTCAGGGGCACATGCGCTACGCAGGCCTGATCGAAAAGATACTCGCACGCTGCGATCTCCCCGTAGGCCAGGGCGTAGACAAGTCCATCGCCAAAGAAGCCAACGACACCATCACCATCGCCGACCTCAACAACCGACCAGACAACTCTGCCACCCTGATCGATTTGGAAGACCTCAAAATCTCCAGCCCTCTACAACAACCCCGGCGACCCAAACAAGACTCGCCACCCCCCTATTCCTACGCCCCTTCCCCCTCCACCCAAAACACCAACTTTGCCAAACTTCAATCCCAACCACCTTCCAGACCCAAGCAACAGCAAACCAGCACCACCATCCGAAGCTGCCCCATCTGCAACCGCAACATCTCCACCTTGTCAGAATCCCAAGCCACAACCCACGTCAACTCCTGCCTCGACGGCAACCAAGGAACCCCATCCCCATCCCCAACTGTCTTCCAACCAGGTCGCCACCCCCTGAGAAACACCCAACCCCAAAAACCAACCATGACCCGCAGCATGACGTCGCACCTCCAAACAGAAATGGACCCCTTCGGTCTCTTCTCCCCCTCCCCACCCCCAGGCCCGCCATCAAAACCCGCCCCTCACATCCCCGCCCCTCCTGACGCGTCCAGGTTCCCTAATCTGGTGAATCTGGATGATGCCAGGCCCCCGATGATCACCAGGGCGCAGACTGTTCCTGCGCAGCCGTCGACACTGGCAAGGTCGGATTACCCGCCTAGGGTGATCCCCTTGGCTGCGGCATCAACACCGGCGGTGTATGAATCCTCGCATTATCAGGGGAGGAATTATGACACCGAGGAGGAGGTCGACACAGATGACGAGTATGGAGGGGGGATCAAGATGGTGGATAATGATGATGAGTTGGAGTATGTTGATCCTAGGCCTATGGATTGAGTTCTCAAAAGGCGTAGTCTCGCACAAATGGGTTAAATAAGTATGGGTTAGGAACATGGCACAAAAGACAGCATTAGTGAAAGTATAAGTAACAATAAAGGATACTCCCGGCCTTTTGATTATTACCAGGGTGTTTTGCCTATGAAAAGCAAGGTTTTGTACGCCGAGGCAAATGACACTAGAAACAACAGAAATCAGGTATCCCCACCAGATTCATACCAAAAATCCCAGTCCCCAAACCATCTACTCGCTCTCCATCTCCTCCTCGTCCTCGCCCTCTTCCTCCTCCTCATCCGCCTCCAATTCCTCCTCATCAACATCCATCTCATACTCCTCCTCCTCCTCCTCCTCACCCCCCTCATCATCGCTCCCCCCCCCCCCCTCCAGCGCCTCCCTCTCCTCCTCCCTCCTCTTCCCCTCCTCCGCCTTCCTAGCCTCCTCCACAACCCTCCTCCTCTCCTCCCTCAGCTTCCTCTGACCAACAACAAACGCCCCCACCGGCGTCCTCTCCACCTCCAAATCCTTCAAAAACCCCTCCACCTGCGCCCTATCCTTGGGCGCAAACTCCACCTTGGCCCTCCTCTCCTCAATAAACTTGGCGTTGGCCTCCAGCTTCTGCACAAGCAACACCAAGCTCCCGCCCAGCTTCCCATTCTTATTCCCGGTCGACCTCTTCCTCGCCTCCTTCAACCACCTCTTGAGCGAGATCACCACCGGCAGCGAAAACTCCGGAAACGCGATGCTCTTGGCCCAGAGGACAAAAAACTCCGAAAACAGCTCCACCACTTGCTCCCCCACGCCGTCCTGATAGACCCTCGTGCGGAGGTACGACTTGGGGGCCTTGTACGCGACAGCAAAATCCAAAGGCTTGAGGGTGGACTGCTTGGGCGCCTTTTTCATCTCTGCCGACGAGAGGACCTCCAAGAGGCAAGAGGCGAGGGGGATATAAGTGTCCGTCGCTCTCGACAGGCGAAGAAGCGAGCGAATGAGCTGGAATCGCAGGGGAAAGTAGATCGCTGTTGGGATGAGGCGCAGCACACCCAGAGTAACCTGCACCAGGGGGTAGATGAGGAGCTTGAGCTGGGATTCCTTTCCGGCTTCGGCCTCCTTCAGGGGGCTGCAGTGCTCGGAAAGAACGCAAGACCAGAAATCCAGAGCGTGGACGAATTGCCAGTTGTAGACGTTGTGGACTTGCTTGTTGTTGATGATGCTGTTGCGGAGGTGGATGGCGAGCTGGCGGATCGAGGTGAAGGCGGTGGTGTAGCCAAGAGACTGATCCAGACCCCAGAGCTCGGCGGCCGAGTTCTTCATCAGGTTGATGCCCTGGATTGTGTTGTGGTTGGTGTGCTTGCTGTTGTCGAACAACCCGCGGTAAGCTGCCTTGAGAACGGCTTCTCTGACACCCTTGTCGGAAACCACCGTGAGACGGCGGATCACTAGAAAGGCTGTTATCCTGGTGCTGTCGGAGCTGGCGGGTTGAGACCAGAAAGCGACAATAGTCTTGATGAGCACCTTGAGGAGCTTTCTGAAGGACAAGAGATAAGGAAGGAGTGGCTGAAGGGCGTTGAGTGTGAGCTTGACGGTAGCGTCGTCTGAGAGTGTGCCAAGGAGGCGGATAATGGAAGCAGCAAAGCTCTTGATGAGGTTGGACAGCGTCTTGAACTTCTTGGTCTCGGTCTGGACGTAGGCTCTGCCGGCGGCGGACTCCTTGACAGGGAGATGGTGGTTCAAGACTTCAGGAATGAGCTTGAGGGCCACCATCAAGATGTTGTGAAAGACCTCGGGGTTTTTGATGCTGTAGCGTTGTGGGTTCTCCTCATCCTCCTCGTTCAGGTGGGCAGCGCAGCGAAAGGCAATCACTGTCTGCTTAGCAGCCTTGAGCGACTTGGTCTCGTTGAGCGCCTTCTCCCACTTGGAAACCATGGCCTTGGTCAACTCATGGGCGGAATCGTCAACCTCCTCTTCTTCTTGTGCCTTCTTGCCCTTCTTTTGCTTCTTCTTCGGTTGCTCGTCTTCCTCGTCGCTGCCGCTAAGCTCGTCGACCTCGTCGAGTGATGCGTTTTCGTCAAAGTCGAGAGCCTCTGGGTCGTTCTCCTTCAAGAACTTGTAGAATTCGGGATCCTTCTCGGCGAGAGCGGCCATGGCGTTCTTGGACATGCCAAGATCCTCCTCATCCTCCTCATCGCTGAAGCCAGCCTCGCTATCGGTAACCACATCCTCCTCGTTGTCGGAAACATCGACATCGCTGCCGTCGCTCTGATCAGAAGTCTCCTCGCGGGCATTGGCCTCCCCGCGCTTCCGCTTTCCAAGAGCGGCTGTCTTGCCATTCTCCGTTGGTGCACCCTTGTCGAGGATCTCGAAACCGCCCTTGAAGAAATCGTCGACGCTCATCTCGGTTCCCTGCGTACCGGGCTTCTTGTTCGTTGGTCTCTTGACGGTGCCATCGGCTCCCTTGAAGAACTCATCGTCCTTTGCGCGCTTGGCCTGCTTCTTCTCCTTGATCTGCTGCTTCTGTTTGATCTTGGCGACCGCTTTTCTTCTTTCGAGAACACCGCTGAGATGTTTTTGTTCGAACTTCTTCGTCGCCTTTGCGTTCTTCTTAGAGGCACCCATCGTGGCGAGTTATGGTGATGGAAAAAGTCGGCAATTGGTGTGGCTTTGCCGAACAGCCCCTTCAACAATTTGCTGGCTCAGAAGTCGCATGTCTCCAAACTTTTTTTGATGTTCCTGTCCGGGGTGCTTATCGGATTTCTTATCAGGCGGGGCGCTAAGCTTGGAATGTCACTAGCGCGGGAGCGGTGACTGGGATTCTGCCACCTTTGTTGCCCCTTATCGGACGATAACAGCTTCCCCCAACGTCGTCAGCTCTGGTTGCATCATCCATCCCCCCTCCAAGCTGTACTTGTGTGCCGCGATGCGCTTGCGCAACTGCAGCGCGAGGCCTTCACCATGCTAAACAGGCAACCATATGCGCCGACACCGCACAGCTACGTGCCAAACTCTACGCTCTCGGCGACTATAAATCTCGATGAGGTTCGTCCTGTTGTGCCTTGCAATCACCTTGATGTCCAATCTGCCCCGCACCTGTTGCCAACATGTTGCTGTTGAGCACCATCACCATCAACACGACAACTGCTGACTTTTGCTTCCGATGCCAGGAAGTGAAACTAGCCGACACCCGCGCTGAGCGCGACCTTCAAGACTCCCTCGCCGAAATCTTCAGCATCATAGTCACCCTCGACGAGCTCGAAAGGGCCTTCCTCAAGGACGCCATCCCCGAAGCAGACTACACCGAAATATGCGAGCGCTCTCTCAAACAATACAAGTCCCTGGTCGCCGATGAAGCAGTCGCCCGCGCCTTTGTCGGACTGGAGGAATTCAAAGCAGAATGGGACCTTGAAGTGCCCCGCGCCACAGAGCGCATTCGCGTGGGGATGCCCTCCACAACAGTGGACGCATCTGCTGGACACCACGGAGGCGGCAGCGGTGGTGGAGGAAATGGTTCCAAGTCTGAAAATTCGGGTGGTAAAAACCCTAGTGGACAGCTCATTCTGGAGGCGACGCAGGACTTCATCACATTTTTGGATGCGTTGAAGCTGGGCTTGCTGGCAAAGGACCAGTTGCATCCTCTGCTGACGGATGTGATTCAGTCTGCGAACAAGGTGACGGATAGGGACTTTGAAAACAGGGGCAAGATTGTCCAGTGGCTGATTACGCTCAACCAGATGAAGGCTACGGAAGAGCTGAGCGAGGACCAGGCGAGGGAGTTGGAGCTGGACATCAACTCTGCGTATCAGGGTTTCAAGGCTACCCTCTAACGAATGAAAGATTCCATCAATCCAGGTCCACGATGCTTCGGTGACCTCCAATCATCTTGATCATTGACAGGCCTATTAATCATACCAAAAACGTCCAATAACTAGGATACACAAACTCCTCCTCAAATATCCTCCTCACCTGCTCCAGCACAAACCTCTCCACCTTGCCTACATTCTTCAAACTCTGCTTCCCGCTCTCCCGCTGACCGATCTCACTCTCGACTCTAATCTCCTGCAGCAACCCGCCCAGCTTTGTCGCCCCCAGCCCATTCCCACCACCTGGCGGTGACTTGAAACCAGTTTGTTTATCCCCCTCCCCACCATCAACTTCATTCTCCCCCTGCCCAACAGCAGCGACCGCGTCCTCCGGACTGAGGAAACAAAAGTGAACCCTCTTCCTAATCTTGGCCAGCACCCCCACCCCATCAAACGTTAGCCCGGTGATGGACAACCTGACGGGAATCCCGACAAAGCTAGGCATGGGGTAGTCGAGCAGGATGTCCGCCGTGAGCAACAATTTGATATCCCCCGCGTAACGTATCCGGAAAACGGCTTGCATGTCGTCTACCTTTTTTTCTCTCAGCTTGCGCTTCTCTTCCTCCTCTTCTTCCTCGGCTTGTTCCTGGGCTGAGGTTGCCAAAGGGGAGGAGGTGGCTGGGCTGGTGCTGCGCTGTTTGTTGGTTGTGGTGGTGTTGGGTGCGTGGACGTCTTCTGGGTCCGGGTGGTGAGAGGGGGTGGTTTTGTCGCGGGTTGGGGGGCGGGAGGGGGGGCCGGCGGAGGCGGCGAGGGTGGAGACGGAGTGCTTTTCTCGGAGGAGGGGGTGAGCGTGGTGGGCGTGGTGGTGATGGGGGTGATGGGGGTGATGGGGTTTGGCTAGGCCGGGAGGAGGGGATGGGCCGCCGGTTGAGGAAGGGGGGAAGGGGGGGACGGAGAGGACGGTAGGGGATGGGGGGGTGAGGCCGAGGGAGGGGTTGAGATCGATGGAGCTTTGGGAGGGGTTGCGACGGTGGGTGGAAGGGGGCTGTTGGAGGAGGGGACGACGGAGGTCTTGGTTGGGTACTGGGGCGGTTGATTGCCCGTCGACACCGCCAAAGTCTGGGGCGCCGTATTGGTGGAGGTTTGGTGCTGAGGAGCTGTGGCCGTGGCCTTCTAGCCAGGCGGCGCTGTTGAGGTGGTGAGCTCCTGCTACGGCGGCGAGTGGTGTTTGGGTGCCTGATAATCCCGTGGCGAATTGGGAGTGAAAGTAGTGGAGGTTGGAGGTGCCTCCTGGAATACCGGGCGTGTTGACTCGTAAAAAGGGGCTCCCTATGTCTCCTCCATTGCGTGAACCACCGGCACCAAGACCACCCAAACCTCCGAGACCACCAAGACTGAGATGTGGTGGGAGAGCTGAGGGATTATGAGCCCCAGCACCGCCAGTTAACACCGCTTCAGTCTGTCGCCGTCTTCGGTCATCTGCAATTTCCTCCTCATCCTCCTCGCTGCCAGACTCTGATGCCAAGTCCGAATCAAGATTTTCCTCGTAAAAGTCTGGTAACGGGTCGGTGATATCCTTCAACTCAATCTCTGGCGGTATCGTCCCAAACTGAAAGTCATGCACGGTGACTGATTTGATGAAACGCGGTAATGGTACTGATTGGAACTTGGTGTGGATGAAATCGCGGATGCTGTCGGCAAGCTCTTGTCCATCAGGGCCGCCCGTGACCGTTTCCCAATTGAGATCGATGGACATCGCTTTGTTTTCGGGCAAATGAAACTAGTAACTCTCGGAAATTTAGTGGGTGTTTGATTGTCGTCAGAATGCCGGGTAGGATTCCAAGGTCTAATGGTTGAAGGTTGTCGTTACATGCAATGTAAATTCTCATTCACAAAGCCTGAAGCTTGAACTCTGACGTTTGGCAGTGGGGCTGACCAAAGAGAGCACTGAGAATCTCCTGCCAGATCTCATCCCTAATCAACAATTCATTTTTCTTCGCAAAATCAACTATTTTGCCTTAAGAATCATATGAGATGCTCTTTTTTTTCGGATGAGCCATGGATGAGCTATGGAATATGTCAATTCATGCGATACTCCAGTGGCATCTACGGCACCATGACTGATGGCTGCTCCAGCTTACTTCACACACCGACACTCGCCTGACAACATTCATTGCCCACAACAACTGATGGAAGCACTGCTTCCGAGTGTGAAGCTTGTATCAGACTCTGCAATGGATGACCTTGTAATCATTCATGCAACGGTTGAAAAGCAGCAGGTAACGTCCTGGTGCCTGAAGAGCAGGAAATGAATGCAACCCTAACCCTTCTCCGCTTTGGAGAGAAACTGCCGAGTGGGAGGGATCCACCGCCAAGTAGCCCCACCGTCTCCTAGGCAACAGCAGTCGCGCAAATCAACAAGCGGCAACAGCGTCCCACAATTCAAGTCTTTCAACAAGAAGGAGCGGTCACTGGCCATCGTTGCTGTTTCACTGTAAACAGCAGCGTCATCGCCCACACGTCAATCGCCCACCACAGCAAGTCAGCGTTATTATGAGGAATTGCTGTTAGTTCTGGCCTTTTCCGCGCTGTCCTTTCATCTCGTCACCTCGTGTTTTCTTTTTCCCTTCAAATACCCCTAAAAAGCAAAACACGACCAAAAAACCCAACGAAACATGGACCCCCAATCACCACCAAAACGGGTCACTCGGGCGCGTGCCGCAGCCAAGGCTGTTGAGTCGGCCTCGAAGACGACAAAGATTATGACTGCTGCGGCCAGGGCGAAGACGGCCCGTGGTACACTGACGACCTCCTCGGCCTCGACGCTCAACACCACCACGTCGCGAGGATCTCTCAAGCGGAAGAGCCCGTTTGATGACGAGGAGGAGGAGGAGTCAGATCATGAAGAGCAGAAACCCACTAAGCCATCTTCAAGTCTCGCTGTGAAGCCTACCCGAGGACGTGGCAGGCCCAAGAAGGCAACAGAGGCCCCATCAGCGCCAGTACTATCTACATCAACAAGGGCTAGGGGAAGGCCAAGGAAGACTGTCGAGACTATCGCATCCGAAACCGCTGCCAGGACAGCCCAGCCCAGGAAGACTGCCACAGAGCCCGAACCCGCTGCCGCAAAGAAGCCAACGACCCGCCGCCCTGCCACAGCTGCTACCGCGAGCACGGCTGCCAAGTCCCTCGCTAAACCAGTGATCAAGAAGACCGTCAAGTTCGAGGTACCTGAGAAGGAGAATGTTGCGCCGCCCTCGAGGAGCTCGACACAAGCTGCTAGCACAACTGGAGCCTTGAACAAGAAACCTGTTCGCAAGGGAGCTACTGCCACCGGCCGAACCGCCCGTGCTACCAAAGGAGCGACAAATGCCGTTTCCAATACAGTGAGTTCCACGAAGGATAAGCCACTTCCATTGAGTCCTAAGAAGATCAACCAGCTCGCCGTGAGCCGGGCCGCGGAATCCGACGACGAACTTGGTATGGACGAGAAGGTCCCCGTTCGACGATTCAAAAAGGCACCCGTAAAGCCCGCCATGGGCGCCACCAAGGCTCTCGCCTCCTCCGTGGACCGGAGACACCCCACGGAGAACGACGAAAACGTGCCGGTCATGCCTACCTCGGATGCCACACTCACACTCATGCTCGGAACCCCCGCAAAACGGCTACCTCCATCACCCTGGAAAGGAAGTATGAAATCCCCTCCGCGACGCGTTGATGGTCTTTTTGCAGCCTCTACCTCTCAAGCCCAGCCTGAAGGTCAGGTATCCCCCATCAAGTGTAGCCTTTTGCAAACACCCGCCAAGCGACAGCCCCTTGCCATTCCCATTGCCTTGGGGAGTGTCGGTGGCAGCCAGGTGAACCCTTCGCCCTTCAAGTTTTCTCTGCTCTCATCCCCAGCTAAACGCTCGGTTGTCTCACCGATCAAGAGCTTCCCGCCCAGGATTGAGGAAGAGGAGGAAGAATGCAAGAGCCCTGCGCCGAAGCCCACGTTGCTTGCCAGCCCCATGCCAGCTGTGCCGGTCCCTGCTGAGCAGGAGGCCAGGACTCTTTCGGATGAAGATGGTGACATGATCATGGGCAACACAGACGAAGAGGAAGAAGATGATGTCGCAGTCGTGTCACCAGAAGTCCCCGAGTTTCCCGGACGTCTCTCGACTATTCTGCCCCGACATGCAGACCCGGTTCTGGCTCTTGAGACGAGCTTGTCCGAGGAAGAAGAGGAAGAGAAGCAGGAGCAGGAGGAAGTACACATCGACGATGTCGTTGAGAACAACGAGAACAAGGTCGATGACGAGATTGAGGAGCAGGTGGAGCAGGTGGAGCAGGAGGAACAGGAGCAGGAGGAGGAGGGAGAGGAGGAGGAGGAAGTGGAACTCATCGAACAAGAGAATGACAAAGCCGCGGCGGAGGAAGACTCAGCCGAGACTTTCCTGCAGGAAAATGAGCAAGTTGAGGAACAGTGTGAGGAAATGGCAGTTGACAGCGCCGATGCTGAGGAACCTGAGGAGCAGGCTAGGCCTGCTCCCAAGGTTGCGCCTGCCCTATTTCAATTTGGCCTCCGCACGAAGGACCTGGACCCGTACCAGAGCGAGGACACAGACTCTGAGGATGAGGCTCCTACCCGACAAAACCCATTCTCGTCTGCCTTCACCGCGCTGCCCAACACTCCATGCCGTCGTTCCTCGTTGAGGACTCCTCGTGCTCAGACCAGTCAGCCTAGGATGTCGTCTGGTAGGAGCACCGCCAAGAGGGTCCGTATCGATGACAGCGTTGGATTCACTCCCTTGGCTTCTCAGCTCAATGGCTGGACTGCGGGACCTAGCCCTGTGAAGACAAACAGCAAAGCCGACTCCCCATTATCAGTATCACACGAAACAGATGAGGAGGAAAACACGTCTACAAATGAGGATCTCGCGACTCCCGGTCTGGAGCCCGAGAATGGTTTCTTTGAGAATGAGATGCTCAATCGGTCCGATGCCATGGATGTTGACGAGGAGGCGGTTGATTCCAGCGCTGAGATTGAGACTCCTATCCTCGAAGACATCACCCCCACAGAAGAGGACGCCGCCCTCGCAGCTGAAGCAAATGAGATGTCCCTCATGGAGCCCGAACAGGCTGAGGCCAACATGAGCAATTCGAGTCATGACGACACCATCTCTGAGGCAAGCCAGGAATACGGAGATGAGAATGAACTGCCAGTGGATCCCAACATCTCTTCTAGAGCCACCACTACAGCCAGTCCTGTCCCTCCGGTTACTCCAGCTCGTACCCTGCGCCCACGAGAAGTTCACACCGTTGCAAAGGTGCCTCTCAAGCCGGCCGACGACTCTACCCCTCGCCCTAAGCCAATTCAGCGTGCCGGCAGCGCCTCGCGTCTCCCCGTTTCAAGACCCACAGATCGCGTAACTCGGAGCGCAACAGTTATCTCGTATACGCCCACCAAGACTGAGTCTGTTGAAGAAATGGAGGATGAAGAAGAGGCACAGGCCAAGTCTGTCCCACCCGTCACTCCGGCGAAGGGTGATATCTGGTCGACCCTGGGGACCCCTGCTCGCACCCCGAGACGGGATCTGAACCCAGCACTGCTCCGTGGGGCAGTCGTCTTTGTTGATGTTCACACAACTGAGGGTGCTGACGCGAGCGGCATTTTTGTTGAGCTGCTCACGCAAATGGGTGCTCGATGCCTCAAGGAGTGGAAGTGGAATCCCACCAACACGGATTCCAAGATTGGAATCACTCATGTGGTGTACAAGGATGGTGGCAAGCGTACTCTGGAAAAGGTTCGCCAAAGTGAAGGCGTGGTGCAGTGTGTTGGAGTGAGCTGGGTGTTGGAGTGAGTTGTTACCTGTCATATTTCACCTTCTGAGCCAAGACTAACCAAGCTCAATAGCTGCGAACGTGAGAACGAATGGCTCGAGGAGGGCCCCTACGCCATTGACACCCAGATTATTCCCCGTGGTGGTGCCCGTCGAAGGAAGAGCATGGAGCCGCGCGCCATGTCCAACATGAACGGCACGCTCATTCCCGCGCCCGTGAAAGGTAGTACCTCTAGCAACTCTACGCCGACCAACTCCTCGACTACTCGCACCGGCAACCAAACTGCTCCCACGACCCCGGCCAGCAACCGGAGCAGCAGTCGCCGTGCCAGCTCCCTTTGGGTGCGCACCCCCGAGGAGCCCCGCATTTCAGTTGATGATATCGACTCGGAGGACGACAGGGAGCATAAGGAAGACGATGATGACACCTGGGGCGTGGTGTTGACTCCAGTGCCCAAGACCCCTGCCCCTGAAGCCATTGCTCGCTATGTGGCCAACATCAGCCCTGGCTCAGACATGTCATCTGTTGCTGGTGACGATGATGAAGACGAGGAACGCAAAAGCCAAGAGATGCTCACGCGCACCTGTCCACCCAAAAGGGCAACATTTATCGAGCTCGGGGAGCGGGTGCTTAACAAGGAAAAGGATGAGAGAGTCTTGATGAGATTGATGGCTGCTCGCAGGAAGAGCTTGCAGTTTGCGCCAAAGATTGGAAGCCCATTGGCTAAATCATGGCGTTGAGTTGGGTAGGGGGGGATCTTCGTTTGTGGTTTTGTTTGTTATGACACGCTCTTTTGAGAGACAGGATATGACATTGATGGACTAGACTGTGGTTTGGGTTTTGGGGGGGGGGGGGGATGGGGTGATGAGAATAACATTTGGAAAGGCGTTTCTGGTGGCTTCTTCTTTTACGGCATTGTCGGGGTACTTTAATCAGAGTAGTTGTGTACACTGGCATTGGTATCTCTGTTTATATTGATTGATGCTATTGTGGATTGTGCTGTTGAGGTGCGTTGTCAGGTGTTGTTGGTGCCAAGCAGCAAAGCACATAAGGGTACTGAGAGCTCTTTAATTACATCATTCTGATGTGGGAATGTCTTCTTTTGGCAAGTTGCCTTTTACCCCTCCTGCTTTGTGATAATAAAAAAGCAGCTATTCAGATGAGCCGATTGGGCTACTGGTGGTGTTTGCTCCCACATTTAATGCAATCTGCCAGTAGATCAGAGCCAAGGCCCTGTTCTCCAGCTGGAGATTGAGGGGAAGTCGGCAAGATGATAATCTGAATTTTTTTCACCTTAGCGATGAGATATCGCGGGGTATATGGTGGGATTGGGTCAAGGATAAGGGGAACGATTCATCTCGTCATGAATTACATTGGGATCGTGTGTCCTTGGTTGAATCCCTTTGAGCCACGGAGAGTCACGCCAAGGGAAAGTAGGTAGAGCCGACCAAATCAACTTACAGAGGTTCGCTGACTTAGCAAGAGCTCACTACTTCTTTTCGCACTCAAATTTCTAAGCCGTAGCTCAAAGGGATGCCTGAGTAGGCTGGGTATGTCGTTCAAGTCCAGCATCATTTGATAGGAACACAGTGGGCTTATCTCAACTGGCCCGCATTTCCAGGAACAGCTATTCGTTTACACCGGGAGGTTCTTTGTGGGTTCTTCTGTAACGTGCTCCGCTTCCAATTAATCCAACGATGTTGACAACTTCAAGTGCCGACAATCAACTTCTGACATCTCGTTCTTTATCTTCACATCTTTGTGTATATCCTTCATTGGTCAGCAATCCGACATTTTTCTGATCACGTCTTTACCGGGCCGCAGAAAGCAGGCCACACAATCCGATGCGGCTCGATGCGCCAGCCCTCACAAAACCTGGGGCAGGCCGGGTCTCATGAGGCGCTCGACCATCCAATATCACACTTCCCCGGACTTGAATGGACTGTGATAGGTTCGACTTCAGACCTCAACTACCGAGCATGTACATTCATATCGTTCGGTTCTGTTTCGTTCACCTCGCTCTCTGCGAAAGTCCCGCAAGGTGAGTTTAGCCAAACATCATGCTACTAGGTATCACTGTCGCTGTCGTCGTCAGCAATGAAGAAATAGGAATCCTTCCCCGACGCATCACCCTCTCATCAGACCATCTCAAAAAAAGACGACGGGGCTCTTGCTGGTTTTTGTGCTTGTCATCAAAGCAGCCAGGCTCCCCTGCGCCGCTCAGGCATTGGCCTGTTTCATCTGGGCCGACCTCCGACAGGAACCGTCGGGGGTCAGTCTCACGCCCCCTCACGGCGTGGGGACCGCCAGGGGGTCAGCCTTGAGCCGCAAGGTTCCGCAACTGCGGGAGCGACAGGGGGGTCAGGTCCAGAACACGTCTGCCGATGACCACCTTTTGGGTCCCTTTTGGCGACCACAGTCCGTGATCTATGTGATGATGCTGCCGGGGCGTTTAAGCATGTTTTCTTGGTACTTCCCCCCTCGGCCTTCTCCTTCCTGGCTTGTATTCTCCTTTTTTGTAAGCAAATACTACGCAAACAAGACACAGGAGTCAGCAGGGGAAAAAAGGTACAGTCTTGGCTTGGCTCTCCAATGGCGCGCGCCCCTTGTCCAAAGTCGAAACAGTTTCGATGCCACCTTGTTGAATTCCTCTCTCACTCCTGAAAGCTTCTTTTCCCTCTCCCTCTCTCTTGTTTTGCTCAGCAGCAAAATGGTCCCGTCCCGTCAGTTTTGATCTTTCGTTTCTCTTTTTCTCTCTTCTTCCCTCTTGTTGCTGGTCTGGACCTTTCAACCCACGTTCCTTAACCCACACCACCCTTTCCCTTCTTTTTCTTGACGTTTGATTCTTTATTACTTGGCGGCGGTGCCCCTGTTTGTTGTTGATACGCAACCCCCCACAAGTCCTTTACACGTTCGCGGTTCTTTCGGTTCGTCTTGTGTTTGTTGCTTGGTAATCGATCGGAGGAGAGCAGTTGCGGATTTGTTGTGTGGCGACCTCGAGACTTTGTCGTCCTCAACCTTGTCATCATCATCTTCATCATCGAGGAGGAGCGCCAACCGATTTCACCAACATTTTTATTTTATTCCGCCACTGGGTTGATCCCATTCTATTCTTTATCGACGGCTGGCCTGTTGTGTCCGCTCCCTCGTCATTTTGTTGTTGTTGGATTTGGGAGATATCGGCATTTGCCTAGTGCCGTTGTTGCGTGTGTTGTTGGATAGCCCGAGTGATTAATATCTGTACATGTTACAATGAGGCCTCATGTGTCTTCGTTAGCACTTTTCCTGGGCACCCTCTCGCTCGCCCAGGTAAGAGATTTCTCTGAGTGGGAAAGTTGAGATTGTGGAACTAACACTTGAGATAGGCAGCTGTTTATGAGCGAGATGGGGCAAGACTGGCGCGTCGTCAGAATGCCCCTTCGTCAGCACCAAACTTGGCGGATGGATTCATGAGCATCTACGACCGCATCGTTGCGAGGCAGGAGCAGGTGACGGTGACCGAGACGGAACGGCAGACTATTACTGTTGGGGGTGACGGCGCGGCGGGTGCGGTTGGGAACGCGACTGAGACGGTGACCATCACAGAGACTGTTGGAGCGGATGGTGCTGCGGCTGTTACTGTCACGGCGCCGCCGGTAACGGTTACGGTCTGTAATGGGCAGGTTCAGGAAGGGGGAGAAGCTGCTCAACCGAGCGAGGGAGATGTTCCGCCTCCCGCTGAGGGCGTCGAGGCCACGGCTACTGCTCCGGATGGAGCCGTTGGAGCTATCGAAACCGGAGCCGACCCGGTTGCTACGCCTACGCCCGCCACCGACGGTCTTGCCTCGGGTGGTGTTGGTGTCGTTGTTGTGCAGGTTCCTACCGAAGCCATTGTCACCAGCGCGGTTGAAACCGGGCCTCCTGCGGTTCCAACCGAGGAGGCACCACCCGCTGCTGACCCAGCCGTGACCGACCCTGCCGCTGCCGATCCCGCCGTCACCGAAGCCCCCGCCGCCGGTAGTGACGCACCCGACACCCTTCTCCCTCTCCCGACCGAAGACGCCAACCCCCCAGCCGAAGGCAACCCCGAGCTCCTCCCTCCTCCCGGCCTCTCCACCGAAGAACCCGCCGCCGCCGAGCCCACCGTCGACCCCGTGCCCGGCGTTGTCCTTTCAGAGAGCACCACCACCACTGCCGCCGAAGCAGGCGCTGAACCCACCCTCGCCCCTCTCCCCGGCCTAGACCCCAACGCAGGCGACGCCGCCTCCTCTCTTGCGCCCCTCCCTGGTTTGGAATCCTCTACCGCTGAGGCCCTCCCAGTCGAAACCCCCACTTCCACCGAGGGCGCCGCTCCAGCAGAGACTACACCTGCTGAGGAGTCCGCCCCAGCAGAGGAAACCGCTGCTCGTAAGTTAACCCCCCCCTTTTTTTTTTTAATAATCTAGAGTGATGCTGACCAGAGTAGCAACAACCCCACCCCCACCAGCAGCCGCCTCATCCCTGGACTCGACCCTCAGCCTCGCAAACCCCACCCCCACCGTCCCCTTGATCCCAGAAGGGGCCTTTGGCGGTGTCGCAAGCCTCATCCCCATCGCTTCGGCCGAGGCCCCGCCCCCACCGGCAGCCACCACACCAGCCGTTGCGAACGGTGCGGCAGAGGGCGTGAATAATGGTGGTGCTGCTGTGCCGGTGGTGGATATCGACCTGGAGGGTGTGAAGCTGGAGAGCCAGTTGAACTTGGGGGGATTGGTGCAGGCTACTGCTGCTGCTGCTGCTGTTGCCATTTAAAACAACCCCAAGGAGGAAATAGATGTGCAAAGAAGACATCTCTCTGATGGTACATATACTACATAAAGTTTAAAAGACACATATGAAGGGGAAATATACGAGGCAGGACTTTTTTTTTTTATTGATATGAAAGAACGAGGGAGTTTTGAACTTTGTATATATAGCGACTTCTTCTGGGTTGACGTTCGTTTTGTTTGTTTATTAGATGTATTTTTTTTGGAATGGAAGAGGGGGAAAGGAGCAAGTCTCCTGTGTTCTCAACATCATTCTTTGTTTGTTCTTGGTGAATGTGCTGTTTCGTAGCAGTTATGATGCCTGACAAGAGAGTCAACAGAGCCAGAACACAGGCCTGGGTACTTGAACACGTCAAAACGTCTTCAAAATTGGGGTATCAAATGCCTCTATCTCTCAAGCCCTATCTCACAAACACTCATGCCATCCCCTCCTTCCTCATCTTCTTGTTATTCTTCTGCTGCCCACCACCACCACCACCCCCAATCCCACCACCACCACCCTTATCATTATTCTTCCTCTTCTGCCCCTGTCCCTGCTGCTGCTGCTGCTGCCCCTTCTGCTTCTGCCCCTTCTTCCCCTGCTTCCCATTTGTCTCCTCCTCCTCCCCCTTCGCCCTCTCCGGTCCCCCCTCCGCAACACTCACAATATCCACCACCCCCCTAAACCCCCTCCTCCTCACCCCCTCATTCACCACCACCGCCCTCGCCCCCATAACCAACCCCTCAAACCCCCTCTCCGGCCCCAACCCCCAAACAGCCATCAAATTCACCACATCCGCCGGCCCCCTCAGGCCCAAAGCCGATTTCGCCTCGCTAGAAATCACTATCCCCCTCCCCTTCGTCGCCCGGACCAGACTCTGCACGTTCCCGATAAAGATGCTCCTCACCCGTGCCGACTCTGGGTTCAAAGACGAGAGCTGGACAGCCTGGCTGTAGCAGACTTCGAATCTGCTCCCTCGGTGGACGGCCGCCATGGCGGTGCGGGGGTGGATGTGGTACCCCAACGGACGTGTTAGATCAAGGGAGATGAGGGCGGGCGGGTCGGTGGTGTTGTTGCAGGCCCAGGTGAAGGACCTGTCGGATGTTGGGCGGAGGGCGAGGAGGTCGTAGGCGCGGGTGAAGTCGGGGAGGCGGTAGTTGGTTGTGGCAGGGTCGGTGATCTCGAGGGTTGCGCGGCGGAGGATGGTGGGGAGGGAGGAGGAGGGGAGGGAGGAGGAGGCTGTTGTTGAGGGGGTTGTTATTGAGGAGGGAGCACCACCACCACCGGCTGGTTGTTGTGGGTTGAGGATGGGGATGGGGTTGGTTATTGGGCTGGGCGAGTTTGGGATTTGGGAGCCGGTGATGGTGTTGTTGAGGGCTACTACGTCGTAGCCGAGGGTTTTGGAGAGGCGGAGGGTGTTTTGGAGGTCGGAGGGGGAGAGGCCTGGGGACCAGGCGATGTTGAGGTCGTAGAGCATGGTGGGGGGACTCGAGACAGTATGTGATCAGCGGTGGTGTAGTCCAGTCGCGTGTCGTCGAGGTTCGAATTGATGCTGCCGGATTAAATAAAAAATAATAAAAAGTATTGTTGCGGTCTAAGGTTGCTAACGTAGTCTCAGGTTATAAAAGCGCGCCCGTAGCTCAATGGTTCAACCGTCGCGAGTGTCGTTGGTAAGAATGTCAATGGTTAGTTCGATGCAGATTCAATGAAATGCCATCCCCAAGCTGCTTTGGCGCTTCAAAGTTTTGGACTTTTTAGTGGGGTTGACAGGTGTGGAGAGCTCCCACCTGCCAAGCTTCAGCTTTCATCCAATCAGTGCATAAAGCACATGCGTGGGTGCCGAGATCCCCAAGCTTCTTGGCGGGAGCTTCCCGTGTCTTCCTCGCTCTGCACTCTGCGCAATCGGAAACACAGCCACGTTGGAACACGCAAAGCGGCAACCCCCAGAGCGTCTTCGTCATTTCAACCTTCCCGAGATTAAAGCGAACAGGTTCATCCTTTCTCTGACAACCACCTTCCATCATCATCAACACCGACAGCTCTACCTAGCTCTACTCCGTATACTCCACCATCAACTACTCTATATACACCAACGGCGCATCGCAACATAGTATAGCTCAGCAACCGTCACCATGTGTTTGATATTCACGTGTGGCGAACACACGTTCCGCAAGGAAGTCGAAGGGTACGAAGGAATCGTCTGCCGCTGCCACAACTGCGGCAACTACTCGGCCTCTGTCATCAAGTCGCATCCCTGGTTTACCTTTTGCTTTGTGGTATGTTTTTGAATCATATCCCCGTTCCCTGCTCAATCGTCGATCCATGAAAATTGGTTAGTTACTGACATGTATGCGCAAAATGATGTAGCCCGTCATCCCTCTTTCCATGAAGGGCTACGAAGATGTCAGCTGCCGGGTGTGCAACTATTCGCAGCCGCTTTCGCACCGGCAGGATGTTCAGCAGATGCGCGGGGGAGGGGGGCAGGGGATACCGATGCAGCCTCCGCCTCCCGGGCAGGGGAATCAAGGATGGGGACATGGGCCACCGCCGCCTAATGGGCAGATGCAGTATAAGTGACAGAGGGGAGGGTGAGGTATGCAACGGAAGGGGAGGATGAAGTCGATGGTGCGAAGGAGCGCGGATGATCTAATATGGCGTTGGGGAATGTTGAAATTTTTTTAATTTTTTATTATTTATCTTTTTATTTTTTTTTTTTTTTTTTTAATTTTTATTTTTTTTTGGGGGGGGGGGGGGGTTGGTTGACGCTTGGTGGGTGTTAGGTGTGTAGAAGCCTCACCGATTTGGGCACACAGTACACTGGATACCCGGGATGTGCTTTTGTTATTACTGGTGGTTCGTCACTGGCGGCTCCAAGGGCAATGTTGGGGGTGATAGCCATCGTGCTCTTTGTTTTGAGGTAGCAACAAGGACCGGATATTTAACGAGTTGATCGTCTGTAGGTAGTCACCCTGCCCACAAAACAATTGAGACACTAAAGTAAGTTAACCTATACTATACTATAAACTATACATCAAAAGTAAGTTAATAGGCCTTTAAACGATCTTGTAAGGCCTGTTCACTATTTTTGAAGCCTTGTGAACTATTTTTAAGGCCTATTGTAAACTATCTTTAAAGGCTTATGGACTATCCTTTTAAGGCATGTAAAACCCACTGTATTGTCTCAATTATTTTGTGGTGAGGGAGGTAGTTTACATACCCTTTCTTTAAGCAATGAAAATCACTTCAATTCTGTTCATGCACGTCTGCTCATGGCTGTGACAGTAGGTATTACAATATTACCCTGCCGCCAACATCCATACATATTAGCCCCCGAGTCCCATCCCATCTCTTACACAATCACTCCTCATCCACCCCCCAATCCCCCTTCCGTCCCCAAGCCCGCCCACCCCTTCCCTTTCCGAACCCCTTTGCAAACCCAGCAGACTCTGTGCAATCGGGATCCTCGACCTCAATGGTGGGCGTAGGGACAGGCGTACAGTCACAAACTCCAAGGCCTCCGCCGCCGGGTGGTCGCCGTCTTGACGTTTTCCAGCGTTGTTGACGTAGACACAGAGTTAGTAACTGCCGGTCTGGCTGGGGGGTTGTAAAACAAGGACACAAAAAAGGTGCTTTGTTCACTGGTGGTTGCGGGCCTGGTGCTGGTGGTTGTTGGTGTGCGGGTTGATGCGGTAGTGGTGGTGGTTGGTCGTGTTGTCAAGGGGACCGGTGATCTTGTTGTGGTGATGGAGGCGGTTGATCTTGTTGTTGTTGTTGTTGTTATTGTTGTTGTTTTTGTTGTTGGGGGAGTCGTTGTGGTGGAGGTTGTGAAAGAGGAAGAGGCAGAAGTCACGCGGCGGAGGGTGATGGTGCTGGTTGATGTGGAGGTTGTTGTTGAGGTGGTGGTTGAGGAGGAGGAGGAAAAGGGGGGGGTGACGGTGACGGTGACAGCCGGGGCGGTGGTGGAGACGGTGATGTCGACTGTCTCTGTTAGGGTGATCAAACTCGTGGTGGCGGAGAGGCAGCTGCTGGGGGTTGAGCTACGAGGCGTGACGGTGGTTGTTGAAGTGGCAGACCGGAAAATAGATGGCTCAACAGTAGTTGAACTGGTTGTAGCCACTGGCTCTGAGGTCACATTGGTTGGTCTCGTGATACCGAGGAGAGGGTTCAGTGGATTCAGGATCACTACTCCTGCTGATACCGCCAGAGCGGCCGCGGCACCGGGGAGCGTCACCGTCACACCGCCAGCTACCTCAGCAGACGCCATGTAGCTCGGTATCACCGTGAGGGTGGAAGGCTCTGCTGTGGTTGTGGTGGAAGATGTTGTCAAAGCCTGGTGCAACTCTTGAAGTAGCTGGTGAGATCGAGCATGATTCCTCCCCTGTTGCAAAAGTTAGATTTCACTTTCATGTCCCGGGCACAATACATCTCACCAAGTGTGGTGCAGCGTCCACGGTCCTGATTAGGACAATCAAGGCGCCGAAAAGAAGTGGGAGTTGCATGATGTGTCGTAGTTAGAGAAGCGCCTCTGATGATCTGCTTCAGTACTCTTCTCGGCATGGCAAATGCATTGTATTATACAGTTCGTGTCAAAAAAGGGGATGATCACCAGGGAGAGCTTGGAATCGAGGGCACAATTCAAGTGTAATGCGGAACAGATAAAATATACATTGCCGCTATTTAGGGATGAATATCCCACGCAGCCAGACGAGACATACTGCCATGCAACCCTAGAATGAGCCCCTTGACAAAACCATCTGCACTGTAATGGCCGCTTCTCAATTGATGCTCGTTCAGAGAATGCAACTAACAATAGACGAATCCCTTTCTCGCCCGAAATTGCCTAGCTACTTTCGCGTGGCAAATCTTCCACGGTGCTTGATGCAGAGGGTATCAGATCAATGAGTTACAGAACGCCGACAATGTTGACCCTTTGCCAGAACAAAAGAAAGACGAAGCAAAAAAAAAAAAAGGAAAAAAAAAACCCAATTATCAACAGTCGTCCGGTTGAAAAACAAACTGGTAAGCGCCGCCCTTATGATGATGATGATGATGATGATATCAAAGATGATGCAATACAACCATTCCGGTTGTCTCCCCAGCTCTTGTTTCAATGCTCTGGGGGTTTCAATCCTCCCAAATCGTTTCCAAATCCAAGTCCTGTCGTCTCTCGGCACCACAAACACTCCACCGCTTCCGCTTGTCCCGGGAGCTGAAACCACTCAGGGTCCTACCACGAGATGGGCCATCAAGACTGCTCCTTCCCTTCTCTTCCTCGCCGCCTTCAGCTGCCTCCGCTGCTGCCTTGAGCTGCGCTATCCTCTCAGCCTCCAAAGCTGCCTCCTCTGCATCTGGTGAGTCTGGGATGGTTTCAAGACTGGAAATACTGGGGCTTCTGGATCGAAGTGAAGTTGGGGTAGACGGGACAGATGATGATGGATATGTCGAAAAGGTGGAGGTGCTAGAAAATGCATCATACGCGCGGTAAGACGGCGATGTGGCAACTGCAGATGGAGTAAGAGGGCCATGGACCGGAAACGAGCCCGCGCCGGGAACAGCCATTTGGCGAAGGGGAGAGGCCGGCCGCCGTAACTTGGGAGTAGTGGCTGAAGATGTTAAGCTCAGAGCCAGGTTGGGCGAACTGTTCCTCTCCGCAAGCTTCCGCTCAGGGTCGTGAACCGAAATCCGGGTTGGCGATGTGGGAAAGGCTTCGTCAACCGGCTTTCGGGGGATCCTAATGCGGCTGGGAGATCCTGCAGGGCTCGAAGGACGAAACTGAGGCGACAATGAAAAGTGACCACCGCCATTGATTCCTGGCATCGACTGTGTGCGCACCATGGGCGGCGGGGCCAGGCTTGCGGCCGACCTGGATCGCACGTGGTTGCTAGACAGCGGCGAGGATGCACGAGGACGGTATGTGAGCAAAGACCCAGGTGTCCATGTTGGAGAAATTGGTGAGGACAAAGGTGAGGGATCGGTCGATCGGCGGATCGTGGGAGGCTTTCGCAGGTAGTCGAATTCCGGAGGGCCGACTGGCGTCAACGTAGATGGAGTCGCCGAAGCAGAAGACGACGCTCTTGATGAGGGGATAGACGTGGGCCGAAACTCCTCCATTCGCTCTGTCTCAGGAACGGGTTCCATGGTGAATTGCTTGACTGAGGATTCTGTTGTTCTAGTCGTGGTCTGCTGATGCCCTCATCAAACACCGTTTATGATGACTTGGTCAGGAAACTCATGGAGCGACACAGCGACAGCAAAGTCGATCCGACCGAACCACCGGCTGGGAGTGGGCGCGCAACGGCAACGGCAACAGCAACCGCAAGCAAATGTCAATGCCTGGATGCTTGGATGATGGAATTGCTTGCAATGCTGTTCCCCCTTGCAGCCGTGGCTGTGTTGGTGAGTGTGGACTGTGGAGGGCCAGGGGAAGCTTGCTCCGGCTCGGATTTCGGCAAGGTATCGATCGCAGCGACTACTTCTGAGAGCGGCGACCTGGTAGTTGTTGAAAAGAAGCTGGAAGCGGTCACCAGCGTCTCACGAAGCTGTTGCAGGAAGGACGACGGGAGAAGGAGAGACCCAAGACTCGGTCAATCAAGACCACTCACTGCACACGCGCTGCAGATGCGCACTGGAATGCAGGGAACGAAGGATTAAGGCGGGGTCTTTACCCGGCCAGGGGTGCTGCTGGATGCGCGGAATGCACCAATGGGGCAGTCGCTGGGGAACTCGAAGTGGACAAAGCCCGCGAGGGAGGGACGACTAATCATAGACAGACCAAGAAATATATGGCGCTCTGTTAGTGACCCTTCGCTGACTTTTGCTGCTTGCCTCGGTGCTCTCGTTTTGGGGTAGGTAACGCATTCATCTCCAGGGACAACCTGAATTCGAACCAAACATGGAACCGTCAACATTACTGCCACAACTGCTGAAGTTGCCTCTGTCCGTGTCGACTCGAAACAACGGGTTGGGCTCTTGCGGTCTCACTCATCACTCTCAGCCCCGGCTTTTGCACGGATCACCAGCGTCCGTCACCTGCGTGCCTGCGTCCGTCTCGAGCCGCCGCCAGGTCCAGCTCGCCACCGGGCGAAACACTGTTGATCCAGAACGGCACCTGCGGTTCCTTGGATGTTTTGGGGACTGATCAATTTTTCGGCGTTAAACTCAACCATGGGACGAATATTGCCAAGTGTGCTGCCACTCCCGTCACCTACCTATCTCAGAGCATCCTGATCGATTATCAACGGCAATGCAGCAATTCATTTTATTCAAGTTGGACAAGACATTCACCAAACAACAGCAAAACATCTGAACACGAATATATGGATTACTATGCTCGTCGATAGCGGTCAATGGCAGCCAACGGCCATCCATACAGAGTACACACCGCTTTCTTAACTCCAGGTTGCTCATGCACGACTTGTTTTCAGGTCCGATATACCATCTGCATCTTGGCATTTCTTCTACCAGTCGTGGCCACCTCTCATCCACAAGTCACAGCATACCTAGCGGCAAAGCTGTTTCTCGCCATCTCCACCCCCGCATTTTAGTGATGGTGTGCTCGCCGGGGAAGCGCGGAGAGACCCACCCGGCCGGATATAACATCCGAACCGCTCATGGACCGTGCTTTCGGCAGTCCTCCCGGTGGTCTTCCGGCCGCAACATGACGGAATGACGGGACGCTGCGGTCCGGTGCCAAGGAACCTGTTGGTTCGAAACTTCATTGGCTCTCCACAGCTGATGTTGCCATTGTCACCTTGTCTCAGCGCCTGTCAGACGCTTACCACAAGCTCTCCCTCGTCCTTTGGCTCTTCTTCTATCTCAAAGCATTAAATACACTGGATGGTTATTCGAGAAGTCTCGGACTGGCACATGTTGTATCAGGGCATCTGTAATATCGCGGGTACCTTGCCTCAGGCGCGCTCTGCCCTGATCTGATCTTAAACATTCAACTTGTGTTGTCAACTCGAACACAAAATCCGCCCATGCTACCTACCCTTTCCAGGATGTTGATCACTTGGCACTGTTCTACAGCATTGGTTGTTGGTTCTGTCAAAGGCCAGGCAACCGTTTGAGGTGCAGTACGAACAACCCAAATGGGATATATCGTTGGTGGACGCGCGGCCATCAGCAGTATTGCATCTAGATGCAGCATCTAAACCATTCAAGCCCTACCAATACTCTCAGGAACCTGGTGATGCTGTACCGCAAAGAAGATCCGGGGGCGTGACCCCCTGTCAACAACATGCAAGGCCGTTCAGAGCCGCGTCACTTTGTGAGATGGGCAGTTGGCATTGATAGCCATACTGAAGATATACGAGGTTTAAGGGGCTGGGCAGTTCATCGAGGACCTCAGGTTATTAGTACATAAGCTTATGGCATGTCCAGACTACCCTTGAGCCGGGCATCTGGGAGAGCCGGTGATAAGGTAGATCGGTGACAATGGCAGCAACATCTCTTCGGGACTTTTCCCGACAGGTGAAAGCCATCACCAAGAAGAACCTCGTTCTCCTAGTCACACGGCACTGGATATCGACTCTTCTTCAATCCATTGTGGCTCCTATCGTCGTTCTCGCCCTCGTACTCAACATCCGAAACTTTGCCAAAAGCAGGGAACGCCTGGGGGTCGGCCATGCTCGTCCTATTCGTGCCCTCGCCGAAGCCATACCCGCTTCACAACAATTAATTCTTGTCAGACCTGATTTTCTCGGCTCTGATGTCGACACGGTCATCGACAGACTCGCCGCCTCGCTACCCAACGACAAGACCATTCGCTTCAACTCGGCTAATGAAGCCAGAGGCCACTGCACACCCAACTTTCGAGGAGTGTCCAACTGCTACGCAACTATCGTCTTCAAAGATTCACCGCTGACAATGGGCATTTCCAACAACCAAACATGGGACTACACAGTCATCGTCGACCCCATACGCCACTACGGTATGACTCTCGACAGCAGCGTGTATGACGATGATAGTGCCATCCAAATATACCATCTACCTGTCCAGCTTGCTGTCGACAATGCTATTACCGATAACAATGAGAGACCGAGGGAGTGGGCATACAGCCGGACGTCCCAGCAGTACCTCAACGACAACCTTGACGCTTGGTATTCCAGATTGGTCATCGGGACCTACGCCATTGTCTTCTTCCTCAGCACACTTGTCCCTGTTTACCATACTGTGAGCTTCGTGTCGGGCGATAGGGCGAGTGGCACGGCAGAGTTGATCGATGCCATGGGAGGAGGTCCGGCTGGCCGTGTCACCGGTACCATACTTGCACTGAGTGTGGTGCAGTTTCCGACATGGCTTATCTCTGGGTGTCGTAAGTCCTGTTCAAACAACTGCGTGAGAGGCTGCGAGAGAAGTAGGGACTAACTCGACCGACCCTATCCAGTCTATCAAAATCTACTCTTTCCCGAAACCAACGCAGCAGTTCCCATCTTCTGGCAGCTTTTCAATGGTCTGGCCTTCCTCAACGCTGCCATTTTTGGTGCCTCTTTTTTCACGAAGCGTATCATCTCTAGCATATTCGTCATCATCTGTTTCTGTTGCCTCGGAGGCGGTGCCGCCATCATGTTGAATCGGGTCGCCGAAACGCCACAGGTGCTTCCTCTGTCGCTGTTGTTCCCTCAGATGAACTACATCTTTTCCCTGTCACATGTGAGACTGACGGCTATATTGCTCCAGACGATCTGACAAGTTACTGACATTGTTTTGACAGATGGCCAAGTTTGCTTATACCGCTCAGCCTGTGAACATGTCGCAAGCCATCCTGACAATACCTCAAGAATGGAATGGCCAGCCAATTCCGGGTGGGAACTATCAGGTCGCCCTTTGGACATTCTGGGTTTTCTTGGTGATCCAAATCATGGTCTATCCCATCCTGGCCATCATCACCGAGCGGATCATGCACGGTACCAACTTCAAAAATCGGACACTGTCTGAGGCGGCTGATGACCCAACTGTTGCTATTCGAGCAACTGGTCTCACCAAAGTCTACTCTGGCTCGTGGATCAGGAGACTGTTTGGCTGCGGTCAGAGAGGCAAAACCTTCAAAGCTCTCGATGGAGTTGACTTGGTCGCGCCAAAGAATCAAATACTATGCCTCCTTGGTGTCAATGGGGCAGGCAAGTCTACGACTCTAGACTTGCTATCGGGGGCTGGAGCACCAACGGCAGGATCAATCACTATTAATGCTCGTCACCCTCGACTCGGCGTTTGCCCGCAGAGAAATGTCTTGTTCAACCGCCTTACAGTCTTTGAGCATGTCCAATTTTGGCGCGAGCTCAAAGGCGGACTTGAAGACAAACGAGCGCTTCATGACCTCATCGCTGCCTGCGACCTGACCAAGAAGACACACTGTCGGGCTGGCACGCTGAGCGGCGGTCAGAAAAGAAAGCTTCAGCTCGCCTGCATGTTCGTTGGTGATACGACTGTCTGTATGATGGATGAGGTCACAACCGGTTTAGACCCTGTTTCTCGACGGACTATCTGGAACATCATTCTGGCTGAGCGTTCCAAGAGATCGATGGTCTTCACAACTCATTTCCTGGACGAAGGCGAGGTTCTCGCTGATCAGATCATCATCCTGTCCAAGGGCCAGATCAAATGTCGAGGCACCGGAACCGCTCTCAAGAATCAGCTCGGCGGGGGGTATCGGGTGAGCATTCCCATGGGTGGAAGCACGATGGCGGACAAGCTGGACCTCGATGCGCCAAGAGGCATCCATCAAGACCGGATTCTCTACAAGACACCCGACTCCAAGTCCGCCGCTCAGTTGATCGCCAGACTGGAAGCAGCAGGACAGACTGACATCCAGGTTGCCGGACCGACAGTAGAGGATGTGTTTCTCCGGGTTGCCCAAGACGATATCGCTGCGGTTGAAGAGGACGGCAAGAAGGTTTCAAGAACAGCGGTCGACATCGAGAAGACGGCATCATTCACACCGGCACAACAATATCAACAACTCAGCTTCGGCCAGCGCCCAACTTTCTTTCAACAAGTCCGCGCGCTTCTCCTCAAACGCCTTCTCATCATACCCCGATATTGGATTGGGGCTTTCCTCGTTCTTGCTCTTCCGATAGCCTGCATGCCCCCGATCAACGGGTTCATCGCCCAGGACTTCACCCGGCCGGGCTGCAAGAATCTATACGCCGAACTCCAACCCTCGCAACAGTTCGATCCTTATGTTTCCCCTGTTTACATGACAAGCTCCACTGGCCTGAGCTCGGCCATGGGCCCGAGTTCGTTCACAGACACCTTTTATACTGTCCTCAGGGACTTTCCCATCGGCAACCCCCCCGCCCCTAACATCAGCGACCAGTATCCCGTATGGAGTGAGCCCTATTCTATTGATCAATTTGGCGACGACTGGCAACAGATGACGCACTGGGAAGACTTTTCGGCCTACATCCACCTGGCACATGCCAGAGGCTTTTCTGGTCATTGGAACACAAAAGCGTTGTGGATGGGTGGAGACGGTGAGCCCAGCCCGACGCTGGCCTGGGCAATCGAGAATGCACAACACCCCCCTAATATAATGGCGCTTTTGAACTTGTATTCTTCGGTGAGGAGCGGGGTCAAGATCCGAGTCTCGACATCGGCGGAGCCGTTTTATGGCGGGGGCTATGGTGATGGGAGTTGGACGTACATTCTCTACGCCGCGTTCATCTTCACGGTGTACCCGTGCTTCTTCGCGCTGTACCCGGCCTTTGAGAGGTCGAGCAAGGTCAGGGCGCTACAGATTTCGAACGGGGTGCGGCCGCTGCCGATGTGGACGGCGTACTTTTTGTTTGATCTGTGCTTTGTTTTGGTGGTGTCGATTGCGTACACTGTGACCATTTCGATGCAGTTTCCGGTGTGGTTTGGGCCGGAGTACATGTTCATTATATGTCTTTTGCATGGCATCACGAGCATCTTCGTCAGCTACATTGTGTCGACGTGGGCCGAGTCTCAACTGTCGTCGTTTCTGTGGGCACTGGGATTCAACTTGCTGGCGTATTTTGGGCTGGCGTTGGCGTATACTGTGAGTTCATCTCGTCTACTAACCGGACTTGAAGGTCGAAACTGACGGTTCTTTCTCTAGCTACCCTCTGTCTTGAGCGATCCGCTTGTTGTACAACGAAATGCCGACATTATCTCCCATGTTCTGGGCATCTTCTTCCCAGCCGGCAGTTTGTTTCGCGCCATGGCCGTCGGATGGAATTTGTACCAGCTCGGCTGCCGCGGTGATTCGGACTTTCAAGCACCTGCTGGATCGTGGTGGGGGTACGGCTTTCCCATCTGCTACCTCGTTCTTCAGGTGATTGCCTTTGCCTTCATTCTCTGTGTTCTCGACAAAGACCTCTCTCTTTCTTTGATGCCCTCACGGAAAGAGAAGACTTCACCCGTGACCGACAACACCGCTGCAACACTCCCCTCCCACCAAGAAGCAAAGCTGCAGCCCAGCCTCAACTCCACCCCTGCCGAAAATGAGCTCCTTTCCATCTCCCACATCAGCAAATCATTCGGCACCAACACCGCCGTCTCCGATGTAACTTTCTCCCTCTCCCAGGGCGAGATCATCGCCCTCCTCGGTCCCAACGGAGCAGGCAAAACCACAGTCGTCAACCTCATCCGCGGCGAACTCGCCCCCGACAGCGGCCAAGTCTTCCTCCGAGGCGAGGACATCTCCTCCTCTTCCTCGGCCAAATCAACCATCAACTCCGCCATCGGGGTCTGTCCCCAGTTCGACGCCTTGGACCTCCTCACCGCCCGCCAGCACCTCCGCTTCTACGCCAAAATCAAGGGCATCCCCCCCAGCGAGACCGAACTCAACGTCACAGAGGTGATGAACCAAGTTGGCTTGGCCCCCCACGCGGATAAGCTTGCCACCAAGCTCTCCGGTGGAAACAAGAGGAAGCTGTCGTTGGCTATCGCTCTGATGGGCAACCCTGCCGTTTTGGTGCTCGACGAACCGAGCAGCTCCATGGACGCAGCCGCCAAGAGGAAGATGTGGAAGGTGCTTAGCCATATCGCTTCTGCACCTGGAAGGTCGCTGCTGTTGACCACGCACAGTATGGAAGAGGCTGACGCGTTGGCTACGAGGGCGGCGATTTTGGCTGGGGGAAAATTACTCGCGTTGGGAACGACGGAGGAGCTGAGACGGGAATATAGTGACAGTGTTTGTGTCCAGCTGGTCCTCAGGTCAGCACCTACTCCTACCCAGAAAGAAGTCGAAACGGTGGAGCAATGGGTGAGGGGGCAGTTTGGAGAGGGGACGGTGTTTGAAGGTCGGAGCTTGGGCGGGCAGGTGAGGTTTGTAGTGCCCAGTTTGTTTGTTTCGGCGGCGCCTTCCAGGGTGGCGACTGTTACTGGCAAGGACGATGAGCGGGATAGTGTCTCTGCCGTGAGCAGCAAGACGGAGCAGCAGGTTGTGAAGGGGGGGGTGGGGAGGTTGATTGAGCTGATTGAGGAGAGCAAGGAAAGGTTGGGGCTGGAGGATTACACTGTGGGCGCGCCGACGTTGGAGAGGGTGTTTTTGAGTGTGGTGAGGGATAATTTTGTGGAGGAGGATGGGAAGGTGAGGGTGCCGTTTTGGAGGAGGTGGTTTGCGAAGGCTGCTTGAGGGGTGGTGATGGGCGCGTTGGTGATACCCGTTTAGAGTGGAGGTGTGGAAACAGAGACAAGAGTTAAAGGATAGAACAGCACTACAAGTAGACACTCTCTAGTTATTTTCTATGTAGCAACTCATCAAGAAACGCAACATTTTGTTTATTTATCCCTTCGTGTCTCAACAGCGCAATCCATGGCTGGGATTCAACTGCCATGCCCAAGGGCGGTTATACAAAAGTAAACAGAGTCATGGCATCGATGACATGTGGGGCGAGTTGATGATAATGTTATCGAACACCAAACGAGTTGGCAGACTGCTATTCAACTTTTTCTCCAGAGCATCTGATGTTGATAAGTAAAGTGGGTGTGCTCTTGGTTGCACCTCTGTGATGCTCCACGTTACCCCTATTTACCCCTTTTCTCTCTACCTTCTCTATCCTAGGTATCCCAGTCACACGGAAACACCAATACCTCCTTCCCTCCTTCCCTCCTTCCTCTTCTGCCAAGCCCCCTACTGTGGTGCAGGGGTAAGTTTTGCCTTCTTGTCAAGTACTCGCGCTAGTCAAGGTCCACCCTGACGATTGTATTCTACAAAATAATCACCATATCTATAGCTAGTATTTTGTATGCATACCATTCGCTGCAATTACTGCCTCACACCGACTGGGCATCGAATCCAACAGCGTTTGAAGGTAAGATTCCGGAAGCTCTTGCCAGGCCTCCTCCACGTACCTCTTCAACTTCGCGTACGACGGCTTCTCCTCAAGGCCGTATTTATCCTCAATATAATCCTTCATCCAATTCCAACAGGATTCAATAGGGTTTAAATCTGGGGAAAAAGGAGGCCAATCAACTACTCTAATCTTCCTATTCTCAAGATCCTTCTTCGTACCGGCCGCTCGATGGCCAGGTGCGCCGTCCTGCATAAAAGAAAGCTATAAATGGTGTTGCTCGAAGGTATCGTCAATAAATTCGTGGACGTTAGGAAGGATATTCTTTCGGTAAGAATACTCATTGATCGATCCCCATTCCTTTTCCCAGAAGATACCAGGGCCTTTAGTTGAGCCGTAAAAGCAGCCCCAGAACATCCACCCTCCTTTTCTCTGGTGCTTTTCAACGATACAAGTAGGGTCCCATTCCTCGTCGATTCGGCGTGTAACATACTGCTTACGGTGAGGACCACCAACTACCCAGGTTTCGTCACTCCAAAGGATTGTACGCCATTGTTCGAGAGTCCAGTCTTTATGTTCTATAGCCCAGGCCAGTCGCTTTTGCTGGTTGGCTTCTGAAATAGGAGGCTTCTTCCGAGCAACTCGACGGCGAAATCCGTGGCGGTAAAGGGCGTTGCGAATCGTAATCCAGTTAAGAAGGGAGTTGAAAAGGGCAATAGAAAGCTCCAGGAAGCTCATCCGACGGTGTGCCTTTGATTCACACACATACCGAATAAGCTCGAGCTCTTGATCGGCCGTAATAACGCGTGGTCGGCCAGATCGTGGGGCGACCTCGGCCGCCGGGGCTCGTATCGCATGGCGGATTTGGTATTTCGTATAACCAGTGGTTTCTTGAATTCGGGGTTGGCTAAGGTGGCCGTCGAAATAAAGGGTACGAATTCGTTGACGCTCTTCAGTAGTAAGGTGGCGATTGGGAGCCAGTGTGGTGCTGGCTGGCTGGCTAAGTGGTGTTGAAACCCGGAAAATACTGGTCTGGAGGAAATTGCGGTAGAATTTTGGCCGAAGTTGGCCTAGCCAAAAAAACAAGGCCCTGGGCGGTACTTGACAAGGGGGCAAAACTTTTGTACGTAACCACAGTATGTCGGCGGATCTAACAAGTCAATAGATGACGACATACTCACACTACAACCCCCTTGTCGTCCCCATGGTTAGTCCCACCCACCTCAGCCTTATCTGCAATTGCTTCACACTAACATCAAGCCAACACCAAGTCCTCGATCCGACCTTTTACGCTCCTTAAAAAGACAAACAACCCCGATGTGCACCTTCCTGCATCTTTGTCTCCGTGTTTGCCTCCTCACCGATCAAAACGTGGCTTGCTGAACGTACGATCGCAGCGGAAACAGTGTGTTTCTGGCCGGTCTACACATGTTATAATTTCCGAACCTCAACGGCGTTAACCTCGCTCATCGGCACGCGCTACATCAACCAGGTTATCGGCACCGATCACCCCTCACCGGCTTCTCTTTCGGCATCTTTCAATAATCAAGTGGCTGTCCGGGTATGTGTCTGTCCAGCTTCCGCTCGCAAACTCATCCGTTCAAGCCAACAAAGTGTGGCGTCCTCGTGGCGTTGTTTGCTCGCAAACAATTTGTGTCACCAATCACCACCCATCACTGAAGAATTTTGATCCCCTCGAGATCCCCCCTCCCGTTTCCAGCCGTCAAAAGTGTGGCCTTGTATCGTGGCGTCCGGCTTGCTGTCGTGGCACCACACCTTTTCTTCCCCCAAGTGATCTACCCGGTTGGTGGGTGATGATCCATCTTTCTAAATCTGTACCTCCGGAAATATGCCCGAATCCCCACTCTCACCATCCAAAAACGTGAGGTGTTTATGCACATTGACTGAGACCGCCAGCACAGTTAGGCATGGTGATGTGACAAACTGTATCACAGACAGAATTCGCGATGCTTGTCACAGTATCCGCCGGTACATGTACCCAGTGTGAAAACCGCTCCCCCTTCTACTCCTCATCGGATGTCGACCTCGACTTACACTATCCCAAAACTATTCACCGGCCTTTGCGCGGTGTGATGATAATCGGGTGCTTACCTCCGACAAGGACACCAACGACGACGACAACGGCAGCGCCCACGCATAAGGGTCCCAGTAAGACCCCGGTGCTGTTGCTCCCGTAGGGTTTGGTGCCGTGCTGCGGTGTCGCGTTATGTCCGTCCTCCGGGTCCGGGAGATGATACGAATAAGAAGTACAACCAACCACAGTGTGAAACTTCAGTAACCTCTCGAACACCTTCCGCCCCCAAAATGATCCATCCGTGTAGTTGATATCTCTCGTTTTCGCTTTCTGCCTGCCATTGTTGTTGTCTTTTAGAAAAAAGAAAGTAAACCTAAATCCTCCGCAGCAATTCCCCTTTTCCCCCTTTCCTATCATAGCTGCCGAAAGTATCCAAAACTCCCAAGAAAAAAAAGTCCAACAAGGTACATAATCGGCGGTTGATGGTTGATGGGAAAAAACACCGAACAAGCACCATGATTCGCTATGGCTTAGTTGGCAAGCCAAAATATGGCGTTGTGAGGGGAGAATAAAAAAAAAGAAATGCCTGGTACTCCACGGTACACTACCCGTTCTCAAGAAATTCGTTCTCCCAACCACCACCACCAACGAGGGTTTTCAGTGGCAGCCAATCATCTGTCAACAGGGGGGGTTTAACTTCACCTCATCCGCGGGCCTAGTTTGTATTTTCACCAAAAGCAACAGGCCACTCTAGAGCGGGAGGGGTAGCTGCAGGTTTGGAATCCGGCTAGCTGTCGCTGTCTCGTATTTGGAAAATGGGTGTGTGTGACGAACCACATGGGAGATCGAACGCAAAACAAAACAAAAAAAAAAGAAAAGAAAAGAAAAGAAAAAAAGCAACATCCGGCCTCTCTCTCTCTCTCTCTCTCTCTCTCTCTCTCTCTCTCTCTCTCTCTCTCTCTCTCTCTCTCTCTCTCTCTCTCTCTCTCTCTCGGGTCAATAACCCCCTCCCCACATGTCAAGTATTTTCTCTCCACAGACTACAAGAATTAGCCATGTCCAAGAAAGAAAACATTCAGGCGGTGTGACGCAACAAACCTGCCCCCTTCAATAACCATCAACTGTCGCCAACCTCATAAAATAACCGCAACAACACGAATGCTCACCCGATTCCCAAAGAACCCGGGTACTAAGTCTCATCAATCAAAAGTGGCACAAAAAAAAACCAGAAGTGTGTAACGAGGGATAATTAAATGCCTCGTGCTCGCTTACCCCTAACCCGCAGCTTTTCGTCCTCAGTCCAGCAGCAGCAGAACCAGGATGACCCTGCTGACCGACCCATCAGCTCGGGACGGTGATCGTCGCCGTCTCTGATCTACCGGGAGCACACACACCCCACCGTCCCATGCATAAATGGAACTGGGCTGGCTGGGATGTCACTGACCACCTGAACTCCCCCCAGCCGCGCCTGCATGTGCACGGGCCGCAAGATTCGGATATATACAACCCACCGAGAGGAATGCGTGTGTGTGCGTAAAGGCCGCCAACTCGACAGCTCACATATCGTCGGTGGGGCGGCCCCGAAGGATGGGGGGAGATCGGCTGATATGTGATAGATATCCAGCTATCATTTCTTTGCCGACTAAGTACACTGACACAAGGCGGACGTGTGTATTTCTTACCTCGGGGGGGAAAAGATGTTGTCGTGTATCTACTCCGTACAACCCTGGCATACAGTAGTAGAGAGCCTTTTGATTCCATCCATCCATCCATCCATCCATCAAGGTTCCCCTCGGTAAACAATCGGAAATACTCTCCTAATAAGGTCTGAAAAAGGCAACAAAGTGACATGTAACCCTGTGGTCAGTGGTCACAATGCACGACAAACCACAAACCACAAACGACAAGACCACAACGGGGAAGCACCTCCAGCTTGCCCGATACAACCCTGAATCCCTCGATCTGGGACATGATATGCCATCGAAAATCCTCCTTCTTTCCAAGCCCCGCGCTTGGTGTGTGGACCCCTTCCCCTTCCCCCTTCCTCTTCCCCCTCCCCCTCCCCCCCACATGCTCGACTTATACGTGATGTCATGGCTGAATCAACAGTCTCATACCAATATCTCGACTAGCCATTCTGGGTCGCCAGTGCAGGGACGAGAGCTGAAGAACAAAGGTCGCAAAATGATATCTGATAAAAGACAGATCGATAGATAGCGAGCCCCACTTCATGTGGTGATGTGGCCTGCGGGGTTGAAAACTCCCCCCAGCCACAGCCTAAGCAAACACTACCAGCCTGATGGCTGCAGTCTGATCTCGATAGTACCTTGGAGTAATGGAAATGGTAATGGAGTCTGGCAGTAACTGAGATGCAGCAAAGTGTCCATTCGGCAATGATCAGCCACATGCCGCCGCCGAGAGACTACGTCGCGCAAAAAAACAAAAAAAAAAAAGAAAAAAACAAAAAAAGAAAAAAAGAAAAAAAGAAAAAAACGATCAAGAGAAAAAACGTGGTCTTGCTGGTAATGGATTTGATTGAGGGCCGCCAGTAGGCGCTTGTCCAGCAAAACCAGCCTGTGAATAATACTAAAACACCAAAAGAAAACACACGATTTGCGCCTTCTCCTTTTTTTCCCAACTGCCCCCCTTCATTTGAACCATATCCCCTTTTTCCTTTTCCTTTTCCGTTTTTCCCACCCATAGCACAGTAACAACACAGACGCCATCTCGCCAGTTTTAGATCCTTTCCATGCACACTGTCGTCCCGAGATAGAATTAGCAATGAAAGATGTACACACACCCACCCACCCACCCACACACACACACACAAGATGCCCAAGAAAAGTGCGATGCTATCCCCAATCTAGTTAGGCTGAGAACGAAGAGGAAAGTAGAAATCGGGCATGGGGTCCAGGTGCCAGTTCTTGGTGCCCTGCTCCTTGAAGGCACGCTCCCACTCATGCTCCAAAGCGGTGGGAATGGTCCAGCCCTCTCGGGAGCTGCGAAGACGCATGCGGACGAGGTGGCGCTTCTCCGTGGGACCGTCAGTAAAGCCCTCACGACGGTGGAGGATGGCCAGGTTGTTGATGAAATGAATGTCGCCGGCCTGAGTTTGAATCTCCATCTCCGTAGCCCGAGCAATGGACTCAATGGCATCCAAAGCCTCCATTTGACTGCTGGTCAGGGATGGGAGGTTCTTGGACCGGGGATGAGCCTCATTGCCGAGGAGAGCAGCACGGCCAAAGTTCATAATCAACCTGTTATCCTGGTAGAAAATGACAGGACGGCACTGGAAGCGAGGACTGCAGGCAGACAGGGTGGTGGTCAGCCGCAAAGCTCCACAAACGGCAAGCCAGTTAGAAGCAATAACTTACAGCGCAAATGGCCAATCAGAGCGAGCCAAGGTACGGATGATATCCGGGCGAGTGGCCGCAAGAACGTTGTAAACGGTGTAGGCCGAGGAAATAATACACTTTCCGCCGGCAGCAGCAGTGCTGCGAGTCAACCAGCTGATGACATCTCCAGCCTCCTCATGGTGGAAAGTCTGCCACATGTCAGTGAAGCCCCAAAGCGCGCGAAATATTGGTGGCTTACAATCGACTTGTTCGAGTGTCTGTGGTGCTCGGCGGCCAACTTGGTGCTGTTGTCAGCGACGATGTGGACTGCGCCAGAATGTGTCAGTTAAAAGGTCAAGGTTTCGAGGCCCAAAGACATGCGTACCCAGCATGTTGCCACGCTTGTCCTGGCGACCGCGCTGCTCGGCAATGTACGATGAAAGGCCAAGGTAAACCAGGCTGAGATCCTCAACAGGATAGGATGCAGGCTTGAGGCCGCGGATGACAGAGAACCCCTTCCCGTTGTGAACCTCGCGGCCGAGCTTCTCGAGCTTCGGCCCAAGGGTAGGGAGAGGGAAGTTGGTAGGCTCAACGAGATCTCCATCCTGGTCAAGGGCTACAACGATGCGTCAGTGACACGACAGGATCCTGCAGGAATAACTCCAAGTAGGAACGCACTCTTGAAGTGAGCAACAGCCGCATTCACCTCCGTGATGTCATCCTCGTTCAGACGAAGAATAAAGTCAGCGGCCACCGCCAGGGAGGCGGGAGTCCAGGCCAGCTCGCTGTCGAGGTGAGACGGAAAGCCAGACGGCAGTGCTGGGGCAGCAACAAGGTTGACATTGACGTCGGTGATTGGGGCAACAGCCGCCCGGGAGATGGGTCCGGATACAAGAGCAGACATGGTGGGAAAATGTTGAGAGCTGGTTCGATGTAACGTAAACAGGTGGGAGCAGGTCGGTACCGGTCTAACAGATGACCGAGAATAGACTTTAAAGGTTTTCGAAAAGAGAGCCAATGGTGCTCGGACGTGTATGCTGTGGATGCGAAGACACAGGACAGAGAAATGAAATGAAGACAAGTGAGGAGGGAAAGAACGAGAGAGAAGTCAGGTTTGGGGGAAGAAAGTCGCACTGATATAGTTTTGTCAACTTGACCTCTTTGTGCTTGCCCAATTCCACTTGCTGCCGCTGTCCGAACCCAGGAAACCGGTGAGCTGGTGGGAAATAACGACACGGCGAGGACCGTAGCCGTCCCGTCATTGACCTGGCCGGAAGGCAGGTTGTGGTGCTTACACAAGAACGAAAGGAACAGGCGATGATGTTGAGAAGCAGCCGCACGGGTAGCCAGTGGAAGCTGGCAGGAAGGTACATGCTACCCAGACAGGGCTGCTCAGGCCAGGGCCTGTGAGGCACGGCATGAAGTAGAGATATCTTAACTCGCTTAGTATGCCCGGCAGGCACAAGGAGTAGCGATACTCGAACTTGGGCATGGACAGACAGAAAGATGCTGAACTTCCTCCGAAGTGCTGATAGCAGCCATGCGAGTTTCAGGTCACCAATGGAAAAACGGCCGTCTTTAGCTGTCCAAGAGAGCACCACTTGACGTTGCCCTGGCCTAACCAAGGTGGATGACTCGCGACGGAGTGGGATGTAGAAAGATGGGAGCCAGGGGTGTGGGAGAGGTGCTATGCGAGTACTTGCTCCAGGCTCTTGACCCTGTCCGCGCAAAAATGCGGTTGGAGGCTTCATGATTTTGAATGCAGGTGTCCTGACCGTTTGGGTCGATCGACATGACTCGGTCAGTCAAGTACGTTCTTTCCTAACTCCTAGCAGTCTGGTAGCTATGAAGTGTGGGGTTGGCAGTGACAACTGTATGGAACCAAAAGCGGGAAATCCCAATTACGACTAGACCGGTCTCGGGCCAGCCCAAGCTAGCCTAAGCGGAAGTCGCTGCTGAGAGGAGAGGACGACCAAGCAGGAATGGATTCATGAAGAAAAGCCTGAGCATGTAATTGAAACGAACGCCCGTGGAGAGGTGAAAGCAGCTTCGATTGCAGTTCCGCCCGATGCACCACGATTCGCTGCTTTGGGCACTTGCCTCTGACAAGCTCCTCATCAAGGTGCCCTGTGGTGTGGTGTAACCATGAAAGATCGAGACTCTTGCCTTACACGACGGTCCCTGACGAAGCTGGTCGGGCAGGACCCGGACGTGGAAACCAAAGACTGCAAAGTGATAGGTACCTTGACACGAACTAGTGGCCAACGGGGCGGGATCTCCTTGATCTCCCACATGATATGGTGCAGCAAGCAAGGCCGACCCAGCCGGCCGATGCCCTGCGCGAGGGCGATGGGCGAAGATGGAGCATATCGTGGAGACAGAGGCAAGAACATCCATCCATCGGATGCGGTCCTTCCAGGTTCTCGACGGCGCACCAGAGACTCCGCTAGTTGCTGTCACACCACCGGATCGCGACGGCGGGGTCTGGCTTCAGGACACTAGGTAGGTACGTAGGTAGGTATGGCGGGAAGGAGCGGGAAAAGAACTCGGACGACTCTCCTTGGTAGGTACGATAGCCCCATGAGACGAGAACGGAAGGCACCACTGTTGGCGGCAAACCCTCTGGCTGAGTCGACCGGTGAGAGGGAGAGCTCCGCCAATGCGTCGATCGGTGCCGTTCTCTGGATGGGAGCTGCCGACAGATACGATAACCGGTCTGTCTGTTTCCGGGCACGACATGAGTGAGGTGGCGCGATGTCGAGATGTGAAGCTGGGCAGGAAGGCCTCTTCCATTGCCTGCTAGGGCGGCAATAAAAAGAAGGAAAAGATCTTCCAGCAGCCCAGCCAAGAGCAGATCAGGTTTTAAACAGTGCAACAGTGCAACATGGGAAAAGGGAAATGGATGGAAAACAAAATAGCCATCTAAAAGCGTGTCAAATGGGCCATTGTGGTATGGGAAAGGAACAAGGGGGTTTGGGGAGACATGGCTTACCATGGAACTCGCAGTTGAGTATCACGGCCGGGCGATCTTGCATGCTGCCACAGCATTGGTGCCTATCCACGACGGGAGTCTAAAAAGTTCCTTTGTTGAAACAAGGAAATCGAAAATCTCAAGGCGCTTGTGGAATGAGCTGCGGGATACCGCATTGCATATGCAAGCTCCAACTGCAGCAGAGGCGCAAGGCCAGTAGCCAGGCTACTCTGCATTGGTAAACATCTACAGAGCCAAGCACGCAGAGCAGGTGCCGTAGATGCCTTTTTTGTCCATGTTTGGCACCCTCGATGTGTAGGTTGCCGGCCGGTCAAGGTCGCGAAGCTCGGGTCGAAAGAAGAAGAGGATGATGGGAAGGGCCGGGACAGCGGGACGGCTCACTGCCGCTGCTGTCTCGTCACACAAGAAAACAAAAAAGAAAAATCGGACGAGCCGCATCAGGGACCTCGGAAAGGCGCAGAGCAGCGGTTCTACACGATCCATTTACAGATTTTGTTTGTTGGGAATATGGATCGTGGTGCCGTGTCGTTGCGTAGGCAAGAGATACTGAGAGCAGTGGACAGGAATCTCGAAGGCTTGGCGATCACACTTCAGCCCTGGTTCAATGATCAAATGAGCTATTCCTTTCTGGGACTAGCTCAATGCGGGGGGGCCTCGATGAAGCCCAGCCAGCAAGTCAACCGCAGCCGCTACGACGCTGGCTTGCAAGTGTGGGGTGACGGAGGCACACCAACATTACATCTTGCCATGATCTGATGACAAAAAGCGGCTGTTTGGCGGATCAATCCGGTCACTATGCACACACTCCGTGTCAAATGGGCAGAGATGCTGTGGTCGAATGAACAGGCAAAACACTTGATACTGTGTCCTTCCCCATCGCCAATGCTGTTGGTGGGGGGTGACTATAGTGACAAGAGGAGTAGTCGTACAAAGTGACACAAGCTGAAGGAACGCGCGAAGCCCAAAGGAGACCGTCAAACTCCCCGCCGGCAATGTTTCATGAGCATCAGAGGCCCGGCTCGTCCATCTGTTTCCAACAAAGATTCCAAAGTCAACTCCCAAAGACCCCTTCTCACATCCTCTTTCTCTGCACCTGCATTAGGTCCCTTAGGGCATGTTGCGTGGCTGCCAGTTCGGTTCGAACAATTGGCTCACATAATAGTACTCATGCTCGTACTTCTTGAGGCCCTGATCCTTCCAATCGCCTTCGTTCTTCCACATGCTTTCCCATTGCGCTTCTACACACCGGGGGTCAGCTGCTGGTTCCACGAGACAGATGGAAGTCTGTGGAAGTACTTACTATGCTCCGCGACGTACTTTCTGGTGTAGCGAACGAGCTCAATGGCATCGTCATCAAGTTCTGCCAGACTTCGAAGGTCGGCATCCCTGCACTCGGCAGAGAAAGGGTAGATGCCCTTATTGCAGTAGTGGAAGTAGGCAAGCAGGGTGTTGGCTCCTAACGCGCCGTCAGTGTTACCCATCACAACTGGTCATGAGCATGGACTAACCCATTTCATACTCCTTGACGCTGTCTTCTCTCGCCCAATGTCTCTGTGATCACATCTTGTCAGTTCCAGGAACCCATGACTTGCAGATAGCGGGGTCACCAACCTTCATCCCGTGCTTCCTGGCATAATTTGCATCATGCTTCGTAACAAGACCGATGTTGTGCAGTAAAATAAAAGTCACAAGGTAGGTAGTCAGCCATGTCTTTTGCTTCTTCTCCTGTGTCATCTTTTGAAGTTCTTCAAGCGTCTTTCGGCGGAGGTGTGACAGAATTTGGTGTATCAAGAACGAATCGATCTGGGCCCCGAGCACAGGTGGGACAGGCGTCTTCCGGTGCATGTCATTGGTCGGGTCGTTGATCAAGTCCAGGGGCATGCCAAGCCTCTCGTTCCCGATAATCTCGAGCGTCTTCGTGGTGAGCCGTGCCGTCATCCAAAGGTCAAGAGTGAGTCCCAAGAGACCCCGTTCTGATTCCGTCAAGGAATGGTCTCGGTCATCTCTGGCTCTGCTGATGGCGAAAAAGTATGTTCTGTGAAGCAGTTTGTCCCGAGCACCCAGCAGGCGCATGCAGCAGTTTTCCAGACCGCGCTTGATGTAGCGGCTGTAAGAGTTTTTCGCATCCTCGAGATCGACAATGGCGAACGGCGGGATTTTTCGCCTCTGCTTCACGCCGTTCTTGTCCACCCAGGTTCTCTCCAACTTGTCTCCTGGCTGAGGGACAAACTCCCTGACGCGCAGCTCCACAAACATATTTGTGTATCCTTCCGTCACACGAATCGTCCTCTGCTCTCCAGGAGCCCAGACCTCGATATCATCGAGCACGCTGTCCTTCCAGCGGCTGGTCCACTCATGACCAGGAACCTGGCCCGGCTTGTAGAGTTTGCAGTCGACAATCTTCAACCGCAAGCAGTTGAGCCGGTAAATTCTGGTGCTGACGTTGACCTTTCTGCAGGCGATGCACGGACCATTCTCGTTTTCAGGGTCCAGATTGCACTGGTGAGGATTAGCACGTGTTTTACACTGAACTGATCTGTAGATCAAGGGAAAAGACTCACACGGATGCGCTGCATCTTGCATCGAATACAGCTGCCCATCTTCCTGGTCTGCGCGGTCTTGGCTCTCAGCTCTTGATCCTTGAATGCACCTCGTCTTGCCGGGACGTTTCTATGCGCAGGATACGTGTCAAAGTTTGGGCCATCTGGCCTATCAGTGTCGTCCTTGAGACCCAGGCCGTAGAGGTCCTGAAGACCAGCCAGTTCTCCAATTGAAGCGCCATATTGTGTGGTGACAACCCCCCCACCGTACATGACAGAAAGAGCTTCGGACTTGATGGTGGAGCCCATAAGGCAGTGCGATCCTGGAGCTGTGTAATTAGGTCCGTGATGAAGACCATCTCCAAGCCCCGGCGGCGCAACCGGATAGACCATCTCCTCCCTTGTTGTGGATGGCGGCATGCCTACTACGTGTGTCGGCCGCAGAGGCGGGTAATATCGAGCCATGGCTGCCGGATCATCACGAGCGAGAACACTTGCTTGATTTGAGGGCGAAATCGTCAGGGTGCGCTCCTGCGGTGAAATGGGAGCCATACTGGGCCCAGGGACGGGCGCCATGGCTGGGCCATATTCATAGACTGGTGTCTGAGGAAGCGGCCGATAGCCTGGAGGCAGCATCAGCACCACACCAAGGAGACGGAGGGCCAGGCGTGATTGTGTGAAAACTTACTTGGTGCGGGGTCACATGGGGAGCAAAGGCTCGAAAAACATTGCGCCAGCCTCTGGCTGGTCCATCCAGGCCAGCCGTCGCCCGAGAGAGGTGACTTCTCGTGGTCACCCTGGCCGATAAGATCTCCGAGAATTGGGCGCTCATGAGGAGATTTGGGAGTGCTGAGACGCTGTCTCTTGTGCGGGTTGTGCCAGTTGCGTCGAGTCGAACCAGTTCTCGACCTGGTTCACAGACACATTGAGATTAGGAAGCGGCGCTCTCGCGTAAGCGGAGGATGACACCACACGTCCTCCAGCGGAAGCTCAACGTATATGTTGGAGAAGTCTTGCGGCGTGTACTGATCAAGCTTGGTGTTGAGGTGGAATAGAGCAGGTGGCTCCGCTGAGGAATAAGTCCAATCCTGGAGCACTGGCTCTGAAGGGGGATCCTCGAAGGGATGAGCCCTCCGTTTTCTGACGGCGTTGTTCTAGACAAAAAAAAATCATCAACTGGCTGTACAACGAAAGCAAAAAGGGGGGCAGCACAATGAGGTGGTGGTTCACAAGGTAAGGGCCGGTGAGCAAGCCCCGGTCATAGTAGGAACTTCGGAGGGGGCTCGAGGGGGAGGAAATATGTGAGTGACGTGAGGGAGGGGTGTAGGGGATCAAGGTGAGTTGGTTCGAGTGAAAGGGGAGCGTATATGTGGAGATGTGTTTGGCGTGTAGAGTACCAATGTGAGGTCAAGGTGAAAGCAGGCGGCGACATGGCTCGGGGACATGTGCAGGGAAGACCAAGTTCAGAGGCAGAAGTCGGTGACTGCCACCATGCAGCCTGCCGGCAGCGAGCTCAACAACGAGAGACAGTCTTCTTACCATGGTGAAGGACAATCAAGAGGTATTCCACTGGGCAATCCGAGGTCAATAGAGACCTAGGGTGTACTTGGTCGGTATGTACACCGGTGTGGATACGACCCTGGCAAGCAGGGAAGCACAAACTCTGGGAATGTGAGCAAGCAGCAGCACCCGGCGGCGCACAAAGGCAACCAAGGGGGAACCTGCTCCGGCCCCAAGGTCAGGCAGGTGGCCCTCGAACTGGTGGTGAGAGGGGTTGCAAGACGCAGAAACGTAGGCGTCTCACAAAAGCGCCATCGCCACGGGGACGACAGCCCCGTACGACCGATGGGGAGCTGCAGCAAGACACAACTGAGCAGCAGTCGGTGCAGCCGGCTGCGGACGGAACTAGGTCAGGAAGAGTCGGAACGACACGAGGCGAGGAGGGGTGACAAGGGGGCTCGCGAGGAGGAGAGGGGCATGAATCCAAGCCAAGATCCTCGGTCGGCAGGCAAGCAAGCAGAAAGGGGGAACACAATCTACTGCTCGGTTACCACCATCCCCAGATCTGCGCAAAAACAGCCTTGGAGGGGAAATCTTGCGTGTGTTCCCTCGCCCGCTAGTGCCGTCTTTTGGCCGTCGTCGTTGCTTTCAGACGGCGCCGTGCTGTCAGAGAAAGGATGTCGTAGAGAGAGGAGCTGGCCAGGGTGTGGTAGCCGAGACTATGGTACGGCTCCTCTCAGGTCCACAAATCTGGTGACGGCACGCAATTGCGCCAGCAGCGCGGGCGATATGGGCCCTGTTGACGGGGCAGGTCAGAGGCTCCTGGACGGGAGTGGAGTCGAGGTTGGGCGTGAGGGGCGTGATGCTGATGGGCAAGTCGGTGAGGGCACCGGTCAAGGCTCAGCGGCGGGAGTTGTCCTGTGCCACCCAATGGTTCGCGGTAATACACGCGTGTTGTCTTACGGGCCGGACGGGGTTGAAGGTTCCTTGTTGCGCGGTGGGGACTGGAATTGTCGGGGGTTGAATGCGATTGTCTCGTTTACTTGCAAAGGAAGGGAATCGGTGTGAGCTTTGGAGGAGATGGGCGAAGAAAAGTGATTCACCGGTCGCCGGGAAGGCGCAAGCTGACCAGTGCTTGGCTAATGAGCACCACCCAAAAATTGGGCGGACATGGGGCAGCAAAGCCGGGTCCGTGAGTCTCGAGATAACGCAAGTTGCAAAGTGCGTGCATGGATGTCGATGGAACCTCAATGCGCGGTGCAAAAGCGGTCATCTGGTCAGGCCATCGAGGGTGGGAAAAAGAGCGGCATTGGATGCGACGGGAGGACAGGGGATAAGCTCGATGTGATAACTGACAGACAACTGACTGCCCGGTTGTTGGTTGTACGTCCAGTCGTCGAGGTGCATACCTCACCGGTCTCGTTGCTGGCCGCCCGCTCCCATCCAGATTAATACCCGCTCGACATGCTTCGGCTTGTAAATTGCCCATCCTATTTCTGATGGTGTCGTGAATGGGGTGCCATTCACAGAAACGGATCTGATACGGAAACCTTTTCAAAATGGCGGAAACTAATCTTGACCAATCAGCTCTACCAATCCGATCGATGTACACTAGTTTAGCAGACTTCCATGCTCCACGCAGTCTTTGATGACCTGAAGATGAGGCCCTGACTTGATATGATAAGTGCGGGAGTTGGGGATCATGGGGTATGCTAGAAGAAAAACGCGGTGCCGGTGGTTATGTTGGTTGAGCTCTGACCCCGCCCTTTCCGTTTGGTAACAGAACCACGGTTCCGGACTGTGACCTCTTCGAGTTCATTGGCTTTGACTCGACATGACAAATGCATTGTCCAGCTCGGTTACATTTTGACAATGTCAGTGGCATGGACCAGGGCCTGAATGTTGGACGAATCAAAGTGAACTGGATTCTACTGCTTGGTGCCCTTCACGTGGCTGCCGCGATGCAATTCCAATCGGTCAGTATGCCAACAATTCAACTGACAGTCGGCTTCAACTTACAAGAACGACTGTCGCATGTGAGAGTAGGTGGGATTGAAAGGCCTTCAGGCACGTCGTAATGGATCCCCTATAGTGTAAAAGTGCTGCCCATCCATTGCAGCATGAAACGTTGATTGACGCCAATTTTGGTTCCTGCTTTCGACCCGCCACGCTCCCACAACCCCACACCTTGAAAGGAACACCGTTTGACCCACCCATAGGGCATCCGGGGGCTCTTCCTTGACTCGGGAACTTGGCAAAGGAATGTCAGAGCCTCAAGCGTCCACGTCAAACCTCATAGTGGGTATGTCTGATGTCAAAAGAAATTGCTATAAGATTCCCAAACGGCAAACCCACTCATTGAGATCAGGTAGGACCGACTGCCACCCTCAATCATAGCCATCGTCAAATCAGGGAGACGTCAGAAGGGTACAGCAGATCTACGCAAGCCGCTGCCAGTCAGACTGGGCCACGCAAATGGAGGGTGTCACGGGAGAATTAAGACATGATGGTGAACACAAAACCGCGGGGTAGTCATACCCGATCTTTCTATGCACAGAAGCGAATCGAGAAGGAGCACGGTCTGACAAACACCCTTAGGCAGTTTGTGGCTTGCAGAGATACCTGCAATGCATTGTGTCTAAGCTTCACTTTTGACTACAGTATGATCCTACAGTACTTTGATTCATTCGATATGTAGGTACTTGGTCGTGGGTCGTCCGTCGTCAACTTTCCCGCAATTTTTCTGGTGCGAGGTGTCCGCCCAAACCCCACAACCTGGAGAACCCTTGCCCTCGCAAAGCTCCACATAAATATCCGGGGCTCGACCCGGGATCCACCAGGTCTTGGCTCCAGCCATCCAGCCCAGATAGTAGTGCGTTTGACAAACTACACATTTCCTTGACGCAGAGGATAAGTAAACGCAAGTTCGACACCACACATTACACCACCCAGCGACCAATCTCATATTGCTAAATGGCCGTTGAAATCCGAGCCAATTTTAGTTTCCCCAACTGACATTTACAGGCCTTCGTTATAGGACGAACTGAACACAGCCCGAGGCGTGTCGGATTTTAGCAATCTTTATCACGGCCCTGATGAGCATCAAGCACTGGAAATGGGGCCTGGTCAAAAAACACAGGAACTAGCTTCCTCTGATCCAGCTACAATGCTTGGTTTCACAACATTGAGACCGAGTACAACACTCCTAGGTCTCCCCGCCGTGGCATCTTGCGAGACATCATGGCGCCAGTAATCAATGTATCGGATGCATCTAGGTACCTGTCCCGGTGCCCTTGAGAACTTTCCGAACTTCAGGGTTCCGGAGGGAATATTCTGGGTTTCAACTCGGCAGCCACCTACAACCATGGATCTTTATTTCAACATCGAGAGACTACTGCACTACATGACGGGGTTCGCGAATGTCGTATGCAGTTGTGCGACCTAGAGACCAGTTACTGCCTACTACCGAGACTATGAAATGGAAGCCTTGATGGGTCTCTCTAGCTCAGCAGAGATCACAGGCACATTACCCGTGGGCTTCTCCTCGGGGCAGGGCAAGCTACAACTACGAAGCAGTAGGGTTCTTTTGGCTTTGCCACTGTGAAGGGATGCTGTTCATCGCTCTGGGCAGAGCGTTTGTACCGTCCTCTCGGGACGTTTCAGCCCGCCTATCAACCCCTAGGGGGAGAAATCTACTGGGTGATCTTTTCACCCTCATACACAGTCCCATACTGTGATTACCTAGCGCGCACAGGCCTCCTTCGAGATGCTTTCGACCAGCTCAAGAACATAAAAGAGCTTTGAGTTCACATCTCTCGGTGGTCAAGTGGGAAACGCGTGTTACCCCGCTGGTTCGGGTTTGCTGTACCATGGCTTCTTGAGCAACCCCCTCTCTTTCGGAATGGCATGGGTTGCCCCTGGATGGTCCACCCAAACTCCGTCATGCGCTTGTCCACTATCCTGCGCCCGAAGCTCCTGACAACAACCTCATGGTGCGTTTACAAGGTTCTGGCAATGCTTAACCACTGTTGGAGCGAACGCAGACTCGCATTCAACAACCATCTATACCCTAACTCAACTTTCACCTCTCGTCTCGAAGCTTTTCAAAACCAATCCTACTTGCGTTCGCGCCCGCGGCCGGTCGAAAGGAACTATGATTTCAGCAAAAGTTGGTCGACTAGCTACACCCTTACTGGCATACACCCTTCGATCCATCATCCAGACACGAGCTGACCAATGCAATCGATATCAACCAGTGCCTCGAGTTGATCTGGAAGGTGGAAACGCGCGATGTGGATGGTGCCCGTCGATATGAATCAAGCCACAGCATGCAGAACTCCCCATCAAACCCCACAAAACGCCGACGATTCAATGACACAACCACAGCCATCAGGCATACTTGCAGCGGCTGAGCGGAATGATGGGTCCCCCAATTCGACCAGTTCCTCTTCGAGCGTGATGCATTTTTGGCTTCAGCAGGCTGCGATGACTTCCCATCTCGGTGTGTCCGCTACAACCAACACCCCGAGCTGTTAGTTAGCCATCGATCTACCGAACCCATTCATTGGCGTTGAATCAAATACTCGACCGAGATGGGCTCTCGCGGCCCAAAGCAAGATCGTGCGGCCGAGGGGGTCCTTCGGCGCTCATCCCACGCCCAGGCTTTCGGCCTAGGCTTGTCCCACGATTGAAGCCGTGGAGTGATAGGGTGAGGTAATATTGGGCACGAAGTCGCGGTCCAGACCCGAGCCACAATGCCGCTGACATATCAAGAGATGTTTCAGTGACTTCATAGATCCCCGCCGAAGGGCTTTCATCTGCCTTCTCCTCCGCATCAAAAAAGGTTCATCGGCCGTGCTAAGCGCCAATGCTTCCGGATATCAGCCAAGATTCTCTCACGAAGGGAGTAGATAATGCCGACATTCTGCGGCACTGTGCACGACAACACCCTTCGCATCTGCACTCTCTCGTCGGAACTGTCCCGACCGACACCTCCACTCCCAGCTTCAAGTTTCAAGCTCGCCCTATTCTTGGCCCCATTCCAGTTGGCTCTTGGTCGACTATGTCTTCTTATAGAGCGGCTAGAGGGGGGATTTTGGCATCCACTCCCCCCCTTGATTAGCCATCTCTTACCAAGTGTGTGATGACAGGACAGGAGTGGAGACGCGTCGCAGCCAGAGTCACATCTCCCCTTAATCGGTCCTCTTGCAGATAGCCTAACGCGGCTCAGAAGTTCCTATCATGTTTATGGATAGGGCTTCCAGGGGTACGAGACAAAAGCAGTACAGTATACCTAACAACCACGATTTACCTGAGCGACTTCGCTGGTTGACAGTAGGGACGGGCCGGCTGCTCCGCTCCAGCTAAGCAGGAGAGATTGGCCAATCATTTTTGAGTGACCAGCATCAACGACTACCACCACAGCATGCAGCTTCTTCGCGGATACTTCTTGACCTCTTGTCCACCCCCCATTCGTTCACCAAGCATCTTGTCTTGCAGCGGCACAGCTCAGTCGTCGGGTCAAAAGACATTGGCAAGTGGCACTCCCTGTACGGCTTCCTGCTTGCAGACTAGAACGATATCGAGCCGTGAGTGGGTCGGATTCAGAGTTTGCTCTCGAGCCAGGAACAACTGCATACCTACCTATGCTTTCACAGCGGTCGCTCCTTTCGTCTGTTCTCCTGCGTTGTAGATGATCAGGCCAGCAGAGGCCGAGGGAAGCTGCATTGATGTAGGGTGGTTGGTAAGTAGCACCGGGATGGTGTCCAAGTTATACACGATCCAGAGCAGCCAGGCTCGATGTCCGACCTGGAACATATTCCTTCCCGGTTCCATTCGTTTCATTCTGTGGTTCTCTCTGTAAGCTTTTGCATCAGGCCATCCTTCTCTGCGTCGTGTGAAGACCACCTTTGGCCCGCCATGGAGCTCAACTCCCCCACAATCCACGATGCCATCCACCCGACCGCCGCCTTTGCCCAGAACCGGTCAGCGCTCGAGCTTGCTTCGCCCACCGGCAATGACACTGGACAAGCCTCTTGGCTCGAATCCCAGCTGAACCCCAAGAACCGGGTTGACAGCCTTGACCCCCTTCCCAACCCACTCTGGAGGATCGACGGCTGTACCGCCATAGGCACGCAGTACTATGCCCTACCCTTGCACGTGGGCGAGGTCCCACCCATGCGCCTCGATGTGTTCCTCCCCATGGAAACCACACGGGACCCTGTCCTTCGGGACGTCCTAGACCTGGATGCCGCCTTCCACACCAAAGACTCGACGAGATTGAACCGTCTCGGGGTCACCAGGCACATTCTCAGAGCTTTGCAGAAGTGGTCATTGGAGGGTGAAGGGACGGCAGAACACATTGCTGCCTTGTACAAGGACCAGCCTTTTGGTACACGCATCATTCTCGAACTTGGCTTCAGTCTTGAGAGCGTCAAGATCACCGTCGCCACAACCTGGCACGTGGAGAAGCAGCTCATCAGGCCAAAGGCGCTGGTTGAGACTTTGGGACTGCCCAAGGAGGTCATTCCGGAAACCATCGACATTTCGAACCTGAGCATTGTCCAGCAGCTGCACGACAGTGTCTGCCTGGTGCGCATTCATCATCATGATGAACCAGAAGATGGCCAGAAGCTGTGGATCTTCAAGGCCCTCACCAGCAACACCAAGTATCTGGTTTGCGAGCTGCGCAACCTTTTGCTCATGGAGCCTTATCCGCATGTTGTTTCGAAGCCAAAGTACCTAGTCACCAAGTACTGCCGCTTTGGGGGAAAGACGGCCGTGGTGGGTTTCATCATTCCGTTTTATGCGGCCGGCAGCCTCCGGGACACGATTCCTCTGCTTCACATCCATGGGCTTCTCAAGCCGGAGATGCAAATAATGTGGGCTAGGCAGCTTGCCTCTGCCGTCTTGCACGTCCGCGAACGTGGCGGGATTTACTATCCCGACCTCCGGCTTGATAATGTTGTTCTCACGGCCGGGGGGGACTTGGTCATGGTGGACTTTGAGCAGCGGGGTGTGTGGTGCGAGTTTGCTGCGCCTGAGGTGAACGCGATTGCTTATGTGCATACGTTGGCTGTGGACGAGGGAGCGGAGGAGGAAGGGTTAGAGCAAGAGCATGGGGATGACAGCAGGCTTCTGTACAACCAGTTTATTCCTGGTGAGGAGAGGCCCAACCGGTGGGCCGAGTTTCTCAGCCGGATCCTCCCCGGCTGGCAGGTTTTGGAGCAGGATGAAATGTACACGCCGCTTCCCCATGGGTATAAGAGCTATAATATCCCCTGGCTGGCGCTTGATGAGGCGGAACAGGAGGCGGCTGAGGCGTACATGCTCGGGCGCGTCTTGTGGTGTATTTTTGAGGGGCAGTGTGCACCGCAGCACGCTGCCGTTTGGCAGTCTTACAAGCGGGAGCCCGACTATGAGTTTCCTGAGTATCGGCACACTCCCCTTCCGATTAGGGATCTCATTGATGGGTGCACCAAGGGCAGGAGGGAGACTTTGTCGAAGCTTGTCACTCGGGTGGGAAGCAAGATGGTGCTTCGTCGGAAGGATGGTCTGGTGGATGTGAATTGCACACCGCTCGAGGTGCTTGATGCGGCGAGGGATTGGTGGAGGGTGGAAGTGGAGGTGGCGGAAAGGTTTTTGACCATGCGGGAGGAGTTGAAGGGGAGGGGGGAGTGGAAGGGGAACTGGTATGGGAGGCTGAGGTTGAGGGAGGTTGTGCAGAGGTTGGAGGAGTATGAGAGGGAGGTTGGGGTGAAGGAGGTTGATAGGGAGGTTTTGGCGGAGTTGTTGAAGAGGTGTAAGTGATGTGATGTGATGTGGTCACTCACTATTGGTTCTGGTGACTGAGAGCAAGGGATAATAATGTTGGGAATTTGCCGGAAAGTGAACATCTCGTACAATCTGCTGGCTATTGTTTTGCTGAAGCCGGATAGTTTCATTTTGCCGAGGGGTTTGATATTCAGAAGCCCAAGGGGCATAGATAGAGGTAGAGGTCTGGCTATTTCCCGTGAGCATGTTTTGGGTAATTTTGATGGTCTGTTTTCTACGGTCATTGCGACTCTTTTGTTGACTCGCTTTACTGTCTGTATATGTGCTCAATCATATTATTCTGATTTATATTACTGTGTATCCACTTGATACTACCCACCTCATGTGTTGTCTGCCTGTTGCATTGTTGATTCGCACTTGTTACTCATCTTGTGCTTCTATGCGGGGTGTTGATTTTCGGATCATTTCATGCCTGGCTTAGTTTCACTTCTTTACAATGCTTCGCCTTTCTTTGAGTTTACTTATATTATATATCTCATACTCATTCCGCATAATTTCTCCCACGGTTACCATCGCACCTTAATGATCTTATGTCCCTCGTCCGATGCCATTTAGCCTACTATTTTAACAGGAGCGCCCCAGCATTGTCACAAATAAATATATATATATACTTCAATTAACATCATCATCATCATCATTTTATCCTACAGATATCTAGTTTTCTAACTTCTCTCATCAATGATAGACCCCTTCCCTCCCGCCAGCCCACCTCCATCCCCGGCACAAACTCCAACCCCCCCTTCACCCTCCCTCTCCTCCTGCTCCCCCTCACCCCCCTCCCCAACCCTCCCGACCACCTCCCCTTTCTTCTCCTTTCCCCTCCCCACCAACCCCTTAATCTCCCTCCCCCTCTTCTTAACCTTCATATACCCCTCCAACCCAACAAGCACAGCATAACTCTTGCTGATACTAACCCGACTCATATCCACCCCCTCCCCCTTGAGCGTCTGTACAAACGCCCTAAAATTGCTCGCCGGCGGCCGGTAGTGTCCGCTCAGCGGGCTCAGGCTGTGCAACTTCCCGTTCTTGATCTTGATCAGCCCCGCAGCGGAGATGCGGCTTCCTTGAAGAAAACTCGAGTGCTGAAACGCGCCCGAGTTCTTGATCCCGACGTAGAGACGGAAGGAGGTGTCGGCGACGAAGATCCATGTGTTGGGGGTGACGGAGTGGCGGAGGAGTTTGTTGAGCATGGTTGTAGGGGACATTTTGAAGAGACGCCGGGCGGAGGATGATGATTTCTTGGAGGGTGGTGGATGTGGTGAAGGAGGGGATTCGGATGATGACTGGGAAGATTCGGTGGAGGAGTCACCGAGGAAGTTGGTGGTTGACTCCAACGAGGGTGGTGAATAAGCGGGCGTGGGGTCGTCGCTGGGTACGATCCCGTTGATGCTATCTTTCCACTTTTCGGTGGTGTCGATCGGCGCCCCGTTCTTGGCCCAACATAGCCTGCCGCTCTCGTCGATAGCTACTAGATACGCCTGTCTTTCCTCTCTGGATAAATACCGGACTTGTTCCCGTTCCAGAACCTCCCGAGGGCAGGCTTCCAGTGACAGGTTCCGACCCGAGCCGTGGTCAAGCCAGTAGAAGAAATTGTCTTGGGTGTCGGCTCTTTGCCATTCTTCGTGATAGACTTTGAGGTTGGAGCCGTAGCGGTGCTTGTGGTCGATCATTTCGAGAAAGTATTGCAGCCCCCATGGTGCGGGAGGCTGCTTTGCGGCGGGCTTTGGACTCGGCGCGGCGTTGCTTGAGGTGTTGCTTCTGGGATTTGGAGAGTTTTTCTTCTGATTCGGAGGAGGAACTACTGGAAGAGGAGGAGGAGGAGGAGGATGATGATGAAGTGGAAGAGCTTTCGTCAGCATCCCCGCCTGCTCGTCGGGCTATGGTGGAGGCCTTTTTCCAGTTGAGGCGGGCGGTGGGAGAGCGAGTTCCGGCGAGCATGATACTGCTGCCTGCGTCGCTGTTGGTGTCCCCTGGTGATGATAATGATGGAGAGAGGAAGCTGGGGGAGTAGAGGCTGTCGCTGTCGAGGTATTCGCTTCGGGGCCGGGGGCGGGTGAGGCTTCGCCATTGGGCTTCTCTTACGGCGTGGATCCAGCGGGTTGAGGCGTCTATCCCCAGACCTGCCAGCGTCCGGCGAGCTCGGTAGCCACGGTAGGTTCGTTGTATGACGGTGGCTGCCTTGGTGACGCTTCCATTTTCACTGATGAGGCTGTTTCTGCGACTGTTGACGAGCTCGATGCTTTGCTGTCGTTGGTTCCGCCGGAATTGCTTCTTGTGCTCGGCCTCACGCTTGGTTTGGATCTTGTTTATTTGGTCGAACTCTTCCTTGGTGGGGACTGGAAGGGAATCCAGGTAATTTCTGTGGGCTGACAAGACAGAAGCGATAGAGTCTGTTTTGGAGAGTCGAGGCCGGTGAGATTGTGCCAACGAAGGAGGTCTGGACCTGGAGGGCATATCTGCTGGGGCACTGGCTACAGATGTTGACGACGACGTCGCGGCTCCTGCTTTGTCTACATCCATTTTTCAGCGCCAACACGTCTGTCTTGCAGCCTCAAGGGGACTGTTGCTTGCGAGAGCTCAAGTTGTCACAGGCAAAGCTGAAGCTGTCGTTAACAGAGTTGTCATGCTGACGAAGGATCCGCTTATTTATCATAGTCTGCCTTCTCACTGCCTGCTGATGATCACAACTGGACATATCGGGAGCTCGGCACTCATATGAATCCTGCCAAGGCGCAGCTCGCAGCACCAAACGGTTGGCAGCGGGAAGTGGGAGGAGCTGAGGATGAGCTGAGAGCACTGCAGTGAAAATCCCGGCGGAATTTGGACACAGCTGTGGCTTGTCACCTGTTATTCCCGGCCACAAAAGGCCTTGTGAGGTCCATATCGCTTCTAGCGAGGCATAAACTGTCTCGCGTGTGCAGAAGTGTCGTCTCTGTTGACGGCTGTTACAGTCACGAAGCTATCGTCGTCGTTTATATACCGGAACAGATGGGCGCTAGAGTGTTCGAGACCCGCAAGGCGCCGTAAGTTAGCGGCATCTTGGCCTGCATTAGCACCCGATGACGGCAGAACGGCACGGAGTTTTCCCCGCTGCAACGGCCATTCTGCAGCCCAGCGAGGCCTCCATTGACAACCTACACCCAATTATCACCATTTCACCAACATCCAAGACAACACAAGGCTCCACACCGAAGGTCAAACAGGAATCTATATCGTCTATCAAACACTCAACATCGGACACAGAACCCAAAAGCTGACGTGGTCGTCTATCACTTCTGCCCATCCGCAAACTTGGTAACAGCCTCCCACTCGTCCACCAGCTTCAGCGTACTCTCACACTTGTCTCTCACAACCTTCAAGCAATCCGACCCCAACACCAGCCTCACCGGAATCTCTTTGCCGTCAGCCATCCCCGTGCTAGTCAACACATCAACCATAGCAACCGCACATCTGTCCACATCCCCCGGCTGCTGCCCATCATACGCATTCAACCCCTCCCTAAACCCCAACCCATCGTACCTCTCCATCACATTCTTCGCCTTAACCCTATGCCCTCCTCCCTCCGCCAAAAACGAAGTCCTCGTATACCCAGGCTCGACACAGCAAACCCGAATCCCAAACGGCTTCAGCTCATCCGCCAACCCCTCCGTCAACCCCGAAACCGCCCATTTAGTGCTGCAATCTGTATATCATTAGCCCCTTTCCCCTTTCCCTCATGTCAACAGTGAAGAACTCACAAAGCGCAAACCCCCCACCCCCCATCCAACTTCCCAAACTCCCCATCTGCACCAACACCCCTCCCGTCTCCCTCAGCTTCCCCACCACAGCCCTGGCAATGTTCACACTCCCCAGCACGTTCGTCTCGAAAACCTTTCTCACTTCCTCTTGCGTGGTCTCCTCAACGGCTCCTTCAAGTATGTAACCAGCGCAGTTGACTACATGAGTGATTCTCCCTTCTGGGACCAAACTCGCCGCCTCGGCGATGACACCCGAGAGAACCTCCTCCGAGGCTGTCACGTCGAACGGCAGGGTGATGGCTCCCCAAGAGGAGAGAGAGATCATTCCCTCGGAGGAGGTCGAGCGGGAGGTTGCGATGACGGTGTGTGAGCGGGAAAGGGCTTCTTTTGCGAGGGCGAAGCCGAAGCCGGAGGAGGCGCCGGTGATGAGCCAGACGGGGTTTTCGGTGGTTGACATGGTGTGTGAGCTGGTAAGTTATCCTATGCAAGAAACAATGAGTCGAAGTCAGGTAGGTATGGTTTTGAAGACTGTAGGAAATGGATGAAATGTTTTTGTTGTTGAAACTGTTAATGTTGTTTGTTCAAGCCAGAGAGTCTTCTTCTCATGGTGGCCGATGACGACTGTTTATATACCACCAAAAACCATCATACAAACACCGTCATATTACATCTCGGAAGTAACACATCCCCAAAGGAGAAAGAAAGGACTTAGGCGATTTGACACCCCCCATCAGCAAATTTCACGATGGCCTCAGATTGACTGCCCAACATGCATTGGCACAAAGATAAAACACAAACCAATGATGTTTCGCCCTATCGCCGAAAAGGGGTCTCTATAACGAACATGCTATTCAGCCGCCATCGGCGATAAGCTCACCCACACCTCTTGCATATCCCCGACAAAAAATGTCCAAGCCCATCCATACATGAAGATATGCCTTAATACCGTCCTACCAAACAAAATAACCAACAGTACCGCTCTTCCAGAAAAATAAGCCGACTAAGCAATTGATGACAAATGAAGAAGTGAAAAGAAGTAGTCCCGTTTTCCCAGCAAAAAGAGGTAACTTCCCAACCCATCATCGTGTGGAGACCGAGCAACAAATAAATGACCCCAAAAAATCGATCCGCCCAGGGGTCGAACCTGGAACCTCCTGATTAACTGATTGTTAGAATCGTAGTCAGACGCGCTGCCATTACGCCAGCGGACCTATCGATTGATTTGTTGAAGGCTGCAGTTGGGAAGCGTCTCCAAGAGGCCGCGAAGAAACTTCGCTTTCCGTCGTCAGCCCCTGAGCTCAACCTCACACCCACACATTCCACAACAGCTCCCGCCAGAATTTCTCACTAGATATATCCTGAAACCTTCTGTAGAAACAAAAACCGGGAAATTGGGATAGGGATAGAGGACCACAATTTGGATTTTGGATCAAGCAGAGCATGCACACTGTTTTTTTTTTTTTTTTTTGTTTTTGTTATTACATATGTATCCTAAAAACACATTGAAAACTATGATATTTAATAGCTACCCGTTCAAGTCAATACGAAACAAAGTCCTAGCGTAAACACACACCTCAAACTGCTGTACAGCCAGCTCTTCAGAACGACAAAATCTTCTTCGCTTCCTTCAAGTCCTTGATCTTGCGAGCCAAGTTAGCCCGCTGCTCCTTGACACTCGACGACTCCCCAGCAATCGCATCAAGTTGCTCGGCACCAAGCCCAATCACCCAGTCCTGGGTGAAGACCCTGAGCGGAGTGTTGGAGCCAAAAAGCAGGTGGGACTGAACAACCTGAGTCCAGACGTTGTCGATAAAGCGTTTCCGAGCAACGTCGTAGTACGAGCTCAGGCCGTCGTGGAGCTGCTCGGCCACATCTTGTATGTTGGATTTGTCTCTAGTCGAGCTGCGAACTTGGCCGATGGTGACGGTGGCGTTGTCTCCGCCCGCTTGTTCTGCCTCCTGCAGTGTCGCGAGAATGTGGGAAGCTGCTCTGTCCGCGTGAGCCTCTTGACGGGTCCTGTTGAAGTGCTTGTTGAGCGTGTAAGGATTGAGCTCACGCTCAACGGAGAGGAGGTACTCGAGAAAACCAGTCGCTTTCTTGTATCGCTCGAGAACCTCCTCTTGGATGCATGACCACAAGGTATCCCGAAGCGTGCTATCGGGGCACACGATGCTGAGCGTGTCTGTGATGAAGCGCTGGACGATCATGATCGCGCGGCTGGTAAAAGCGCGACTTATGATAGGCCATTTACTGGATTGCTCTCTCCATGCACTTGCCTGCACCGCGTTGGTGTAATGACCAAGCTCCATGCCGCGTGATCGCACATAAAGATTTGTTATCCAGTCCATGATACCATCTTCTGGATCCTCAACTTCGTACCTGTGACTGATGATGTCGTCGAGCTCGGGAAACTCCTCCGGGTCAAGATCACGAGTTGCGGCCCTCAGAATCCTCTTTGCATTCGCGGCAGGCGATGTCTGGTTGGGATTCATGGGCAGAAAATCCTCATCAACGACTTCGTCGTAGTCATCGTCATAGTCGTCGGTGTCAGAGTCTTCGTTCTCAAAGTATCGGAATGCAGCCTTTGCTTCAAACTCGCGACTGAAATCTTCGGCAAGGAACGCCATGAGGGTGGCGAGTTTGAGATGGAAGGACGCCTCAAATGCCGGGTCATGATGATAGCGAGCCTCCAGGCTCGCCTTTGTCAACTGCTGGAACTTGTCTGCGATGTGGCTCAAGAATATCCGCTGTTCGGTATCAGTGCCACGAGCGGGACCGAGCCCATCTCTCTCCTTTTCCGCGCGACTGAGCATCTCGCCGATATCCTTCCTCAACTTGGGAAATTCACGCTTCGCCATCTCGCCTAGCAGTTCACCCAGTTTTGTCTTGAGTGCGCGAACACCAACTCTCCCCCTGTCAAGGCGACGCCAGGGGTCTTCGTTGAACATTTGTTCGCGGGACTCATAGCCAGAGTCGTCTTGATCTGCGCCACGACTCCTCACGACATAATAGCCCAAAGTCAGCTGCTTCCTTTTGTTCTCGACGATGCTGCAAATCGTATCTTTGCCGCTGGCCTCGGGTACCAAATCTGGCTTTGTGAGAATACCGAGGGTCCGTTCGCCCTTCTTGTCGTACTCCTCCGCGAGAGTCAGAATCTCCTGGTTAGCGATATCGATGTTGCAAGGCAAGACTGCCAGGATGATGGTCCGGTTATCTCGAATGTAGTTGGTGACCATATTCCGAACCAACAAGATGTCCTGTTTGGTAGTGACGCCCTCAGTTGAGTTACGAAAGATACCGGGAACGTCAATGACGGTCAAATAGTCTTCCTTGGGACCGCAAATCTCAATCTTGAGGATGTCCTCACTGAAGACGGTTCCGCCTTTGGCAGATGAGCTCATTCGAATGCCCATTCTGGCGTTGACCTGGATAATTGGTCAACACACCGAGTGGCTCGTATGAGGTATGGTAAGCTTACCTCTTGCAAAATTGCCGGAAATTTGGCGCGCAAATCCTCACCAGACAGGGCACTGCCATGGTACGCCTCGACATGGCTTTTGTGTTCATCGGATGAATTCGGACCAGGAATTATAGTGATGTTGACATGAGTTGAATGATCGCGGCGTTGGGTGATTTGAGTGGCGTAACGCGTGCAGAGTTCAACATCACGCGGGAACGGAATTCCAGTCAAACTCTCCAGAAGAGATGATTTGCCAGAGCTCTGGTCACCCACAACAACGAGCTTATCGACATGTCAGCTTCGCCATGCCGAACAAACTGAAGGGGGTATACGTGCCTGGGGCAGAGGGACATGCTGGCCGATATTCCTCTCGCGGAGCTGGTCGATTTTGCGAAGGAGGCTCGGACTAGCAAGCAGGTTATCTTGGGGAGTGTTTTCCTGTTTCATGGTGAATGATTGGGATAAAGTTGGTCAAGCCAAAGACAAAGGGGCACTTGTTTGAGGCGAGATGTGCGTTGCTGCCTGCCTTGTCGAACGGTGGGTTGGATCTGAAAGCTTCGGGTCGAGGTCAAGAAGGGCGCGATGTTCCCATCATATATAGCCGTAAAACACTCCAAGAGTCACGCCTCAGGATAGAATTTCCTTTGACAAGTCCATGGATGTATTGGTGACATTTCCGTTCGAGATAGACCTCTACCGTCATGACAGATCCGGTGCGCGCTCTGGAGGGCCATAGCGATCCCGATGTACCTAGACTTTGCAAAAGTCAAAGAATGGCGATAAAAACATGCGACATTGAGTAGGATATCTGCATAAAGAAAGAGCAAACGGATGGGCAGAGTGAAGCGAGGCAGACATGGATAGAGACGAGGCTCTGTTTGCACGAGATGAGCAGTTTTGATTCGCTGAGCTGGGGGCATATCGGAAAGCGGCCGCTGTAGGCCTCAATGTTGAGATGGGCAAACACCAGACCCCTCATTGCATTGGTCCTAAATCCGGCGACGATTAAGGCTGACATCTGCCTTTTGCTGGCGGACTGTAGGCCTCACCCAGAAGCCTCGAGTTTGGATGCTATTCAAGTCGGTGAAGACACATGGGACAAGGAGCAAAGAGTCTGCACCGAGCCATTTCTCACCACTACCACAGAATGCAAGGACGATGCCAATTGAGACATTGTGAACAAAGGCACACAGCGAATACTTGTTGTTGTTTAGGTAGAGTGAGACTTGGGTGCGAATGACGCTGTGGTGGGTGCAAGGATTAAAGAGTAAGAAATTTGGTTCAAGTCTGGGTTAAATCAAAATTGACTTCAATTCCACCGTGATGGTCTAGTTATATAGCGGTTGCTTTCCTGTCTAAAAATGGCAGGCACGCCGGGATATCTTCCGGACCGGAAGGAGCTACCGACACGGAGGAGGTCAAGCATCGGCGTGGTCGGGTGTCTCAACGGCCGATAAAGTGGGGCGCTAGCTGCCCCTGTCCCCAAGCTGCGTGCCAAATTGGCAAACCCACAACGCCCAAACTGCCAGCCCGGTGTCAGTGGGGCATCACTGGGTTCATTTACCTTGACGGGTTCCTGACCAACCCCCATCCCGGCGCGCAACTGACTGCACGAAGAGCGATGCACCGATACTATTCCAATGTCTGCTTTCTCCAATGGCGCCGCTACGACGACCAAAATGTCTGCCACCGCGTCTCCTAATCCCGCCCTAACCAGCTTCCCAACCCTCAACACACCAAAACCAACCACCAGCCCCGCCAACACCAACCCATCCACCGTAATCCAAAATGCCACCTCCCCGGTCGAGATCCGCGCTGCCCTCGCGGCACTTCACACCCGCGAATCCTCCCTCACAGACCGTCTAACAAACTTGCTTTCCTCTCAAGCAGACCTCACCCGCTCCCTCTCCCGCCTCGACAACCTCCGCGCCGGGCTCGGCGCCCAGGTGATCGCCTCCCGCGGCATAAGCAACAGCATGCTCGCCTCAGCCTCAGAAACCGCCTCTCACCTCTCCAGCCGGGTCCGCACCCTCGATTTGGAGAAATCTCGGGTGGAAGACACGTTGCGCGTGGTGGAACAGGTTGCCGAGCTGAAAGCATGTGTCGCAGGCGTGGTGGGTAGCATGGGCGCCCCTCAGGACTGGGAGGCGGCAGCTGGGTACATTGCGCGGGCTTCCAAGGTGCCTGAGGAGATTGTCCGAGGAGGCTTTGCAGCTGCAGTGGTGCCGACTGTCGAGGTGCCTGACCCCCCTTGGGTTACCCTCGAGTCGGCAAGGGAGAGCTTGTGTAACTTGTTCTTGAGAGAGTTCAGGAAGGCTGCCGAGGATGGGGATGGCGCAAGGGTGACGAGGTTTTTCAAGCTATTCCCCCTGATTGGGAGGGGTGATGTTGGGCTGGATGTGTATGGGCAGTATGTCTGCCAGGGTGTTGCGGGTACGGCCAGGACGGTGCTCAAGGAAGGCGCTTCTACGGTTGGTGGGCAAGGAAGAAAGGATGGCTTCTTTTTTGCCAATGCCCTCACAAGGTTGTTCGAACACATTGCCCATATTGTGGATGGGCATGGGGCCCTGGTGGAAAAACATTACGGAACCGGGAAGATGGTCAAGGTTATCGAAAGGCTCCAGATGGAGGCAGATGTGCAGGGAGGCATCATCCTGGATTCTTGGAGCGATGAAAGGACCGTGGATAGGAGGTTGACTGATGTCAGAAGTTATCCCTTCTCGTTCCTCGTTCAGAGCTTCGTTTCTCAACCAAATCGAGGCTTCGGAGGAACACCACGAGTAAACTCGCCTGCTGTTGGCGGCACCAATAACGGACGCCAGAGCGAGGATGAGGGGGTGGACATGAAGGAAGTAAACGCCTTGCTGAGCGAGATCGCCGTAATGCTTGGAAGGTGGTCTCTGTATTCTCGTTTCCTCGCTGGAAAGTGCAGGGTACGTCTTATTATGAGTCTCATGGCAGTGGGATACTGACAACGCCAGGAACCGGAGTCACCGGACGATGCGCCACTCACTATGCCCGAGGTCCTCACCAAGTCTAACCTGGGTCGAAAAGTCTCTGGGAAGCTAGTATCACCCTACAATGAGCTCACCAAGTTCTTTTTTCGGCGCTCTGTCGAAAAGGCCTTTCAACTGGACGAGTTCCCTAGCGGACTTACGCTTAGACAAAACAAGGCGATCGAAAGCAACCCACCGTTCATCATCTCCGCTGTTGACGACGTGATGTATATCGCCAAAACCGTCATCGAAAAGTCCATCTCCACCTCCCAGAAAGATGTCGTCAAGGAGGTCATCCCCACGATCCAAGCTCTTCTCGGTACCGACTTTGTCGGCCTGATCCAGCGCAAGATGCGGGACGAATACCTGCCCAAACCCAACGTCCAAGGCGGTTTCCCCCCAGAAGACAAGATCATCGCCTTCATCGTCTTAATCAACAGTCTCGACGTGGCAAACGAGTACTTGGAACGGATCGTATCCGGGATACTGAGACATCCAGAAAACCCACCCGCAGACTCCCAGCAGCCGTCATCAGTACTAACCGCCGCCTTCCCCTTTGCCAACGACGCCAAGGAAATCGTCACCCGCCTCCAGAACCTCAAAACCTCGTTCCACCTCAAATCCAGCGAGCTCATCAAGGCGGGCATCGAAGCCCTGTTTAGCGAGGTAGTTTATGCTCGTCTCCGGCCTGTCATCACCTCCACCTTCAGCGACGCAGATTACACCATCTCCACCGAGGAAGAACTCACCGAGCTCGCCGCGCTGTCAGATAAGACACTGGAGGAATACCTCGAACAGGTTCCGCTGACATTTGAGCTCGGATGGGATGCGCTGATGAAGCCCATCTCACGTTTGTTGACACCAAAGACGTACAGCCAGCTCATGGACAAGACTGCTGGGTATTTGGCGCAAAAGGTGCTGGAGAAGAGGGTGTGGAGTTATGCCAAGGCTGGTAGGGCGCTGAGCGCGTATGGTGCCATCAGACTGGAAAGGGACGTCAACGGTATTATTGGCGTGGTGTCCAAGGGTAATTACGGAGTGAGAGAGGTGTTTGGCAAGGTTGGGCAGATCTTGATGGTGGCGAACATGGAGGAGGAGGAGTGGGAGGAGTTGGTTGCTGAGGAGGAGGAGGGGATAGATGGGGGGATGGTGTGGGTTTTGACTGAGGAGGAGAAGTTGAGGGCGAGGGATATTGTGAGGGAGGAGTGATGCAGTCACAAGTAATTGGGCGTTTTGATAAAGGCTGAGCGGTGGGGATGTTTTTGACTGATTTATATACTGTTTAGACAAAATTTTGGGTGGCAGGCTTCTCTTCTTAAAATATGTAGAGCGTGCTTGGAATTTTGGAGATGAATTTCTGGAAGGTGTGATGTTTGTTGTATTGTTCCTGCTTGCTGCGCACAGAGGATATGCTTGCCCCGCATTCTGATGGGATATCTCTCGACTTCCAACGGTTTTCAGCCGCCCTCCTCATCCTCCTTATGTGAAACACCTTGTTTGTATTCTTGTAACCTACTGAATTGCTACCTACGAGATCCAGCTTAGTTTGTAACATCCATTCTGCGGTACATATCACCACCTCATCTTATATAACAACAATGTCCTCCCTCAACCCTCTCGAAACCCCCGACGACCACCTCCGCCGCTGCTGGCGCCAACAATCCTGCTCACCCTGTCTCTCAGAGAACGCCTGCTCCTGGTGTCCCTTCGTATGTTTCCCTCCACCCCCCTCCTTCTCCCACCCCTTTGCTCACCCACCCACCCGCCAGACCCAATCCTGCACCCCCAACACCCACCCCCTCCCCCTCCTGACCCCCATCTCCCAACCCGACATCTGCCCCCACTGGTCCGAACGCTGGGAGGTCCGCACCCAGCCCCTCGGCTGCAACATCTCAGCCATCACCGCCCTCTCCATCCTCCTCTCCATCCTCTCCACCATCCTCCTCGGCCTCCTAGCCTGGACCACCACCGTCGCCTACCGCCGCCTCCGCCGAGCCGAATGGGACTGGACCCGCGCCTCCATCCCCTTCAACCAACCCCAGTTCTGGACAAAATGGCACAGCACCAGTGGCCGATCACGTTGGGCCTCATCAGTAGCACCATCATCATCATCATCACCAGAAGAAGAACAACAACCGCTGCTAAACTCTCAATGGGATAACGTATATCGCGGATGATAAAAACTTTCTCTCTTATTGTATTGTAAATACGGAAACAAGAACTAGCCAGAGCTAACAGGCGGAATAATCGCCACCTCATCCCCCTCCTGAATAATCACATCATCCTCCCCTTCCTCAGGCACATCCACATACGCCAGGTTAATCGTCACAAGACTGTGCCCCAAAACCTCCTCTCTGATACCCTTGTACCTCTCCTCCAACACGTCACCCAGTTTCCTGAGCGAGAGCGGCGCGGGAAGCGACTCGACGTTCTTGCCCGTGAAGGAGGTTGCGGTGGCAAAGTAGAGGATGGTGAAGTTCCCTGGGGCGGCGGGCTTGGGGGTAGCAGACATGATCAACTACCTACTAGACTTTCTTACAATGTTAGTTTCTTGACAACAAAATAAGAAACCGTCAACAACAAAACATCATGGTGGGGTTATTGTCAGAGATCTTGGTGATAAATTGATACAGCATACTGAGACTCAGATAATACATGCATTTTTGTTCATCATGATAACCCACTAAACCGATGTGTTTGTTGTTGAGGAAGTGAAGAGGGGGAAAAAACATACCAAAGTAGAGTGGTGATGATGGTTGAGGGAGGGGAAGAAGAAAAACTGCCCCTCTTCATCAAAAGATTTTGAGAAAAAATCTTTGAGCAGCTAGCTGCTGCTGCTCCATCACGTGCGATGAGCTTCCATGGCGATGTTTGAGGCCGTTCTCCTGGCTCTCGGAGAGCTCTCAATCCATTGCAATCAGCGTGCGATGCGAGATGGGCAGCTTGCGACACTGCCTCTTGAACAATTGCTTCTTTTGGGATGTGAATGAAGGAAAAGTTTGAAGCTCAAGGGAAGCTCTTGGAGAAATTTATGCTTTGAGCAGGGAGAGCTTGGTGGAGCTTGATTGGCTGAATGGAGACCCATACATAACGGGCATCCGGCCCCCGCTTGCCGAAGGTCTGAGCCCCACTCACCCGACCCTATCACGGTCAGCACTGATATCTGTAGCTCAGATGATAAACAAACAGCATTGATGTGTCATAAGCATGGGTATCACTATGGCATAATGCTCGCTCAAGACAATTTAGACATTTTACCCTCCAAGTCCTTCACCCACTCCGAGATCACCCCCATATTCTTCTCCCTCAAGGCACTCGCATCGTTGATTATAACCTCCAACTTCTCCAACCCTTCCCTCCATTGCTGAATATCTGTGGCCATCTCGGCCTGCTTTTGCTCCAGCTGAGCCAAGGTGTCAGATGCCGTTGCGGCATCTGCGTGAATCATCCTCAACGACCTGAGGCGGTCCAGCAGGGGTGGAAGCAGAGGGCTCAAATTTTCGATGGTCGGAATCATACTGTAAAGAGCATTGACTTTCGCAATCTGCTCCGAGTCTTCGAGTGTGGCGCCTTCGCCAGATGGTGCCGCTCCCGCAGATGCCAAAGCCTCCTGAGCTTGTTTGGCGTTTCTACGGGCCTTCTCCAGATTCTCCGCCTCCTGTGTCAAGGTCCTGACCCTCCTGCTGATGGCATCCAGAGTGGGTGTCGAGGCTTCAGACAACGTTGAAATCTGCTTGTGAAGGTTCTCAACCAGGGGAATAATAGCTCGGGGAAGACCATTCGAGTCAAATTCCGGCATGGCTGCTGAGCCAACACCCAATGCCTTCTCCAAGAACACAAGCCGGCGGTCAAAGTCGGCTGCTTTAGCCAAAGCATGCGTTTGTTCGTAGTCAGGGGCATAGGTAATAGTATAGCTCGCAGTACCCTTGATTTCTCCTGCTGGCTGCCCGCCAGCACTGGTGATCCGGGGGGTCGGTGTAGCAACCGGTCGAGGAGCCAGCGGCTCGCCGAGTCTAGCCATCTCATCCAGAGTTTTGCTCAGAGACTCAATCTCCTGCTCTTGAACACCAGTTTCGTCCGTAGTTTCGTCCGCTGCTGCCTTCTGTTTGCCGTACTCCTCCTTTGCCTCCTCAATTTCGCGCCTCAAACGCGCAATCTTGCGCGCCAAACTTCCAGCATCGTCCTCGTCGCTCAAGTCGCCCAGCTCTTCGGTTCCATCATCCAACACGCGGTGTCGTCTGCTGGACGCTTTGTATGACTTTCGCTTGCCATTGACACGGTCTGAAAAGTCAACCCCTGAGGGATCCACGGCAGCCGGCATGAACTTTGACCGAGCTTGGTCTATCCGGAGTCTGGATCGAGAGATGGCGGCGGCATCGTCGTCGTCGTCATACTCATTGTCAGAGGCTGATCGCACGGTTGTGGGCTTTATATACCGTCAGCACTTGGGTTCCACGAATTCCCCACTATCCAGCAACTCACGGGAATGGTAGAAGTATCATCAGTAAGCTCGGGGGTTTCGTAAATATCGGGTGCGGAATCCTGGCGTTTTGATGTTCAGTTAGTTTCGCCGGCTTGTTTGTGGCGGGCGGTGGCTGAGTTACCAAGTCTGGAAGTGCCGCATATTTCCTGCTGGAAGCCATTGTGCTAGTCTGTCATTCCCTTTACTGTCGGACTTTCTGGGCGCTGTTGGCTGTTCTAATTGCACTCTGGGAGCAACCGCTTCGTATGGTTGTTGACAGTGGATGTTGGGACGTCAAACAAACGGTTTCCCGCCTGGGCTTAGCTGGCGGTGGACAGGGGAGCTGGTGGGGCCCGATATTGTGGAACGTTATGGGCCGGCGAACTTGGGATCCCTGCACGACGCGCTCCCAAGTCGCGGCTTGCAAAGAGCGTCTTTGATAAATTTCCACAAGTGAAATCTACCAGGGTCTCCGCCAAAAACTGCTGCTGCCTATATGTCGCTGGGTCGGTCCAGGATCAGTTTCAAGCGAGAAGCATTTCGAAATCGTTTCCAGAAAATATTCCTATTTGCTTCAGCCTGTGTGTAAGTGGCCTCCCACCATTTCTCAGGCACGCTTTGTGGGTGCTTTGTAGGTGTTGACCTATTTCGGAAGTTCTCTTTGACATGGCATCTAATCGCAGACCAGGATGATATCACGCCCTGCGGCGGAAGACACTTGTGAACAAATCATATCTGGAGCAAAATTCTAAAATACCGAACTTTCAGTTTATCGTCAGGGCTGCGGTGCGAGATGGTCACCAATCCTGGGAAGCCGAAGGTCAGGGTTCCCTGGGGTCTTAGGAGCCGCACAGTTGGCTTGACAAAAAGTGGCGAGCCGCTTTTCCAGTTTGTGAACGGTCAGCCTATATCTCAAACTTCGCAGGAATCTACAGCCAGACGCTTTCCGGATAGCCCACCGACACCACGCCGAGGTAACGAAAGGGATTCCTTGATGCTCCCGGCTCCTCTCTCATCCCCCCAAAGGGGCTCTGATGTCGAAGAACCCCCTCATGATCCAGGAGCAATCACTAGTTCTCCAGTAGGCCAGTTTGCTCTAGACTCGCCAATACCAAGTCCCCCGAAGCCCCCAGAGAACTCCTACCAAGCAACCGCTCGGCGAAGTAAAACTGCTAGGAAGGCAACGGAGTCCATAGATAGCTCTGACGACGATGGCAACGACAGGATAGGGAGAGGCCATATTCGTCCCACCACCTTCCGAACGCTCGCTCAGGACGCCTCGGCAGCTGTTTTGGTATCCAGTGACTCTAAGATAGTCATCCCGAACTCAGGAGCAGCACCTAAGCCCAAAGACGATGTCCGAACAGTAGGACAGACTACCGAGAAGCCAATATTTGACCAACCTAACCCCAGAAAGAACCAGAGGACATATGGCGGAAGGAAACACGGCGACGGTGGATCAGGGGTATTTAAGAAGCGAGACCGCACCTCGACGTCTCAACGTGAGTCTAAGAGGCACAAGAGTTCCCAAGATGACGAAAATCACGACTCCAATCACTCAGGTGATGAGAACAAAGCCTTGCCAGAGGCTCTTCCAGCCCCTGACTCCAACCCAGGACCCCCTACGATTTCTACTCCACATCACCTGGGCAGTTCTCCTTCGAAACCACGAGGCAGCCTTCCCAACAGAATATCAACGCTAGACGAAACACCGGAATCAGCTACACAACTCCCAGTACATGGAATACCGGATCTCCTCGACAGCCCACTCAGAGCAGACATCGACTGGACCACAACCCCAACAGCAGCCACAAACAGAGGCAGGACACGGGAAAATGACAACAACCACTTCAACCGATCCTCACCAGTCACATACCAGTTTTCCCAGCCAGGATCCCCGCTATCGGATGCCCCTTCCTCGCCAGTAGAACTCCCTCCCATCCTCAAACCGTCCGTCTGCCCCCTCTGCAAAGGAGAAGTCGACCGCGACCTCCTTGCCAAATACGAAAAGACCAACCCAAATCGCACCGTCCAGTCCATGCACATATTCTGCACCGGACACAGGAAAGACACCGCAAGAGAAGCCTGGGAGTTGAATGGCTATCCAGACATTGACTGGCGGAAGCTCAACCATCGGATTGAGAAGCTCTATCCTTTTATTCAATCTATCCTGAAGGGGAAGCAGGAGTCGCACTACGCTGCGCGGTTTCGGGAAAGTATCAAGGGAGGGAAAAACAAGACGTTGCGGACGTCGAATGAGAACTTGACGCCGGGGTATTATGGGATCAGGGGGCTACGGCAGATGTCGGAGAATTTGATTCACGAGTTTTCTTCGGTGTTGAGGAAGAGGGCGTTGGAGGATGGCTTGATTGGTGCGAGGGGGTATACGGCCTATCTGCAGGCTGTGTTGGTGCCGGAGTTGGCGACGAGGTTGGTGATGGAGGATATGAAGGTTGGAGAGGAGGAGGCGAGGGAGATATTGGAGGGGAGCAGCTGGGTGGGGGACATGTTGAATGATGAGGTTGCTGATGTGGTTTTTGAGAGTGATTCGGAGGAGAGTGATTAGGTGGATGTGTGGTAGGATGAAGTGGTCCAGGTGTTTCTTTACATGTATGGAAGACGGCGATGTTGCTGGTAATTGTGTTTGGTGTTGTTGGGCTGGCTGTTGTATCACGTGTATCGCCATTCTCTGGGAGAGGGATCTCACTATGTCGAGATATCATTGCATTATTTTCTTATTTGCTTCATAGCACTTACATCGATCGATATATCAGCTCAAAGCTTTACTGCTCTCATACGCCTCAGCCCATAATCATGCTTGATGACATGCTCCCATCAATCCATTTCCAAGCTACCCACCTATCCTTTTTTACCAAAGCACTGACCATATAAAACATCGGACGAAAAGCAGGAGTTTCAACGCACACTCCTCCCTCGGCTGGAGAAGCACTGGGAGTGTGTTTCGCGCACGCACAAAAAACATTCCATTGTTGTTTGTTTCAATGCGTTTCGACGTTTCAGGTGGTTCGGGAAGTAGAGTACACAACGAACCGAAACAACCGAGGTGGGGTTGGGTTGGGTTGGGGAAACAAGACTTTTTGTTTGTCAATCTGTTACCAGAGATCATATATTTTTGGATATGATGAATGGAATGTGGATATATCGGATGTGTCAGCGGCGGTAGTGTGGCCTGTCGGTTGTTGTATGTGATATGTATGTAGTCTTATTTTATGCATTGCATTTCTTCAAGAGCTTTGCTTGCATGCTGTAAGTGAGCAAATGAACGGTGGGCGACACCTCTTTTTTCTCATGTATTTTCGATATGCTCATCTTTGCATTATCTGCTTTTGGCATACCGATAATGCATTGTTCTTACCTCTCGCGACACGATACCCCCCCATCAGCCATCAAAAAAACGTTTACCTTATTAATCATATCCAGTAGCCTTACCTCGTCTACTGTAACAACCCAACCCCTCCATTGGTGTCCCTGATGCAATGCACTTGACTGAAAAAAACTCCCCGGGTGGGATGGAGGGGTAGGGGGATCTTCAGGGGTCCTGTTCAGAGTTGATCCCCTTACCTTACCCCACCAAACCCAACGTGGGTTACTGGGAACCACCTAGCCTCCGGCACTGAGCTACCACTCCCCGCCGAGCAAAGAAACCCGACAATAATGCGCCGATGCTAGCCCTGTTTCCCGCTCCCGTTTTATCCGTCGTTGTGTCGCCCGGAATGCCTCCGGTTCCGCGCCCAAAGTTCCGAGAGACGTTTTTGCCGTTACTGACATCCGCGTTGGGATATCTTGGCTGCTTTAGAGGCTTAAAGTTGAGGGGTTGACGGAGCGTGCTCTAAGCACAGTGCGGGGTGAGCTTTGATATCAAATCAAGAGCTGGAGCTTGACTCATCACAAAAGAGCCACATGACGGTACGCCCAGGGGGCCGAGAAGGAAGGAATTATCTCCTCGGCTTTTGGTAATGGGAAGAAGAGCTTCCGAGAGGAGATAAAGAGCCCCTAGCTGAGATCCCAGAGACTGGTGGGGTGTCTCAGCGATCGCGGGCTCAAACATGGATTCATTGTTCTCAAATCGATCTGGGGACCGGGGCGGGCGCGGCACCTTGGGAAGTGCGGTGCCATGGGCGCAATAAGGGTCCAGATGTGCCTGTCCAAGGTGTCGAGAAAGTGGGAGATGTGGCGGTCTGAGAGTTTGTGTGGCTGGTGAACGACAAAGAAGATTGATTGTGCCTTTTGGGTATAGCTAGGCCCAAATGGGAACCAAGAACAGGCTCTCTGACAGCAGGCTCTCGTCCGATGCAAGTGGTGAGGTGACCGAGATGGCCATTCCGTACTCTTCCGTATATCAAAACCAGCCTTCTGACCAATATCTCTCAGAAATCCCGACTTTGACCGACATTCAGATCTGCGATTTGGGGTTAGGTATTTTTACCATTGCAGGAGGCGCCAGAAGCGCCTTGGCAGATGGGCAGCCGGGAAATGCACAGTCCAGATGCGCTTGGCTATTTCTGTATGAGGCTGTTGGGTCCCAAATTGCGTTGCTCGTCAGTTGATGCCGTCTAACGATGCGCAATTTTCCCTCGCATTTTAATTAAAATAAATCATCTTGTTATCTCGCAGGGCTGGACGCGTGGCAGCAATTACCTCAGAGCAGGGCTTGCTCTTGTTTGGTTGAAGGGATTCAGGGTTGAGTTGACTGCCCGGGGTCATGTTCCGCGGGTGCGAATCCGTGCTGGAGGGTGGATTCCCGTCCAGCCTTGAAAGCGCACGGTCTTTTCAGATTTGGTGTATCAATCGAAGTTCGAGATGGTTGTAAACGAAGAGCAGAAGATTTAGTGACAGATACATACATCACAGGATATGGGCACCGTCAGCAACTTCTAGACCAAGTACTGGTGTACACACTACTGCTCGACTGCTCGATATCGGACAATTGTTGTTGGGAGGTTAGGTAGGTATAACGATTGGCGGAATTCCAATTGGTGTTTGCTGGGCCATATCATTGGAGAAAGATTTTTGCCATTTGATGTCTCTGATCAGGCCGTTGGTTAGCATAGGTGATGGGATTCAGGGTTCCCCACCCTGCTGATGCTGTGCGCACACAAGAAATGCAGATGGAGCCTCTCCGCACCGCCCGCCCAGACGCACACACAAGCGCGCCCCATGCCACGCTGCTGAGTGCGCCCACAATCCACAGAGGCCCCGGGCCACAGATCCACAGCAGCCGATGCCCACCAGAAGTGCCCGCCTGGGTGGGCGTCTCACTCACGCTTTTCGCCTATTCGCACCGTCATCCTCTCGAGACAGGATTCCCAAGAACTGTCCGCCACTACTGAGGTGCCTCGCCGAACTGAACCCGTAGGTAGCCTTGATTTCCACACTTGTTGTCCCCGCTCGCATATCCATATACTCGGCACCGCTGTCAGCCATCGCAGCCATAGCATCCACATCCACATCAACACCAACACCTCAGCCCGGCCCATCTTCCATCCCCGACGCCGACGACCTGTACTCCTCAAGCGACCGACCCGGCGGGCATGACCTGACAGACTGATAACCCCCGAGACGTGGAATGGCCGTGGTCCGCTAACGGTTGATCGGTTCCCTTGTTCCCGCTCGGCCTGTTGCTGGCGACAATGCCCCGGAATGACGCCAGTTCCCGCTTCAGCTCTATGACGGGCTCCAGCACCGACAGTGCGAGATCCAACATCACTGTGAAGCCGCTCCCCTCTCTCCCTCCATCGGCGTCATCCTCTTCTCCTTTCGCCGCCTCCTCAAACCAAACCAGCAATGCGTCCCGGTCCGCTTCTCATGGCTCGCGCAGGGCTGCCCCCTCGCGCCTCAAGACTGACGAGAACGGCCAATTAAGTCGGTGAGTCCATGTCTCGCACTTGATGCCAGCACGCCGTCTGAAAAGTGAGAGAGCACTGGCCGAGTTGAGACCACGCATCTATCCGAGACCGCCGCCGGCTTGCTCTTTCACTTCTCATCCCTGACCTACTCTACCTCTCTACCTCATCCCGCCTGCTCCCTTTCATTCCCCAAAGTTGCTTCTTTCCCCGCGGTCCCCGGACGAACACGAACTGACGGGTGCCTTCCACAGGTCTTTCAAGGATTCTGATGCTCAAGTCTCGCCGACCTCCACCTCGCGCCTTGCGCTTTCGCCTTCTTCCATCACCTCCAGCAATTCCATTCGCGAACATCGAATGAGCGACCTGGCTGACTACCGACGCGACTTGGCCATCCTCGACCCCGCCGGAGGAAGGGCATCGCGAACTCAACAAAACAACCCGTCCTCTGGCTCTCTAAGTCAGATCGCGCCCTGGATGGCGGCCGCACCGACGCCGGCTAGTTCAGGGCCGTTACCCACTAGCTTTTTCAACGACTCGACAGACAACCTGTCACTTAGCTCGCAAACTTCGCCGGGTCTCCGCAATGCCACAGCGCGACCGTCCCAAACGACGACCGGGAGTACTGAATCCCCAGAAACCTTGTATTTCACCGATGAAAGACGTCCGTCGATTGCGAGCATCACCACAACTGCAAGTAGCCAGGGCTCGAGGGCGAGTGGTGCCAGAGGCGGGATTCGAAAGCTCCAGGGGTTTTTCGGAGAGGAGTTTCCGGGTCGTGATTCCTCCGAGATCAGTCTCTCTCATCCCATCGTGGGGAAAGAGCACCGCTCGCATTCTTACAGCCATGCACGGCCACATCGGGATCGCAACTACTCCAATGCCACAGATCACGGCAGGGACGCATCACCGGCCTCCAGGCCTCGAACACCCGTACCGAAGCCGGAAGTTGTGCCTTTCCTGTATCAGGAAGCTGACGTAGGTTTAAACCCCACATCTGGTCTCGGCATTCTCAATCTACTACCCTACAACCCCTTCTCATCTTGCTACCCCTACCATTGCACATGTTTCTTTATTTGACCCGTGCAGTCTTTAAACCCACAGCACCTCACTATTATCTTCCGAGTCCGTGTTTACCTTGCGGTTCTTCGTTTACCTAACCATCACATCCTAGGATATCGCGCGCTACGGAGAAGCACCCGTCCGAGACATCCTGAGTGGGCCGGATCGCGAACGCTTCGTCAATGATAGCTCCCAGCAAAACAATCCGCCAAAAACGTCGGGTTCGGGCCGTTCCGGACACTCAATTGGTGTGCATTTGACCGGACACCATCACAGACACAACAAGAGCAACGAGGATCCTCGGTCCCTTCGGCCCACTGTCAGCCGGGAAGACTCGACGATAAGCGTTCCGAAGGATCGGAACGGCTCCTCCACCATGTACGGCACCCGGTCCCGCGCACAGAGTCCCGCTCCGAGCACAACCGGTAGTTATTGGGGCCACAAGAGCGGTAGTACCGACGGCCAAACCTCACCCGGTCAACCGAAAAAGAGCTTCCTTGGACGGCTTGGAAGAAGGCTCAAAGAAAAGGACGATGCTCCAGATCTGAAGAAACTCGGTCCAGCGTCCCAGTCCTCTTTACATTCCCGGCCCTCCCGACAAGAGCTCTCCAAAGCTGACGGCCAGTTCGCGCGAGGTGCGGACGGGAAATACCAGCCTGATGTTCGGGATGGTATTCGCCCGGATCTTGCCCGTCCAGCTAATGGACCTCAAACGTTCAACAAGTTTTCCCTTTCCAAAAAGGCCCCTAGAAGCAAGACGCAGGATGACCTGGACGAAGCTATTGGCCCCACCGATAGGCAAGATGTCGGCACTGTGTTTCACCTCGACACCAATCTTAATAATATGGATGGTATTTTGAGCAAACCGGCGCCGCTCACCCCCATGAACGCTCATGAAATCTTTGACGAGGTCGGCTCAGGCAAGGGATCAATCAGTTACCCGAGTTCCAATGGGGCATGGAATGCACCGGACAGCTGGGCTGTACTGCGAGATGACGACGCCGGGGCCCAGCTCCCAGACACAGAGGACATTGGAAGCCCGCCGAGGCCGGAGGAAAAGCAACACAACTATTGCATCCGGGTGTTCAGGGCAGATGGCACGTTTGCGACCCTGCAGATGCCACTCCTGACGAGCGTCTCAGAGCTCATCAACCAAATTGTCAAGAAGTCATACTTGCAGGATCCGGATAAATTCAAGCTGGTCTTGAAGAAACATGATCTCTACAAAGTCCTCCAAAGCACCGATCGTCCACTGCTGCTACAAAAACGGCTCTTGGAACAAGTGGGATTCGAAGAGCGTGACAGGATAGAGGACATCGGCCGCGAAGACAACAGCTACTTGTGTCGATTCCTTTTCTACCCCTTCACCGACAACAGCTATGAAGTGATGGATCAAATGGAGTTCCTTCGGTCCCAGAAAAACAACCACATCGACCTATCAGGCCGCAGCCTGTCTGCCATTCCGGTTCAACTCTATCCAAGGGCGAACGAAATAATCTCTCTCAACTTGTCCAGAAACTTGTCGCTCCAAGTCCCGCGAGATTTCATCTCGGTGTGCCCAAATCTGCGCGACATCAAATTCAACAACAACGAGGCTCGAGCTTTGCCCAAGAGCTTCGGATATGCCAGCAGACTCACCATGTTGGATGCCTCAAACAACCGTCTGGAGAGCTTGGAATCTGCGGCTCTTCACAATCTCACCGGCCTTCTCAAGCTTAACCTGGCGAACAACAAGCTCAAGCAACTACCGAGAGAGTTTGAAGCTTTTGCTGTGCTTCGAACGCTCAACATATCCTCCAACCTCTTGAATAACTTCCCTCCCTTCTTGGCCAAGCTGGAAAATCTTGTGGATCTCGATCTGAGCTTCAACACGATCCAAAGCCTACCAGATAATGTCGGCCAGATGACGAGTCTCGAAAGGCTTGTCATTACCAATAATGAGCTCTCTGGTTCATTGCCCCCGTCTTTCAAGAACTTGCGCAGTCTCCGTGAGCTTGATATCAAGTACAACGCCATCTCTAATATTGACGTGATCTCCCAGCTGCCCAAACTAGAGATTCTTTCGGCCACCCGCAACAACATTTCCCAGTTCAGCGGCACGTTCGAACGGGTCAGAAGCATCAAGCTGAATTGGAATCCCATCACCAAATTTGAGATCAAGGCCCCGGTTCCTACCCTCAAGGCTCTCAACTTGTCCAACGCCCAGCTTGCAAGCATCGACGAATCGTTCCACAACATGTCCAACTTGGAACGGTTAGAGCTCGACAAGAACTACTTCGTCTCACTGCCCGCTCACATTGGTAATCTTCGAAGGCTCGAGTACTTCAGCATTGCGCACAACTCGGTAGGTGAGTTGCCTCCCGAGATCGGATGCCTGACCGAATTGAAGCGGCTGGATGTTCGGGGCAACAATATTCGAAAGCTTCCCATGGAGCTGTGGTGGGCAAACAAATTGGATTACCTCAACGCATCCTCCAACGTGCTGGAGAATTTTCCAAAACCCGCATCCCGCGCACCCCATCCTCCTGGAGAAACAAACGGCAATACGAGCTTCCCAACTGGCAGAATTGGACCACCAACCGGCGCCCTGTCTCAGACACCAAGCGCCGAGGAGCTCAACGATCCTTCAAGACGCCCAAGTCAGGCTTCGAGTAGCCTGCTCAGCGTTGGGCCATCTCCCGTTCCAGGGGGTGCTGACAGGAAGAGCTCTATGGTGTCTGTTTATGGGAAGGGTGGGCGAAAAACCTCCGTCATCTCCAGATCAACCACACAGAGCAGCACCGCCCTGGCGACGCCGACAGCCAGCTCTAGGAAAGATTCGAGTCATACACAGCGACTAACTAATACCTTTGCCGGATCGCTTCGATACCTATATATGGCTGACAACCAGCTCGACGATGACTGTTTCGATCAGCTGTGTATGCTGGAGAATCTTCGTGTCCTCAATCTTTCCTATAACGACTTGAGCGACATGCCACAGCGTTCCATCAAGTCCTGGCCACAACTGGTCGAGCTGTACCTGTCAGGGAATGAACTTGCAAGTCTGCCTGCGGACGACTTAGAGGAGTACAGCATGTTGCAGACGCTCCACATCAATGGCAACAAGTTCACTAATTTGCCTGCCGACATTTCTCGAGCCAAGAAGCTCACTGTTTTTGACTGCGGCAGCAACTCTCTCAAATACAATATCGCCAATGTGCCGTACGATTGGAATTGGAATCTTAATCCCAATCTTCGGTACCTCAATTTGTCTGGAAACAGACGGCTGGAGATCAAGCAAAGTTCCGTTCCCACGGCAGCTCAGAATCGCGAGCAATACACCGACTTTGGTAGACTAACCAATCTTCGAGTTTTGGGTTTGATGGATGTGACGGTTCTCAACTCTACACTGCCTGATCAAAGCGAGGACCGCCGTGTAAGAACGTCTGGCTCTTTGGCAGGGTACATGCCCTATGGCATGGCCGACACTCTGGGAAGCAAGAACGAACACCTCTCCACCATCGATCTTGTTGTCCCGCGCTTCAACTCGAATGATTCGGAAACTCTTTTGGGTTTGTTTGATGGCCAGGCGCTCAGTAGTGGTGGCTCTAAGATCGCCAAGTATCTCCAAGAGAACTTTGGGCATATCTTCTCTCAGGAGTTGAGGGACCTGAAGAATACCGAGAATCCTGCCGACGCGCTGAGACGGTCCTTCCTCTCACTTAACAAGGACCTCATTGCCGCCGGAAACACACACACCGAGGACAGGTCTTTGATGGTGCATCGCGGCTCGACGGCCCCTCTTGTCCTCAGCAGAGAGGATATGAACTCGGGTGGTGTCGCCACGATTGTCTACATTCAGAACCAGGATCTGTATGTCGCCAACGTTGGTGATGTACAGGCAATGATCATCAAATCAGACAGCACCCACGTCATGTTAACAAAGAAGCATGATCCTGCTGACCCCAACGAGCGCACGCGTATTCGAGAAGCCGGCGGGTGGGTATCTCGGAACGGCCGACTCAACGATCTTTTGGAGGTATCACGAGCCTTTGGCTATTTGGACCTGATGCCCGCTGTCCAGTCGGCACCAAATATCGAGAAACATACGATCGGCGAGCATGATGAGATGATCTTGATTGCAACCAGAGAAGTGTGGGAGTATCTTCCAAAAGACGTCCTTGTCGATGTCACCCGTTCGGTGCGCCAGGATCCAATGCGTGCAGCTCAAAAAGTCCGAGATTTGGCCATGGCGTATGGGTGCTCGAACAAGATGACGGTCCAGATGCTGGGCGTTTCCAACCTTAAGGCAAGAAGGGAGCGCTCACGGCAGCACAAGGGGCAGAGCATGCCAGTCTACGCCTCACTTCAAGACGACGGCGGCTCGTCAACTGGCATGAGGAGAGCCCGAAAGGCAAGGGATGGCCCTCTGGACTCGACGCTTGGACGACTCGATGCAGAGGTGCCTGCTCCCACAGGTCTCATTGCTATTGTTTTCACAGACATCAAGAACTCGACACAACTGTGGGAAACGTATCCCGAAGCCATGAGGACGGCCATCAAGAATCACAATGAGCTTATGCGACGTCAACTGAGGACCATTGGTGGTTTCGAGGTCAAGACAGAAGGTGACGCTTTCATGGTCTCCTTCCCAACTGCTACGTCAGCTCTCTTGTGGTGCTTTGCCGTCCAATGCAAGCTGCTCCACTTGGACTGGCCGGCCGAACTCTACAACTCGGTCAATTGCCAACCAGTGTACGATCGTGATAATAACCTGATCTTCAAGGGTCTGTCGGTGCGCATGGGCATTCACTGGGGCGAGCCTCTCTCAGAGCCTGACCCCGTCACTCGCCGGATGGATTACTATGGCCCGATGGTCAACAAGGCTAGTCGTATCTCGGCCTGTGCGGATGGCGGACAGATTGCCGTGTCTTCTGACTTCATTGCGGAAATTCAACGGTGTCTCGAACACTATCAGGAGCCGACGAGCACGGCTGTTGACCTCAATGAAGACAGTTTCGCGACCGCCATCCGGAGTGAGCTGCGCAGCTTGAGTGGGCAGGGGTTTGAAGTCAAGGACATGGGCGAGAAGAAGCTAAAGGGCCTGGAAAACCCCGAGTTTATCTACTCACTCTATCCCCATGCACTCTCCGGCAGAATCGAGACCCACAGCAAACACGAGAAGGAGCAAGCCCAGGACCTCAGGGAGATCAGGCCTGCTATCTTGAGCCCCGGGAGCGAGCTTTCGGTTGAACCAGATGACATATGGAGTCTCTGGAGAGTGGCTCTGCGCTTGGAAATGTTGTGCAGTATGTTGGAGGATAATAGCAAAGCGCTTCAGCCACCAGAGACAGGTCTCCTAGACAGGATGAGGCAACGGGGAGGAGAGGTGTCGGAGGACTTTTTGGTCAACTTCCTGGATCATCAGGTTAGCCGGATCGAGGTATGTTTCTTGTCTTGGTTTGAACAAACGTAATGTTGTATGATGCATGCTAACATTATGCAGACGTGCATCAACACGATATACATGCGTCACCTCGTCTCGCAGAGCAGCATAGGGTCCAATTTTGGCGCGTTGCGGGGACCGATGGACGAGGTTCTCAAGGTGGTTGCCGAGCAGTTCCAGCTGGTAGCTGAGTACAAAGCGCGGTATGGTGACCTCCGTGCTTGAGTTGGCTATGCCTGCCTTGCTGTCCTCGGTTTTTTGATGCTTTTGTTTTTTGGCTTGCTGTTTTCTACGCACCTTGTCATCCAATACCCCGGAACCTATAAAGTGTGGCTTTTTATTGCTCTTGTTTCTCCTCTCTCCCTTCTTGCAAGGCAGGCGGGCGGTCGTGGTTTCGATGCTGCGTTGGACTTTTGAGTTTCTCTCCAGTCCCGCCATTGCAAAGTCGATTAATCCTCTGATACCTCTACAACACGTATTTACGGCACACACATCATTACGTTATATACCATTAACCAGTATTGTTGCGGCAAACACCGGCAAAAACGGATAATTCTTGGGAGAAGAGGAGAGCCTCTAGAAATCCGTTTGGCTTCGAGTTAGTTGGTACTTTAGCATTTTTCTTAATATTTTGGAGGGGCTGAAGAAGCAGCAGGCGGGTTTTGTTTCGAATGGATGGACGGAAGGGTTTTGATACCGTATCGGGCAAAACAAAAAGAGATGAATCTGGCCTGTTGGTTTTTTGTTCTTGTTTTTCTTTTCTGCAACTCTTTTTGGTTTCTCTTTTTACAACTTTGAAGTTACAAGTAACGGAGCATTAGCATGGCAAAAGGCGGGCAAAGCGATGGATTACACACACTACACTCAGGATGGACGGGCTCAATTTCTACACCCTTTTTCTTTTTGCAACAAAGCTAACATTCAGTTTATCAATGTGGGTTTTTTTGTCACACATCAAATGGAGTCTTTTCCTGAAACACCGTTGGTTGAACTTTCTCTGGGCTGCTGGACTGGAACTGGAACTGGACTTCACTGGACTGGGATACAAAGCATTGTGTCAAGTGAGGCGAAGATTTTCATTTTTACGGCTTGTTTGCTGGTTTTGTTTGTTTATTTAGCGATGAAATTCTTGCTTTGACAGCTGAAAACACCAGTCTTTGTTAGGCGTGCGTTGCAATCGTTGATTGTTTTTTTTTTTTTTTTTTGATCACAGCAACGCACTCTTGAAGATCAGGGATGAGACTAACTCCAGTTGTTATTACAGCTTTTTCCAGCGCGTGTGCTCGTGCTTGCGAGACTTTCCTGATTGCAGGCTATGCATTGCTGCATGTCCTGGACACGGTCGAGGAATCGAAGAACTTTTGGAATGGGGAGGAATGGCAGTGTTATGATTACTTACCTGATCTGGAATACAGGGTGGTGAGGGTGCCTGCTAGTAGGGTTGGGTATATGGTGCCGCCGTCGGAGTTGGTTTTTCTCGCGGGGTGAGTAATGGGACGGGTGATGAGTGACAGAAGTTGGTATTCACAGAGTTTTGTGGTTCTTGTGTTTCTATCTCTGTTATTGTGGGACTGAAATGTAACATTCAGCATGTATCGATGTATGTTGAGGAGTAAATAAACAGGTTGTTGATGGACTGAGGATGTTTGCCAGCACAATTTCAGGGGTAAATAGGGGGTTGAACTCCACTTTCCTCTTATTCCAGGGGTTAGGGTTCTACTGTACCTCTGCACACTGTCACATGACGTAACTCCCTTTTTGATGAACGGCTGGCCCACAATAAATCTGTCCTCTGCGCGTCGCATTGGCTGACGCACGGCGGTTGAAGCTCAAGCTGTCCAGTTGACTGTAACGTCCACCTTTGTGCTTCTTACTGGCGACACCGCGACACGACGACAATCGCGACGGCAGCAAACATACTTCCTGTCTAGCGATATATACCACACCAATAACCGGCGATATATTGTCACCCGAACCACTGCGAGAAGAAGGGGAGCTGCCCCCTTGAAGCAAAGCGAAGATGTCTTTTCTGGGGAAGATTCTCTATGGTATGCTTCTCCTTGTTCTCCCCCCCTTCTCTATCAAGCATGCTAACGTCTGTGCAAATAAAAGTGACCGTCCTGATTCTCAACGCCATCGTCGTCCTGTCAGAGGACCGCTTCCTCGCTCGCGGTGCGTTTATCCCCAACATTCCTCCGGTGTTCCCGAACCCATAGTCCTATTCCAACTCCGACAACCACAGCTCAACCGATAGAGAGGGTCAAACCTTCCCAAACGGGGGGTCCTTGAACAAACTCTGGCGGGAGGGTCGCGCTTTGAGGGTACCACCTCGTTGGGATGCTGTGCTCGATACCAACACGGAGCAAAACCAGACACCAGTCAACGAGGTCGGAAAAGTGGCCCTGCTGCTTTCACCACGACATACAACAGCACATGACTATCCAGTACAGGAAACACTGACTCTTTGACCGACAGTAAACCTCACCCCCGCAACCCACAACCGCTCCTTCGGCGGCCCCGGCGGCGTAGACAGCAGCGTCAAGTACAATGCCATCCAGCTGATTGCCTCGATCCGGACCTTGATGAGGAGTATGTACTCTCCTCACGTACCCCGCACTTTCGCCACCGTCACTAACAAGAGAGTTAGTACCATTAATTGTGATCAATACCCTCATCATAGTGTATGAGCTTGTTTTGGGCTAAAGGTTTGCGGTTTGGAGGTGGACAGTGAGGAAATGGAGGGGGAAGTCACGAGAGCACGCACACCACTTCATAAAGATCATGTGGGAAATTGCTTTGGGTTGGAGGTTGGCAAAATGAGGCGCTAATAGATGGATGGGTGTCGTTGGCATGACGAAAATATACACTAATGGATACAACGAGCTACTACAATGCATGATGTTGGGTCTTTTACACCGCCCTTCGAGTCTGCAGAAACAAGTGAGAGATTACAACTACTATTAACTCTACTTCTGGTGGTATCATAGGTAGGCTGTCTACTATCTAATAATACTGTCGTTATACGTATCCCATCTACCCAACAAACGCCCAAAAAACAAGATTGCCCCCCGTCGTTCATAATCATCACCTCACGACACACCCATCCTGCCCTTGTTCTTCAGATCAAAGCCTGTCTCGCCAGCCCATACTCCGGCATCATTCCCTCCAGCCCCAGCACCACCGCCCTGCTTATTACCGCCAACCTATCGCGGTGGTGGCGCCTGCGGCTGTGCTTGTGGTGGCATGGAAAACTGTCTCGGGACTTGACTCTGTACGTACTGGCTCTGATAAGGGGAATAGTTCCGGGCTTGTTGCGGTGGCGGTGGACGAAATGGAGGTAGTTGAAAGTGTCGAGGATCCGGTTGCTGCTGCTGCTGAAATGGAAATGGTGAAAACTGCCGTGGCGGTAGTGGGTGATACTGAGGATGATGAGCATGTGTGAACTGCGGCTGGGGAGCTACCGGTGGTGGTCTCCAAAACGGATCAGGTTGAAACGCATGCCCCGTCATGGGAGGCAGCGCATGAGGCGGTAATAAATGAACATGAGGCGGCGGTAAGTGAATCTGCGGATGCGGTCCCCATCGATACGTAGGCGAGGAATTACTCTCGGGAGATCCGTCATACCCCCCATCCATACCCACCGCCCCAACATTCACCACCTGCCGTGGTGTCTGCATCTGCACCTGTTGCTGAGGAGAATGCTGGACAGGCTTCGGTTTCATCACCGACGTCCCATCCAACCCAACATTCTCCTGACCACCGCCACCACCACCACCACCAAGCACCTCGCCCCCATTCAACCCGCGACAGCCAACCCACTCATACCCAGCAAACGCCGTCCGTCTCCTCACACCCATCGCCACCTTTCCCATCTCCTTGTCCCTCAAAATCTTGTCCCTCGGCCTCTTCTTCTTCTTCTCTTCCTTCTTATCTTTGGCGGCGTCCCCCTTGGGCTCCCCATCCCGAAACACCCGACACCCGTACCGAAGCAAAAAAGCCTTCATCACCTCCTTCTCCTCCTCCGTAACCCCGCACTCCGGGCTAGCCTTGTCAATCTCTTTCTCCAACCCCATGTAATAGTCAATGTCAAACGGCGCCTGTCTCATCGCCTCCATCACCCACCTCTGCAGACTCGGCCTCCTGCCCAGCTTACCGAGGAACCTCTCCTTTTCCTCTTCTCGCCTCCTCTCCTCCATCAGCTTCTGCTCCTCAACCATCTGATCCAACACCCGTTTGCTCAACCCGTGATACCCCTCCTCCTCAAGCCTCCTGTTCTCAATCTCATCCTCATCGTCCTCCTCCTCCTCCGACAGCTTGTCCTCCAGAGAGCTCTCACTCCAATCACTCAAACTCTCGTCATCAAAATACGTCGCATCGTCCGGCGAGTCCAGCACGGGAACATGCGGCGGCGGCATCTGGTGCAAATGCTCCCACGCAATTGACCTAAACCACTTGTGCCCCTTGATATCCTCAGCATCATTAGGGAACACAAACTTGTCCACATATTCCTTCGTCCACCGTGTATCCTTCTGCGTCTGATGCTGCTGCTGCTGCTGCGCCGGGCCACCACCACCACCACCACCAGTACTACTATTCCCCGACATAGTAGCAACCCCCAAAGCAGGCAGACTCGGCGCCGACATCGAACTCGTCATCCCCCTTTGATTCTGCCCCCCCGGCCCAGTCCCAATCTGCCCAATCATGTCCTTCATCTTGTACGCCTTGCAAGACAACCTATCCTCCTTGTCCACAATCAAACTGACCAACAAATTCCGACACCTCGTCGACACCGCCGGCCCCTGCCTCGGAAAGCGAAACGTCTCCCGGTGGTTCAAAATATTCTTCTTGGTCACCGACCTCCCCTCCTCGCTGTAGAACGGCGTGCTCCCGTACAGGCACTCGTACAGAATCACCGCCACGCTCCAGTAGTCGCACCTCGCATCATAACACTCCCCCTTGACCACCTCGGGAGCCATGTACTGACTCGTACCCATAATACTCACCGCCGCCCCCCTGTTCCCGTTCCTGTTCCTCCAGCTCAGCAACGGCTCCCTCTTTTCATCCCCCTCCACCCCGACCCCAACCCCAACCTTGGGCTGATGCTTCCCAATCCCCGTCATGATGCCACTCGTCCACTTCAGCACCGCAGCCGTGCTCCTGCTCTCCTTCCTGTCCTGCTTATCCCCCACCACGTTCAACCCCAGCCTATTCACGAGCGAATACCGGTGACTAGTAAAATAGGCCAAGTCATGCGACCAATGCCCATCAAACGCCAGCCCAAAGTCCGAAATCTTCAGGTGCCCGCTCGCCGATATCAAAAAGTTGTCAGGCTTGATGTCCCGGTGTATAAACTTCAACGAATGCGTCGCCTCCACCGCCAGAATCATCTCGGCAACATAAAACCTGGCCACCTCTTCCGGGAGCGTAGTCTCCCGAATCAAAAACCCCAGAAAGTCCCCCCCAGGCATGTACTCGGTAACCAAGTACAAATTCTTCAAGTCCTGAAACGCCGCCACGAGCTGAACAACCCACTGACACCCCTCGCTCGCGATCAAAAAGTCCCTCTCCGCCTTGAGATGCCCCTCCTGCTGCGTCTTGATCATCTCCCCCTTCCGTATACACTTCATGGCAAACACCCCTCCCCCACCACCACTCTGCCTCACCAGCTTCACCACCCCAAAACTCCCCTTCCCCAAAATCTGCACCTCCTCAAACCCATTCTCCCTCGCCCCGTCCACCCCCTCCCGCATCAGCAACCCCGCCCCCCTAGCCTTCAAAACCCTCGTCTCCCTCAGGTGCCGAGTCTCCTGTTTGAAAAACCCTTGTCTGACAGCGGCAATCTGCCCACTGGTCAGCAACCCCCCCTTTTTCGTCTCCTTCCCCCCCCTGGCAGCCGCCGCATCCACAAAAAGTCCATTCTCAAACCCCTGCCTCCTCTTCTCTCTATCCGTTGCCCCAAGAGCAAACTTCTCCTGAAAATACCCCTCCAGCGCAATCTTGGCCGCAGCCGCCTTCTCCACCGTCACGATCGAAGGCGTGACAAGATCAAAGGGCGATTCCTGTATAGTCGTCAAGACAGAGTCCGGACTGGGAGAGGTGGAAGTGTCATCAATGTGGTTCTGCGGCGGGTTCTCCCTGTGGTGTTGCTGGCCATGATTGTGGCCATGATGGGCATGATGACGAATGATTGGATTCGAGCAAGATGACACCCCCGACAACGGCAGCGCGATGTTGTGCTGGTGATTACCGTGCCGGGCGGTTTGCTTCAACCTCTCGGGCGGGGATCCCCCTCCTCCCCCTCCCCCTCGCCTCTGATCCTTCATCATCCACGAATCCATCGACGTCTGCCCAGTCGAGTTCTTGGGCGAGGTGTTCGCCGAATTATCCTGCGGCGTGCTCGGCATGCTCGAAACCGTCGTCGTGTCTGTGTTCTTCGCCGTCGTGGTGGCGTCGGGGGTGATGACCTGCGGTGGTGACAACGGAAAAGATTCAATATGCTGCACCACTGCTGCTTGTTCTTGCTGCTGCTGCTGCTGCTGCTGCTGGTGGTGATGATGATGATGAGGATGAGGATGATGATGATGATGATGAGGATGACGTTGCTGAAATGTCTGCTGCTGAAGCTTCGGTCGACGACTTCTCGGTTGGGTGGATCGATGAATAACAGTCGGCTCCATGGGAGAAGGAGCACCACGGACGAGGGCGCTGGACATTTTTGAAAGTATGCCCCTTGGGATAATTGACTTTGCACCGCGGTGGCCGCTAAGGGGCTCGGTCGGTGTCGTGATGGCGGGTGGCTTGTCAGAGGCTTTTTACGTCGGTTCGTATCAGCCCAAACGGTCTTCTCAACATTCCCAACAAGAAAGCTTGGAAACTCACCAAGATTGGTCAACGACTTGAATGCGGAGAATATCTTGAACCTTTTACGAGCGGCGGCCGTGGTGACTTGGATGGAAGCACGGTCGGAGCGGGCAAGGGACCACACCGAGGCGTTGTTGTCGTCCAGTTTGTAGCCGGCCCCTAGAGAGATGGAGGCGATCTCACTGTGCTGCTGGCCAGTTCTGCTCGTCATGACGGTGCACCTCTGTCCATGGGATAAAAATTACGGGGTGCAATAATGCTGCCGGGTAAGTATTGCGGGATAATCCCCTTCCAGAAAATCCAACGAGAGTCGGGGGTTTGGGACGGGTCGAGATGGAATGATACGGTGACGGGGACAAGATGGGTGAAGAAGAAGTTTGTCGATGGACAACAGGGACGTCATGGTCTATCTACGACGGGGCATGGCCTCCGTGAAGCCCCTTCCACAGGCCGGCAATGCCCAACAAGACAGGACGGCTGGGAAGGTGTCGACTACAAACACCTTTCCTCATGGGCGCACTTGCCATTGCTTAGCAGGACGCTGGACATGCCAGGTAAGACGGAACATTACACAGAAGAGACAGAGAAAGAGATACACACATAGCCAGCAAGTACACAGGCGACCACAGTGTTGAGTTCATAGCCGCGCCACAGCGACGAGTATTATTTTCCCCTAAGCAGACAGTAACATAAAAAATTCCCTGAGAGGTAACAAAAAAACCTCCAAACCCAAGTTTTGTTCGCCATTCCATAATGCAATGCAGACCTCGTCATCCCCTTGAACACCGTCTCTTTCTGCTGCCTAAGAGGACAGAATCCTCACAGATCGTGCGCAGGTCAGAAGGTCTCCATGGTGCTGTATATGAAGCAAAAAAGACCGATCAGGCTAACCCGTAGGAAGAGCCTCGAGATATCATAAAAATAAAACAAAAATAAAAAAGGAAAAGTGCCCGTTGTAAAATACAAGGCTACATGCCACCGAGTCCGACGCCGCGCTCAGGAGACATATATATTCAAGTCACTAAGATCCTTTACTTGATCTCGATGAGCTTGACATCGAAGATGAGAGTGCTGTTGGCAGGGATGCCGGGGAGGGACTTGCTGCCGTAGGCGAGGTGGGCGGGAATAGTCAACCGACGCTCGCCACCAACAGCCATGCCGAGAATACCAATGTCCCAGCCCTTGATGACCTCACCCTTGCCAATCTTGAAGCTGAAAGGCGCACCCTTCTTGTTGGAATCAAAAACCTTGCCGTTCTGGAGCTTGCCAATGTAACGCATGCCAACGCGGTCGCCGTTCTTCACGGTGCGGCCGGTACCAGCCTTGCGGTCGTCGATGGTGACACCGTTGACAACCTTGACACCAAGAGCCTTCTTCTCGGCGGGCTTCTCAGCAGCCTTGTCCTTAGCAGGGCCGGTAGGGCCTTGCTCAAGGTTCTTGGCGAACTGGACCTTCTTATCACCCTTGGTGGAGGGAGACTCCTTGGCCTCAGTAGTAGCAGCCTCGCTCTTGTTCTTCTTCTGCTTCTTGTTCTTCTTCTCGTCCTTGGCGATCAACTCGTCGAGGCCCTCGGCCTCCTCCTCAGCGGCTCTCTTCTTGCCCTTCTTCTTGGTATCGACGAGCTTGGGAGCCTCCTCCTCGTCGGTGTCGATCTCCTTGATGCGCTCAGCACCATCAATCTCGTCGAGCTCATCGCTCATGTCATCATCGGAGTCACCCTCGAGGACGGCGCGCATGTCGTCATCGTAGTCCTCATCGGACTCCTCATCGGAATCCTCGTCCTCCTCGTCCTCGGTGACCACGTAGTTGCCAGTGACGTAGACAGTGTGGGTACCGGTGACGGCGAAGAAGACCCTCTCGCCCTCGCCAATGACAAGGTCGATGGGCTGCTGGTAGGTCTGTGTTGCTTGTCAGTCTGTGCAAGGCTTTCTTGGGCTGGTTGAAGCTAATACGTACGCGCTCGGTGTCAAGAGTGCAGACAACGAACTCCTCAAGCTCACCCTCCTCCTCATCGTCCTCGTCGCTCTCCTCATCGCTCTCCTCCTCGGCCTTGGCCTTGGCCTTGCCCTTCTTTCCGTTGGGCTTGACGTCCTCCATCTCCTCATCGGACTCCTCCTGGGTAGCCTCCATCAGCTTCTTGATGGCAGCGGCGCGCTTCGCCTTCTTGGACTTGGCGGGGTCGCTGGGGCCGCCGTTGGGCTCCTCATCGGACTCCTCGTCAGACTCCTCGTCGTCGCCACCGCCGAGAAGCTTCTGGAGGTACTCGTCCTCGTCCTCATCATCGCCCTCGTCGTCGTTGACGACTCTGATGATCTTCAGGGTAGAGCGGTGGACGGCGGGGATGTTGCCCTCCTCATCAGCCTCGGGGGCGGCAGTAGGGTCAAGAGCAGCCATGGTGATGCGAATCTAGAATTGCGCATTAGCAATGGCCTGGCGATTGGAATTGCAGAGACTTACGGTCGCAGGGAACTGGATCTCGGCTGGGACAAGCTGTCCGGGAGGGACATCTTGGCCATAGACGGCGACAGGAAGAAGAGGCATGTTGGCTGAGTTAGAGGATGTTACTTGGTATGTACTAAAAGAAGGATTGGCGATGCGATTTAATGTGCTGAAAAAAAACAGACAGACAATGTGATGATGGTGATGTTGAGTACAGAGAAGAAGAAGAGAGAGGTGCAGGAATCGCAGCAGAAAAAAAATATCCAGCACTTTGCAACCACCTGCAGCAATTCGAGGTTGGCTCCACAAAAAAAGTTTGGGCGGCTCCACTTCAGCATCCGATAAGGCTTATCGGCCGATAGTTTCCACTGGTTTCCCAGCCAATCTGGTGGGACAGAGCTGAGCTGCAACATTCACCACCCAACGGCGGCGCAACAGTGAATTGGCCTTGGGAGCAATGCGCCAGGGTGAATATCGTGAGCAGATGTCTGCAGGTGTTTTGTTCCCATCTTCCTGAGTGAATTCTGCCACCATCGGTGCTTTCTGAGCATGGAATCGGGTTCATATTTCAGCTTTTGACATCGAGACTCTCTCGAGTCCTCTTTGTTGACTTGCAAGAATTTACAAGCGCCTCCCCACATGGATCCCCGGTCCATTCACTGCTCCAGGTCGACAACCGCACGTCACCTCCCGTGCCTTCTCTGCACTTCGTAGACGTTCTGTGAAATCTCTATCATCCAGAGAGCAATCTGAATAATGGATTGCTGAGATCACCACTTGAGCTTCTAGAATCTAGAACAAGTTGCTCGGCTTGGCATCTCACACTTCAGGCGACTGTCAAAGGGTGTTTTCTAGGAGTTTGAGATGAAGAGAATCGGATTTGCTGCTTAATCTGAAACCTTGGCTCAAGTCAATTGTTATCTGAGCAATACCGCAGAGCTGTCCATATGAGTAAACGCCGAGCTCTCATCACCAACCTTTCAGTCAAGCTCCAAGACCAGGCCTTACACCATCAAACTTGTACAGTGAAGTGTGTCGATACTGCACCGAAATAGCTTGCTTTATCTTTCCTCATCATTGCAAAGCCACTAGAAGAGCATGTACACATCATCATCAGAGATAATTAAACACCGGATCATGAAGACCGAGCTGACCAAGTGGATAGATGGCCTCTATCTCTGTTTAACAGCTCCTATAACCATTATATCTCTACAAACATGTCAAACCCACTCCCCTAAGCAACCAAACCCAACCAAGACACGGCTGACCTCCGAAACAAAGCAAGGCTGAAGCAGCCAGCTTACTCACCCTCACCCTCACCACACCCAGCCCCATCCAAGACAGGTCCCCCCTCCCGCTCTATCTGGACAACAAAAAAACTAAATCAATAAATAAATCCCCAATCTGTACATACCAATCATCCCCTACCCCTACCAAGCATTGTATCAGGCCTTGGTTCCAACTCAACCACCAGTAAAACCGCCGATCTCCCCCCTTCCCAGCCATCCAAAAAGTGGATATCCCACAGTGGCAGTGTACATGTCAATATGTAAGCACCACCTCACCACCCTCACCACAGAATAATCGAGATACTACAAGTAGGTTTACATGCCTTAACGGATAGTCCATAAGCCTTTAAAGATAATTTATAATAGGCCTTTGAAGATAGTTTATAAGCCTTCAAAAATAGTTAACAGGCTTTGAAAGATCGTTCAAAATCCTATTAACTTCTGAGGTATAGTTCATAGTATATGATATGGGTTGACTTACTTTTGTGTCTCGGTTATTTTGTGGGCAGGGTGCTCACCTCACCCAAGTACACAGCGTGACAGGGTCCCGTTTTAACGGAGAAATAAAACTCAAAAACTCCACGTTTACGTCAAATTCCGAACCCAATAATACAAAAGCCGCGTGGCATTGGGGGTGTCCATACAGGTTCGTTACAGAGACCCTTGGGTCGGTAGGTAGGTAGATAGGTAGGGTATGGAGAAGACCGACCGCCCCACGTTCCTACCTGTGTCAAACTCGGATTCGACAAGACATGCAAGATACATAGAGAACAGTCAGCCGCGCGCCGCAGACGCCGGAGTGAGTATGCCGATATTCCGAAGAGTTTCTTGGGTAGGTGGATGAGCGTGAAATGCAACAAACTTGTCTGGGAACGGCCCGCCTCCGAACGATGATGACGACGCCCCAACCCCATACCATTCCCAAATCCCATACCCAACCGCATGAAACTAGTGTAAAAATTCCGCATGTACGAGTAGACTATAGTACGTTTAGCATCTTAAAACAACAATCCGACGTTCGCTAGCTAGATAGAACAGCACAGCCACAATCAATGCTACAACACCAACGTCACCTCCCCCTTGGCGCTTCTTGAACCTTCAAAGATCAGGCCGACATCCAAAAACCACACAAGATCCAGACATACATACAAGTCACAGTCACCAGAACAAAACCAAACAAAAAAAAATAGCTTTATGCATGCCAAGCGAGCGTCATGATCTGAATTTCTTTCTCTCTCTCTCTCTCTCCCCTACACCACACCTCCCCCCACCCTCCCGCCGTCTCCATCTTTCAGAGACTAAAACTTTGGAACTCCTTCTCCCCCAAATCTCCACCCAACTACCCACTCCACCAAATAAACGTCATCATCATCATCACCACCCACCAAACCCCAAACCCAGGCCCATCCCTCCCAATTGATTGACGCCGATTTGTCTTTCCCTCTTCGCTCGCTTGCTCATGTCTTCTCCCCCCCCATCTTACTCCTCCTCCTCCGCCACCTCCTCCTCTGCCTCTTCCTCCCCATCTTGTTCCTTCCCATAGCTATTCCCATCATTCTTTATGTACATAAAAAAATTAAATATTAAGGGCTAAAAATGGATTAAATTATTTCCCTTTCTCTTCCTCCGGCTGTGTCCCCTCAAATCGTGAAGAAAGAGTTGCCTCAAATCCGTTCTGTTCTCCTTGGGTGGTCGTCAAAGAAGAGAAAAAACCAAATTGATGATTGATCCCGCTTGAGGAAGGTGTTGTTGATGTGTCCCCCCCCCCTCCTTCTTTCTCCCCATGGATTTGCAAAGCGGTTCGTTCCCGAGGTGCTTTTTTGGTTGCCCGGATTGTTCTCATTTCGTTTCCAAAGACTTCTTTCGGCACTTGTCTTGTCTCCATGTCGTGTGAGACTCCCCAAACTGTGCTTGCCGCCACTGGGGGGGTTCCCCTGAATTATCGCCGTGTCGTATTGTATTCCCAACTCTTTCTGGTGGCTGGTGGTGGTGGTGGTGGTAAGTGTGGTGTGTAAGCGAATGGCGCCAGCAAGGCGGAGGATATCATCCATAAACCGATTGTCCCCCGTTCCGTCCTGGTATAATATTATTCTTGCTCTGTTGCTCCTTGAACTCCGATGAAACCCGCCGAAAAATGAGCAAAAGCAATGATGGCAAAGCAAAAAAGAAAAAGAAAAAAACCGTCGAGCCCCATATCTAGATGCCAAATGCCGATGCCATGCCATGCATATCAACATCATGTCCTCTTGATTTACACACGTGCGCCTCACACAATCCCGTGCTGTTTATAAAAGAACAAAGGCCAAAAAGGGCGATGAAGTACGCCGGTCGCCAAAGTCTGTTGACAAAATGTAAAAATGCCCAAGAATCGAAGAAGGGGTCGGCGTTCCGAGGTGTGCTGGACAGCTCTATGCCAAGTTTCGACGGCACACGGATATCGAAGCCCGAGAGGGTCGAGCCCATGGATAGAAGTAAAGCATCGGCGCTATTAAAATGCGATAATTTGCTTGCGAGGCAGCAGTAACTGGTGTTATACCAACGAATCCAAGTTGACCGACTTGGCTCTCCTCCTAGTGACCTTCTTGCTGACTGTGTAGACCAAGTCTACTGTCCAGAAGTGGTATATTTGCGCTTGGGCGCAAGGGATCGAGCCAAAGATTGGCGCGACGAGGGGTACCATGATGTAGTCGATAAAGTTGGTCTTGGCCTCTCTGCGGGAGAAGTGCATGCCCTTGGTCAGACCGGCATCGCTCATCTCCTTCTCGCGAATCTCGAGGCAAACCTTGTGGAAGCTCTCGTAGAGAAAGAGGTACAGGGCGACTTCCATGAAACCAACTGTGCGCAGAATGTTGCAGATGCTGAACATCCAGTTGACGCCGTGAACATCAGGAGCCCCGTCAGTAACCCAGGCGTAGAGAGTCGATGCGACAACCAGGATTGTCATCTGGACAGGCAGAAAATGCGCCTCGAAAAGACGGTGAAACAGAACAATCATGCGCTCGTAGTTGACGCCCTTCAGAGTGTCGGTGGTGACGTCCGAGAAGATGCCGCTTTCGGGAGCAGCTTCGGGGTCAGCTGTCGAGACTTGCGATTCGGGAACATAGCCATCCGAGGCGTCGTTCAGAGCGGTATGAAGAGGGCGGAACGCTCTGGAGGTGTGCTTCCTCTCTCTCCAGACCTCGACAACCTTCCTGAGAGCATACCCAGTATCCAAAGCACCCCACATGTGCCTGAGAGCTTGCTTGTACCGAGCCTGCACGTCGGCGATCAAACCGGGGATTCCCTTGCCATGACCGCCGCCAGTAACATTGGTCTGGCTGACAGGGCTCATGACGGTCCGAACGGTCAAGTTACCATTGAGCGCAAAGAAGCACTTGAGGTACATGTGCAAATCCTCGCCAATCGCTTCGGCATCGCAATCCCAACCGCCGACACGGTCAACCAATTCGAGCGGCACCGAGTAGACCGAAGTAGGAGGGGCAACGGTCGAACCCTTGTACAATCCGGACATGCCGGCAGCAGACCACAGTACATCGGCGACACGGACAATAGCCGGGACGTTGTGAGCATTGCGGTCAAAGATGATAGGAGCTGAGTAGAGGGTGGTAGTGGCAGTCTCGGTGTAAGTCATGTGCATGGTGGTGACCAGGCCAAAGTAATTGGTCGAGAGATGGCTATCAGCTGCATCCGTGACAAACTTGGTTAGCGAATCCAATCGCGCGCACAGGACAGAAATAAAGGGACCAACCACACCGAGCGACCCGGTGCATTCTTGCAACGGGGCCCAGAACGTTCGGCAGCTTCTGCGGGGCAAACTCACCATCAATTCCGGTCACAATCACATCCTTTCGCTGGCCCAGAGAGTATCTTTCGCTGAGCTTCCGGGCGGCCCAAGCCATGTTGCTGCCCTTGCCAGCAAGCTCGCCGGGGATATCAGACGGGTGAAGCGTGTAGTTGATGGAGCGGAACTTCTTGGAGAACTCATTGACGAACCGGGAAGCCTTGGTCTCGGCATTGTGTTCCCGCTGCTCCATAGCAAGATAGACCTGGATCGTGAACTGTCAGCTCCGCACTAAACAGGGGAGGTCCTTCATCGGACCCATTCACCCCCACCACAGCTGCTGCCAGAGAACAAACAAGCATTTGTTGACAGCGGTTGATGAGGGGGTGTGTCATCCGGCGGCTGAAGTGTAGAGCGCGCCAACTTACATCGTAGGTGTTGCGGGCCTGAGGGTGAGAGGCCAAGACCTCGAGAGTCTCCCTGAGCGTGTCATTTTCCTCCTTGTAGTTGGGAATGACAATGGCATGGATGACGCGGTCGGGGGCAATGTCGGCGTCAATGTAGCAATCCGTATCGACATCCTCAACTTCGCTGCTCGAGGAGGAGCCCAGGTCGCGCGACGAGGTCAAGGTCTCGGAGCTGGAAAGGGAGGTCGAAGAGCTGCGGCGGCGGTGTCCAAACTTGATGTCTTTGAGGGTCCTGGCACGAGCCGACTTGCGCAGCTGCCTGCCAATGGTGAAGACGGCGTAGCAGGAGCGCAAGGGGAAGCAGAAGACAAGGAAGTGGATGAGCAGGCAGTAGTAGGAGAAGATGTTGACCCAAATGGCACCGTTTTGCGGGTCGTAATTGGGTGCGCTAAGACTGTCGTTTGACTGATACTTGTAGCCATGTCGTTGAGCCTCGAGTTCGCTCGAAATCACCCAGTAGGAGAGCGCAACGGTGGCCATCATGGCCAGACCGCCAGCGCGCTGGCTACACCACCCAAATATCGACATTGTTGCTGCTCGGTGTGAGTTATTATGTGGAGGTGGAGGTAGCGGTGGTGTGTTTTATAAGTTGCTGACTCGTCGTGGACGGAAACACGCCCAGTTTGCTAACCGACGAATGGCGGTTTGAGGGCGTTGAGGTGATGGGAGGAGGAAGTCGACGACGAGTTGACGGCGTGGGCCCGAGTGCACAAAGAGACGCGAGTCGATTGCACCTCAACCGAGCACGTCCAAAGGTCCAGAGGCACAGGGCTGCGATTCGAGATGGTGGGAAGGAGGGACTGGCGGGAGGAAGGGGGAAAAGGGAAAAAAGAGAAGAGAAGGAGATGAGGTGAGGTGTGCGGTTGAGAAAATGGATAACCACCGGGCGGGCGCAGTCAGGTAGATGGGGGTGCAGGTGGTGAGTGGTCAATGTGGTCAATGTGGTGCGACCCGGGGGTGGACCTGGCTGAGGTGAGGGTAGGAAGCTCAACCTGGGTATGGTAGCTGTCGATGAAACTCGTTGAGGGTAGGCTGCCGGCAACAGAAAAAAGGGGGCAGCTGAGGTTGAAAGCCCAGCCCACGCGTTCTCTCTCTGTCGGTCGGTGCCAACACCTGCGATGGGAAAACGCTGCTGGGGGTGTTCGTGGGTGCTACCTTTGGATAGGTGTGGGCTGGGATGCGCAGGCTCGGCAGGGTCACGACGGGGACTGGGGGCTGAGCTACAGGCAATTGGATCGCTGTTGGGGTCGGCCCTCCGCAGCAGCAGCGTAAGATTGTGGATTCCCTCAACTGTGAGGTGGACACGAAAGTACCTGGTGCGAATAACACAGCAAGCTTGTCGCTTTTGGGTAACAAATTTCCCACCTGGGGACGGCTCAGCAACGGCCCAGGTTTGCTGTTTCCCGTTGCAAGGCTAGCAAGGCCTCTGTAGTGGTCTGTTATTTGCGGGTTGATGAGAAAAACACACTCAAAAAAGGCCTCTTTCACAGCCTTCGGAACGGTTTGGGATAGGTCTGAGTCGCGGCACCCTGACCTGGATCCCGCTGTTTTTCACATGGAAATCGCGGGGGAGAAATCTGGGGTGTCGTTGGTGTGCGAAAGAGAGCTTCGTCCACTTAGCTCCTGCTGCAGTCTTCCCCTTCCAGACAGCTCTTCTCGACGATCCAACACTCAACGTCCCTGCCGTTGAAACAAGCTGCTCGGGAGGCATTGGCGCGTTGGCGAAGGCTGTCTGGCATTCGCCTATTCGAACTTCACACGACGGAGTACCCAGGTTGCAAAAAAAATTAAATCTGTTTTTTTCTCGCTCCAAGGCCGCGTTTGCCAAGCGGCGGCAGTTCAAAGCTTTGTTGCCTACCTGGCCAGGCCAGGAATCTTACGTCTGACTCCATACATTATTCCCTGTCACAGAAGCCAACCAAACACTTGGCCTCCAGCACGCGCAAAAGGTCCAACTCCACTTCCTGTCGCGATCAACAACGACAAGACAACGACAAGTAAAAAGTCTCACAGCTGTTGCTAGGCCGAGGGACGACGTCAGGGCACTCCAAGCGCTGCCGTCCCTCCGAACCACCACGCCAGCCGCACGTTCTTGACGGCTCGACACCTGACGGAACTGCACCGGTGGCAGAGAATCTCACCAATCCTGATGGGGGATCTCGGGACAAATCGAAGTCTGTGGGGCTCTGTGTCTGAAGTTGGCACACACACAGCATGACCCGCATCATACCATGCCGTTCCTTGCGCCAGAGAACAGTTTATTATTATTCGGGGTCCTCCCACCAAGCAGATAAGAAGCCAGCATCCCCCATCCACAACACAGAGAACAGTACACCGCTCACTCCAACGCGGCAAAGGAAGTCGGTCAGCATCAAAGAGGAAAGCAAAGAGCTAGCCTCGCCATGCCATGTCGATAACGCGCTGTACTTACCAGCCACATCCCCACGTTGGACAGTCGCCATTTGACATGCACGGGGAGCTTGGGCCCCCTTCGGCTCTGTCACTGGCTGGTGGGCCGATGCCACTTTGTGGAAATTATGATGAGCTTTCCCAAGCGGACACGGCAGCTCAGGCATTTCCCCTTCTCCGATGTTACTATTGGCCCGCGATGCTCGCACAAGTCACCTCACTAGCAGCGAGAGTGTAACGGCCAGAAATGCGAAGGTGGCGCTGTAGTTCTGCATAGTCTGGAGAGCCACTGAGCTGACGAGCAGCCTGCAGAAGAGCGTGAGCACAGCAGCAGGCTACGTGCCGGTGTCTCGGCACGGCTCACATGGAGATGCGGATCCCCATACAAAAAAAGGTGAAATTCCGGCCTGGGAACGTTGCTAACTGAGACCTTTTTATATCTAGGTACATGGGTACCTGCGGAATAGTCGAAAAACGTGCTTCTTGTGAGGCCTCTCGCTCGGCCTCGGCACCAGAGTTGAAGCCCATTCATCCGCTCTCACCTCGCCCATGTCGCATCGTGCCAAGCGTAGCGTTGGACCAATTTTAAGCTGCGCGATGGATTCAATGGCAGGCTAGCAAGAGCCAAAAAGGTCTTTTTTTTCTTTTTTTTTCTATCTCCATCCCACACTTACCGGAACGGGCTACGCTACAACGGCCCCATCGCCGTCCCTTCACCGGCTTCGGCCGCCGGCAGTGGTGGAGCATGGATCACATCACCGCATCTTTTATGATGTTGTTGAACAAGATGTCGAGGCGGCAGAGCTCAAAGCGGCTGACAATAGCATCTAGAGGCTGTTCCTGGCGTGGCGGGAGGGTGTCTTTTGTTACTCAAGCATCACCACGGCGGCGTCCCAGCAGGAACCGGCCGGCTCTTGCGTGATGTGGTCAAAGAGATTCATTTCGCTTGTGCGGCTTCAACCAGACGTTGGGTCGGGTCTGGGGTGCTGCATCCCGGACAATCCTCTACTCCGATCACAACCATCCCAGAACCAGAAAAAGCTTCTTTTGGGTTATCAATCTGGCAGCTCATGACAGCAGCTTGGCCCGAGTTTGACATCCGACAACGAAGCCTTCCACACCTCAAACCGAGATGCATGGCTCACAGGCCGGCAGTATATTGCAGGCGGTGATACAGCAGAACAACAAAGTTGAGAGTCTACTGTAGGAGTGCTGCAGGTCCGGGGAACTAGAAACGGGGCCTCTTTTTCATCGTCGCCTCAGAAACTGTCCGCCCACCGATTCGTGGGGCCGGTTCCAACGGGAGAGGCGTTAACTTTTCAGACCCCGAAGCCGCTTCCTTTTCTGTACGACCGGGTTTAGGGACGCATCTGCATGATGAGGGGGAAAATGCAATAGAATGTTTCGAAACATGTCTTGCAACTGCTGGGAACTGGCAGAGAAGCAATAAGGAAGCATGTTTTCGAATTGAAACCCTTTAATATCACTAATAACCTTGTCTTCGAAATTTTGTACGACAGCCAGCACCAGTGGTGTTGATTAGGAACAAGCTTCCAGGCGTTCATTGGGGAGGGTTGCAGAAAAGGCCGGTCAGGACCCTTCCTTTCCCTTCCCGCCCGGCGGCTGCAATGTCCGGTCCGTCCATCAAACCCCCCTGACGGTAGCAATCTGTGTGCTGGTGGTTACAACATCCAGGGGTTGGTGAGAGAAAAAATCACGCAAGATTTGCGGCCGTCAAGCAGACCAAACCCGCGTCCCGCCACGCGATTCTTTTTTTTCTTTTTTTTTTTTCGCAGTTGGATTGGGAACTATTTCCATTTCAATCTAGACTGGTCCATGTGTGTGTTGAAATATCTCCCATCCCGCGGCACATCTTACAACTTACGCGCCTTTGTTTTAGCCGTGCGGCGTTGTACACTTTGATAGTGGGATGGACGGGGATGATGATATGGGCCAAAATCCAACATGGTGCTTGTGGAGTTGCCAGTCTTGCTTGGATGAAGCCATTTGGTGAGAAATAGATGTGCTGACTTTATCTCAGGGTCAGGATTATGGCAAGCATGTCTCAGGCTGACTGATATTGCAAGACGACAGCTGCCAATTTTGTCAGCTTGGTGTTGTAAGAAATATCTCCTTACAGAAGTATTTCCCTCCACAAAAAGATATCCGAACCTTGCGAAAAAAGATACTCGGCTTATACCTAGGTAGGCGAACCCGATCCCCATGGACCCTTAATCCGACGACGAACCACGAGGATGGTTAGAACCCGCGTACAATAAGTAAGCACTTCATCAAAAAGGGTCATGAAACCATGAAACCCAATCCTTCGGAGCCCTTTCATCACACGGACCAGTAAGATTGGGGATTAGATGTGATCTCTTAGCGATCAGTCACCGGAGCAAATCAGATCATGCCTTTATCTATCCCCCCATTATCGAACTACAAAAATCACCCCTTATCAAAATCACAAAATCATTATCACAGCACGCGCCACGAGGCTGCCTTTGAGGTGGCGTTTTGATGTTGTGTGTGTCGCATATGAGAATGTGATGTATTAACCTCATGCATGCCCTCACAAGCGAGCTGATGAAATTCCATCTTGTGGTTGTTTTTTTCTCTTCTTATTCGTACTTGCCAAGGTAGCTTTGACAAGAAGTCCTCGTCCTCCTCTCTCGGTGATGGATATCCACACAAGTGAGATTGCTAAGCTCCTAAGAAAGGCGCAGCGGGAACAAGTGCTTACACATTCCACCACCTACAACCCTACTCGGAAACGACTATCCTAAACTGATCCAAAAACTGCGCCGCAAAAAAAGGGTTCAAAAATAGGCATATAACCGACATTTTTTCTCTTACGGGTCGTCCGCAAGTTGTCTCCATTGTTATGCCGACGGGGAGAACTGAGGATCAAAAAGGGGGGGACGGCATCAGCCACAACACGGCGCAGCCACCACACTCTTCACAGGGCAGCGATATATAAAGCCTCACGCTTGTCATTCTTTCCAGAACGCCTGACCTGGCGTGTGAGAGAACCTCCTTTTTCCTTTAAGAGACCCCTGGCTGACAAGAACCATCAATTGCGGAACACCTACCACGCGACGGTCACCGGGACGATCCGACGATAGATAAAACTCCATCGCAATTTACCAACTGAGTGTTTCCTACGGAGTAGCCCATTGCTAGCTCAGCCTTGTCGTTGGACAGTGCGTGCTTAACCCACTCGGCTGATCGGCAAGGCTGAAAGATGAGAGAGGCCTTGCCTGCTGCGCCTTGCCCTGTTGCATCTTTCTTTCCCTTTGCACTCCGACCATATGACTTTTCAACTCCCAGAGCGTTGTTCTAAAGCCCTCAAACAACTTGCGATCCGGTAACCCTCCTCGCCAGTGTTTGCGTGCCATAGGGTCTTGGCCTAGAGCGGTGAATAGAGGCCCCATTCCTATCCGGCCCATCCGACAAGGCTGATGAACAAGAGATAGGCGAGATGAACCGTCCCCGCCTTGTTGTTCCCCCCTCCCCTATCCCACCATCTTCCCCAAAAAATCCGCCGTCGGCCGTTGAATTATTTTTCGACGAGGTATCCCGGATTCCCAAGGTACGGATACGACGGCATTTCGTAGATCTCGATCTTCTTGGTTCGTGCTGCTTCCTCGTAGGGCTGGCTGTGGACCCAAAGTCGAGGAGGCCCCTTTGTGGAGGCATAATACTATTATTGGTGATTGAATACATTAGTCGACTATCCCACCCCCCTTTCCCCTCGATTAACAGTTTGTCTACTCGTGGGTTTAGTTAGATTTGCAAACCCCTCTCTGCTTGCAGAGGGGTTTGCGAAATCATCCAAGAACCCACGGGTAACGCCTTGCTCCCATCGGCCGCATTCATCGAGCCCTTTGCTGAATAATATTGGTACCTATGTATCTCCTGAACCACAAGTTTCAGCCGTCACAGTCCCATTGTGAGTGCTTGGGGATTGAGGAAGAAAAGAATGCTGACCTGAACGCCCTTTGACAACAAGAAACCAATTGCCCCTTGAAAGAAGTACTAAGATTGCCGGAGAGCGTACATCGTCTCTCGTTGACTCAAGGCCCGGCATCATTCGCCCTCTCCTCAGTTCTCTTCCCAGGTCTCTCCTCGGCTCTCTCCTCGGCTCTCTTCTCGGCTCTCTTCTCGGCTCTCTCTTTTCAGCTTTCTTCTCAGCTCTCTTTTTCAGATATTTAGCCCATTTTCTTTCGCTTCTCGTTTTTCGCGCAGCTGATAGCTCACTGTCAAGTTTGCCACCCCTAGACATCTTGCTCGAGCATTTTCTGAATCGGTTTCGCGGCCTATCCGTTGCAGCCAAGTTAGCACAAGCATTTCCACCTGACACTCTACTCCCGATCCATCTCTAATTTACCCTTAGACACAACCACCACCCTCCTGACCAAAGAAATAAGACTGAAAAGAAGAAAAACTTGCATCAATGAATTTCTCCATCTTCTGATCCAGGTTCGCAAGATCCTCTCTACGTTTCTTGTTTTCCGTCGTCAGCTTGGTCTTTTGCTTTTGCAACTCGAGCCGTTGCTGCTCGAGGGCTTCGCGCTCGGTGCGCTCGTGGTTGATGCGGGCGACCATCAAAGTGTTCTCATCCGACTCGGCGTGTTCAGGGTGCAGGGCGAGAAACTCTTCGACGGGAATCAGCGGGAGGAGTTGGTAGGTATGTCTGTTTGATGTCCAACATTAGTTATCCGTTTGAATTCGACCAGACCTGAACAGAACCTACTCGAACCCCTCGCAAGCCGCAATTTCCAGCTCCAAATGACGCTCTTCATAATGTAGATTCTGTAGTGACAGGTGAAGAGAATCTACCTCCTGTCTTGCTTCTGCCGTCAAGGCCTTTGTCTCGCGCGCCTTGAAGTGAGCGCGACGATGTTGTCCGCGAAGAACGGCGAGGTTGGTCCAGAGAGGTTTCTTTGCCTTTTGTATAGGGAGCTTGAAGTCTGCTTTGGTGCCGGTGCCGTCGGCGATTGCGGTCTGGGCTTCGGCAACGAGCTTTACTATGCCTTGCGCCTGTTCACGAGCTGCTCTGGAGGTTTCGAGTGCTTGGACTAGCGTAGGATGGGTGACGCCCATGACGTGTGGTTGCGAATCGACCGTCATGATGGATTTCCAGCCGCGTGGGTCGCGATCACAATGAGGCGGGTATTCGTTGAAAGAATGGTTGGAAACCGGTTGGCGGGTGTAGTGCGACCACGTGAGCTGGCAGATGATGAGAGCTGCTGCGACAATGGATGGTTGGCGATGAGATCACCACGGGGCAGCGGAAGCCAAAATTGAAGAGCCGTCGCACAAGCAGTCGGAAAAGTTAGTCAAGCGGCTTGTCGATGCGCGTCGTCGATTGCTGCTCGATGCGGGGTAGATTACAGGTTGTGTCAAAAAGGGCCCAAAGATGTCTGTTCAACTGCCAATGACGTTATTCGTGGAGATAGCGGTGCCTCTCAAGGTCGTCTTTTGTTTCGGTTTGGGAAGCCCAGATGCCCTGCTGGAAGGTTTTGCCTCGGTGAAAGAAGCGTCACAGGTCGCAATCACAGGCTTGCGCAGGGTCTTGGTACCAAAAGTGGGGGAGCGTGGGTACGATGACGGCATTCAATTGGCCCCGGGGGCGCTGAGGGAAGGCGCTGGGCGCTGCAGGTGGCAGTCCTCTAGCGGTCTCTTACAGCGGACTTTGGGCCCGTTTGGGCTTGGTTAACACGGTAAATCTCCACTTGGACCTCCTTTTGCGAGCATGGCGGCCCGCAAGTCCACACATAAACCACTCGGGCCCCTCTTTGCTTTACTTGTTCCTGTTTTGTATGCGTTCTTAAAGCCATCCTATCCTTCTTCCATGTACATGTCCCAGACGATTGCAAGATCGTGGGTTTCTTGATTTCTAGATCTTGTTCGTTCTGGTTCCCTGCATATTTTACCCCTTTCTTGTGCGACACGAGCGCATCCCAATCTCCAACTTTTTCAGGGTCTCGATCGACGCAGGTGGCAAGCCGACCGCTCTTCCCGCACCTCCTATTCCACCCAGAATTTTTCCGGAAGAAGCGCCGGGTCCACGACTCGCCGTCGTAGTCCACAACCGAAGCAACAGCCGACTTGGTTGTGACCGTCCCGCCTCTCTCCAGTTACACACACACACACACACACACACACGGAACCTCGTGCTGCGGTGTCTTAGCCAAGGAATTTAATCTTGAACGCCGCTCACGATGGACGTCTCTCCGGGTCTCGGGTGCCCCTCCCCGTTTACATTCAGCGCTTGCGAAGACGCCCCCGAAGCCGGCCAGTCGTCCGGAGCACAGGCGCAAGAACGGCCGGCCCTCCGACAACGCCGCCCTTCGCATTTCAAGCAAAGGAGAAAGTCTCTGGTCAACCAGTTCATGGAAGGGGAGGAGGGTCTCTTGCTCAAGCTGGATCTGTTCCTCACAAATTTGGAGAAGAAGCTCGAGGATTGGGAGAGCTATGGCGAGCTCAGTCTGGATTCCGGTATCTCGGCCGCCTACTCCACACTGCAGGCGGTTCAGGAAAGATGCTCGCAGGTGTCGGAAGAGATGATGGGGGCTGGAAGGAGGAAACTCCATGTTATGGTGGAAACTCTCGAGTCAGGATACCAAGACGCCATGGCCGCCGCAGAGTCGCTCAACGAAAAGGCAAAGATTGGTATCGAGGTCCTCGACGACCTGCTAGAGGATATGGAGAACCAAGCCGCCAAGTTTCGGGAAAGAGGCCTGGCCAATGCGGCCGAGGTGCTCATGGACGAGGCCCATCGTGTTGTCGATGGTGGTATCGAAAGAGCAATGCGCGCTGCTGAGTCCCTCGAGGACCATGTACAGCGAGCGATTGCCCGGGCCCGGGAACACGGCTTGCTTCACTACGATGACTTGCCAGTCCCATGGAGGATCAACCCCCACATCAAGAAGGGCTATCGGTTTTCCGAAACCAAGCTGGCCTGCGTGCGGTCAGCGTTTGGCTTCTCCAACGAGCTTGTCAACATCTGGTCGCACGCTATCGGCCTCGTCCTTGTTTTGGCTGTGGCCTTTTACTTCTATCCCACCAGCACCAACTTCTCCCTGAGCAGCAAAGCCGACATTTTTGTTGCCGCCGTCTTCTTCTTTGCCGCCTGCCAGTGCCTGGTCTGCAGCACCATCTGGCACACGATGAATTCGGTCGCCGATGTCGATCTCATCTCCATGTTTGCCTGCGTCGACTACACCGGCATCTCGCTCCTGATTGCCTCGTCCATCATGACGACCGAATACACGGCCTTTTACTGCGATCCCGTCAGCCGTTATGCTTACATGATCACCACCGCCCTCCTTGGCGTCGGAGGCGTCATTCTCCCATGGCACCCCAAGTTCAACGGAGCGGACATGGCTTGGGCCAGAGTTGCCTTTTACTGCGGCCTCGGCGCCACTGGCTTCCTGCCCATCCTCCAGATCTCGCTCACCCGCAGCTTTGCTTCCGCCATGGAGTTCTACGGCCCCATTGGCAAATCCATTGGTGTCTACCTCCTTGGAGCCATCGTCTACGCCAGCAAGGTTCCAGAGCGCTGGTGTCCGGGAATGTTTGACTACTGCGGTGGCAGCCACAACCTGTGGCACATCGCCGTGCTGGGAGGCATTCTGTTTCACTACAAGGCCATGCAGGCTTTTTTCTCGCACGCCTTCGCCCTCGCCCAGGACGGTTGTGCTGTATATTAAAACCGGCACTGTATATATTATCAGCTTTCTCTAACTAGACGTTTCCTCAGCGGAGAGAGAAAATTACCACCTACATCAATAGCTTTCACAAATTCAATGTCAACAACCGGTCCCAAGATGCACCTGTTTGCCTACCTGCCATAAAATATCACAACGCCGCGCTATCCCGAAAAAACAAACGTCCCAAAATCTCAGCAAGAAAGCATCAACAACCCAACCACGCCCATTCCCAACCCCAACCCAACCAAGGTCTTTTTCTTCGCTGCCACGGATACTTTGACCTCTCCGACAACAACCTCCCTGTCCTCAAGCAGGCTTACACTTCTCTTCAACGACGGTAGATAACTACTCTCCGACCCGGGCAGCTCAAACCCGGCACTCTGCGCACAGCTTTCGAGATTTTCGCCCTGGGGGGAAATTGTTCAGCACCTTTTCTCTGCGTGGGTGGTGGTTGTCACATACATCCAAACAGCAATACCCAGCCACGGGGGCGCACCAGGTGCCCTTTTCGCAGTAGCCGTTGTCGACAGCGCAGCATGACTGTCCTTGGGCGGGGCTGTAGCAGAAGCGGCTTGTGGCTTCGTCGCCGCAGGTTTCCCAGTCGGGGCCGTAGGTTTTTGAGCAGGACATGAATTTTTGGGGGGGTGTCGTCACTGTTCCCGGGTGGGGGGATAGCGGTTTTTGGTTTCGGGGTTGATCTTCTGCTAGAACAACGCTGGCGCTGCCAAGGGTCAAGATGCAGGGGAGGCGCATACTGACTGTATATAACAGGATTGGTGTTATTGTTGTTGGGTTCCGTTGTTGTCGATTGGGTGGGCTAGAGAAAACCAGGCTGATGGAGGAATTGGCGGGAGTGATATTTTAAGTTTATCCTGTGCTGAAGGGTGATCAGAGCGACACGCTACGGTTTGATACTTTCCGAGACACTGGCTTAGCTTTTGCTGTCGAAACAAGGGATAGCGGATAGGGGGGGGGGGGAGGGCGACGATGCCAGGGAGGTGGGTGTGGGTTTTTCTTGGCGACCAGCCAAGATAAATTCCAGAGGTCTGCTGGACTTGTTGGTGTTGGTTGTTGTGTGGTGTTTGAGGAACTATCCGACTATTTTTCTTTTTGCTCGGCCGCGGTGGTGGTGTCCGACGATATTGGATTTAAGCTTTTTTTTGGGTGGTTCCATCTGGGGTAAGTTGGTTAGTGGGAAAGGTTATTTTTATTTATTTGTGGTATTGCATATTTGCATTTGGGACTTGGGCGTTAAAAAGGCAATTTTTGGTTTTTAAGACAGCAGATGATGGGTAATGGGGAGAGCTCTTTGGGGGGAAGGAAGGATGGAAGGAAGGAAGGGGGTGATGAGGATGAGGACAGGCTAGGTATCAAAAAGGGGCGGAAGGCGGACATGACGTGGTGAAGTATACTGCATGAAGTGAGGGGGAGAAGAAAGTACGTACGTATATACATGAGTACATAACATGGCATGGCATGTGCATATATAGATCAGAGCTTTTGTACACAAAAAAGCGTGTTGGTCTGGGAAAAAGAAGGTAGTAGCTAGGTAGTTAATAGATAAAGTACATAAACACCACGATATCAGAGTTGTTATGTGTTTATGATATCAGAGTTTTGTGGAACGTTTTGAGTTTTGTTGTGTGTGCTCGTAGAACCCATCTAAAGTCATCGTGATCACTCCAGTGCGTGCCACACAAAACAAAGAAGATAACATCTGTTGTGGTTGTGGTTGTGGTTGTGGTGTGGTTGTGGTTGTGGTTGTGGTGTGGTTGTGGTTGTGGTTGTGGTGTGGTTGTGGTTGTGGTCGTGTGTACAGACAACCTCGTGGACAACTTCTAAACCCTGTTTAGATCGTGTGCCACGAGGTGTGCAAGGCAAGCTGTCGTGGCAGCCATGTCCGGGGACGTCGGCAAGCAAATGCAAGAGAGGCGATGGTAACAGAGAGAGAAGGGTACAGACTGATTACAACACATGTAGTGCTCGTGGCTGTGTTGCATAAACAGCGGATCTTGGTTCACGACAGCAGATACACACACGTTGAGCTTTGGCACCAAGCTTCAAGTAAAATGCGTAGATAATAATACAGCATATACTGACTGCTGTTCCTTCTTCGTACTCTAGCAATGTATATAATAACAACACAAAGGCAGTCCTTGCTGGCCATCCCTCCACCCCCTCCCCCCCTCCCCCCCAAACCTTCTATGAATATACGGCCAATGTTCCTATAAAAACCAAAGTTCTGCCAATCGAAACATTCATCTCCCCTCTCGATCTCTATATATTCCTCCAACATCCCTTTTCGTGTCCCCAAAAATAGGTTTTGTTTTGTCTGTCCAAAAAGATCTGCTCGTACATACCGCTTCTAATGTATACTTCTCACATGTTATTCCAACCTTGCCGGTTACTCGCCTTATCTCCACCAATTGTCTGTAGTGGGTAGCGTGGTGTGGGTAGCGTGGTGTGTGCAGTACACAATGTTGTGGTCCGTCATGCCTCGCAGCGCCGTTGCCGAGGGCACCAAGGTATGGTGAATTAGTACAAGGCCGCCCATGTAGCCGCATATCCCTTCCCTTCCGGGCGAGCTTTGTAGGTGTGGCTTATAGACACTCGGCTTATAACATCGGGGCGTCGTTGGTCGGCGCAATCCTTGTCAGCCATTGTGTTGTCGGTTTTCTTCCACATAGTCGCGTCATTCTCGTCCTCCCCTCTTGCTTCCCATCGGCCAGCGACTTGAACAGAGTCCCCATGAATATTCATGCGGCTAAATTGTTGCATGACACTCAAGCCGTCGACTTGGGAAGGCCCGTCTTGGCATCGTTGTGAAAGGCGGTCCAGCGCTCACTCAGCATGGCTGAGGACTTCGAGCTATGGTCTGACAGCATACTTGTTGACGAGCTTCTGGCGACCTGTGCCTGAATCTGTCTCCAATGCAACGTGTGCTGAAAGCGGTGATTTTGAAACCATCGGCCTGTTCAGAACCAATGACTCAACAACCCTCCTCGACTCAAATTATCGGGCATGGGCAATGATATCGGAGTAGACATCATCGGGAATCATCTTGATGATGGCGAGGGTTGTACGTTTGATCTGGTCAGCTTGAAGAGCTGGGAAGGACCTCAAAAGCTTATTTGGGCTGGTTGGTTCGGTTAGCGTTGAATGCATGCGGTAAACACGGTGGCAAAAGTCTCATACCTTGGAGATTCCATAATTTTGGTTCGGATCATTACCAACTGTGCAACGATACAAAGGATGTTGAGGTGAGGCCCATATGCAAAAAGAAAGTCCCAGAGACGAAGGACTTCGGGGAGCGGGGGGGTGCAGGCGCAGAGCGTCAAAACAGAGGGAAAGGCGTATATTTCAGCCGTCAGGTTTTTCGAGAGCAAATACAGGCTGAGCTTGGGGTCTACAATGGAGAGCACTTTGTCGACCAATGCCAGCCCTTTGTGCACACCATCCATAGCACCACGAATGTAGCCGGGCAGCTCCTTGGTCAGAAGCTGGTGGAAAGCAATGAAAGCCTCGGCCTCACTGCGAGCGGCGTACAAGAAGGGTGCTGCCAGAACATTCATTCCCTGGACGTAAGTTCCTGGATCAAGAGGCATGCTTGCCTCAGAACCCTCCGTTGTAAGCGTCAGAGCACGGGCTCGATGTTTCGACATGGGCGAGGTTGGGTTGGAATCATAGCCGCTCCCATAGCCCGTTCCCGGCCGACTGTTGGGTTGGTCAAGAGACTGGCGGGAACTGCTGCATATGCTGGGCTCCCGAGTGCGTTCTGCGCGGGCATCATGGAGTTTCCAGGCAATGGCGTTGAGTAGGCGGATCAGGCTCGCCTCGCTCACACGCCGTCGGAAAAGAGGATCAGTTGTGAGAGTGCGGAAGGTATCATTACGAATTTTTGAGTATGCGGGTGACGCGCCACGATGGATAAGTGCAAGGTATGAATCGGTCTCGAGAACAGGCGCATTGAGCAAAATCAGCCATACGTAGATGCGTAGAGAGGACTATGGTTCAAGGTTAGTGTACTGGTATTATGCTATGGTCAGCATGTAGATGGCTTACCATGCCGTCGCTGTCTGCCTTGATGCCCTGATCAAGAATCTTCAGCCGGCTGCTCTCCAAAGCACCCTCGATATCTCCGTTTGGAGGCCCTTCTCGCAAGAGTTTGTCGAGAGACATGGCATCGGCGGCGGGGGACCGCTTATTCAAAGCGGAACGTCGCGTGGCTGTCATGGCTGCTCCGAATGTGTGGGGGGAAGGAACTGTAATGGGTGCGTCGCTGTTGGCGCGTCCTCGTTGTGGCGACCGGTTGGTGGTGTTTACATGTCTGCGAGGAGGGATAGGGGGGGGGTTCAGGATTCGAGCATGCTGCTGCTGGGTGGGAGGATGGTGTTGAATATGCTGCTGCTGCTGCTGCTGCTGCTGTTGCAGCCTCTGCTGGGTAATCAGAGAACCCTGGCCGGCGACTTTTGCACCCAAGCTATGAGCCGATTGCAATCTCCTCAAGGTCCTGTGTGAACCGGGGGATGGAGGCGAGTGGAGCTGCACTGGTGCTTGGAGACTCGCCATCGGCGACAGGGTCCGGGTTTCTTTGGTAGAACTCGGCAACCCCTCCGTGGGGTTTGCCTTCAGGTCGCGAAGAGTCATTGCAATGTGAATTGAAGGCTTACAGGTGGTTAACGTTGTTGAAGAACCACAAGGCGCAGAGCTGGTAACGCCGACAACAACAAAAACTGGACCGCAACTTGATCGGGCGCCGTTGTGGTTGGTTTCTGGGACACCTGCATCAAATCAAGACTGGAGGGCGGGGAACATTCCTGGAAGTCGGAGGTTGGTCTGCACAGAAGCCCGTGCTTCCAAACGCCCCTTGCTTCGGCGTGTTCATTTCGCGTCCCACGTCACGTGTACCGATTTAGACGCGTTCTATGTAAGCTACATACATTATCCATTGTCCAGCTTGATTCAATCATTCACCTTTCTGTATATTGACTTCTCGTTGAAGTTCTCATCAGGCTACTCAACAAGGCTTTGATGATGGATGGCTTTCTGGATCTGCTCATGGATGAATGATCGATTGCTCACGAGTGACCGTCTAGCAGGCCACCCTTGACCTCTTGGCAGAACGGTTTCCCATCCTTGACGCGTGGCTGGGACGACGAACTTCCTCGGTTCCCCAACCTCGGGTTGCATTCTCCACTTACCGGCCTCGAAGCCCTGGTCCCCGGTGCAGTTTCCACCAGGTTGCAAAAACCTGTGACAACCAGCCTCTGTTTCGAATACCAAGATATCGAGATCCTCTTGTCTGTCCAATTAGCACCTGAAAATAGGAATAAAATTTTCTCGTCTTCTTGACGGAAAAGCTCTTCACAACTCAGTTTTACGCAATGGTTCCGCGAAGATCGACCGAAGGTACCGACGATATCCAAATAGTTAGCGTAATTGGACTTAATTTGCCCAGACAACCATTTTCGTGAACCGGACCTTCTCCCCGGCAACGGCGGCCCTAGAACAACGGAAACCTTTGCAGAGCTGCTTCTTTCGGGTCTGCAATTTCGGCAACCACTTTCCCATCGAGGAGGTCGCCATGCACGTGGACCGAAACCCCCTGTCCCTTCCTTCCAGAAGAACCAACTTTTGACGATCAAGCTGTTTTCTCTGGCAACTTCCTGGTCACGGTTTCAGTTTCCCTAAATGGATCGCCGTCGAGACGGGATTGGTCACTGAGTCGGGCCCCGCCCTGCCGATCTGAGAGTCGAGGCCGAAGACAATTCACGGAGGATGCCGGCCTGACCAAAAGTTACGGCCGTCTCGCCAGGGGAGCATCCCCCCAGCTGACGCCGGCCCCGGAGTGGATGTTCGGCTGCGGCCCGGAGCGGCTGACGGTTGCCAAGATGATCACCCGGAGCCACTTTCTACCACTTAGATGGTAATGCTCCGTGCCCTCGTTCAAGATGGAGACAGCTGTAAGAGGTTTAGATACCAAGCTGGCAGTATATACAGTATCTGATGCACTCCGCCGCATCACTCAAACCTTTGTTCATCTCACCCTGCAAATATGAATCCCCTAGGGCAAAACCACAGCTCATGCCCATTATCCACTGTGGTATGGCACTAGCCTGATAACAGCATGTTGCTCTCAGGTGGAAAAGGAAACAATCACAACTGTGGGCGATTAGATAAGACAGCTGATGTCTTGTCCCAGAGCAACGTTGCCAAGACGAGGGCCAAAATCTGCAGGTCATCATGCACGATTGCCTGCCATCAACAGCCAGAACCAAATCCAGACCATACAGCTTCACATCATCACTGCCAAGCCATGGAGGATATCGGAGTTGAAGCTCCCAAAACGCCAGAAGGCTCCCATCGACATTGCAAGTATATCAGAGGAAGAACAACATCCTCTACTCTCGTCTCTGGTGATGCTGGATGACTCAGCAGCCCGCCGCGGGGTTTGGGTGGTTTGGACTGGCCCTTGGCAAAGCACCTCAACTTCGGTGCTCATTGCATCATCAAGACAACCCCCATACATATCTTCCACGAGACACGGTGACTCTCTCGAGGTCAGCCACACATCCAGCTTGATAGGCTGGGGGACGTGGGGTTTACCCACTGGATTTATGCTGGAAACATGGCATTTGCAACCGCTAACGCCTACATTGCGGTGTTTACTGAGACAGCGACGATGGGTGTCTCGTGTTCTCGGCCGGCTGACATTGGTGCTCAAGTGAGCCCTCACTGCTCTCGAATATCTTACTCACATGGGTCTTCAGCCTTGAGCCGGTGTCACATTCAGTGATGACTGTGCTTTTGGTGTCGAATCGATTGGCCTAGCGGTCTCCTGTAATGGAAGCTTGACAATGAGGTTTGAAACTGCAACTGAGGATATGTCCTGGCTGGGTTAGAAAGGTTTGAATCTGTTGATCGTCACCATTCAACCCGGCCGGCAAAGACCTTGGCTATCACTTCTTGCCTTTCCCAATCCCACCAACTCGCGGACTCAGACTTTGGACCCAGCGGTGCCAGTGGTAATTTGTTAGCTGTGATAGGCAAGGGCATCGATTGCGCCATCCACTTGATGCCCACCTGCCCACCGCACCCGACCCCCCGCCGCCTCTTCACTGCCTGTCGGGCCCGACGTCAACAGTCCAACATCTCCCTGCCTCTCTAGGATATGTATCGAGCCTTCCTTGTTGCTTTTCCAGGTTGTTGGGACCTGGAGCTGGTCTCCTGATGTCTCATTCTTTCCTCCCGTCGCCTTTGCTAGGAAAGTAGAACCCGGCACTCGAGCGGACCTGTTACCTAATGATAAACACTCACGCCGCCCATCTACACGATTTGGGGCACACTCCATCTTGCAGCATCTCCTAATCAGCATCTCCGCCAAACCTCGCATCACCTATAATCCTTACACCTACGGTATGGTATGCATATCCTGGCCCATCCCGCAGCTTAGACGACGACTTCTCGGCAATCCGGTGCATATTCAGGTCGATACGCCCTCGAATTGCATCATTTACAGCATCTAAAAAGATTGAAAAGATCCGAGGCGGTGTATCTGTTTCAAACATCTGATCTCTTCCTTACCAGCCCATGGTGTGACAGCATTTCAAGAACTCAACATCGACTCTTCTCAGTGTGGTCATATCCTCAGAAACTAGCCATGACATCTGGAGTTGGCCACAAGGTGGCCCGGCTGCTGGGAATCCAGCTACAACCGAAAGACCCATATCACCATGTCAATGACCCAAGAGAAACAGCCCATTTCAACACAGACCAGACATTTGTGGAGGAGTCACCGAGGGTGGATGACTTTTTTTTGAAATTAGTACCCTCTGGCCCGCAAGTATGGCGATATCTGGTGTCTCTGTTTCCGTTTCTCTCCTGGATCGGATACTACAACCTTCAATGGCTCGCTGGAGATCTGGTTGCTGGTAAGGAACTCAATGCCGGCTTATTGAACCCTGTTACTAACCAGAGAACAGGCATCACCATCGGCGCTGTTGTCGTACCTCAAGGTATGGCTTATGCCAGACTGGCCAACCTGGATGTTCAGTTTGGTCTGTATTCGAGCTTTATGGGTGTTCTTGTTTACTGGTTCTTCGCAACCTCCAAGGACATCACCATCGGTGTAAGTGCATCCAAAGCTCGTCTTGGTGCCAGATTACTGACACTCTGACAGCCTGTTGCTGTCATGTCTCAACTTACCGGCGCTGTCGTGACTGATATGGCTGCTGTCCTTCCTGACGTTCCAGGCCATGTCATTGCATCTGCTCTTGCACTCTTGGCCGGTGCCGTTGTGGTGTCCATCGGGCTCATCCGCTGCGGATGGATTGTCGATATCATCTCGCTTACCTCTCTCTCGGCATTCATGACCGGCTCAGCCATCTGCATTGCTGTCGGGCAAGTTCCATCGCTGATGGGCCTCAGCGGCTTTTCAACTCGCGATCCGACGTATCTTGTGTTCGTCAACATACTCAAACACCTGAACACAGCGAGTATGGATGCCGCCATGGGGTTGTCAGCACTTGCTATGCTTTACCTTATCAGGGGAGTCTGCATGTGGATTGGGACACACTACCCGAAACATCAGAAGCTCGCCTTCTTCATTTCGACGTTGAGGGTGGTGTTCGTCATTGTTCTCTACACTCTGATCAGCTACCTGGTCAACAGGAGCTTGCCGAGGGGTACAGCCAGATTCAAAATTTTGTTTGACGTTCCTAGAGGTATGTACCAGCCAAAAGTCTGGAATAGATTGGTGACTGATGTATTGCCAGGGTTTCAAAACGCGGCTGTCCCGGTCATCAATACCTCTATTGTCAGCAACCTGATGGGATACTTGCCCGCTACTGTAGTGGTGCTGCTCATCGAACACATTGCTATCTCGAAGTCGTTCGGTCGGGTCAACAACTACAGAATCAACCCTTCTCAAGAAATGGTAGCCATTGGCATCACCAACATGATGGGGCCCTTCCTCGGCGGGTACGCTGCAACGGGCTCTTTCAGTCGCACTGCCATTAAGTCGAAGGCCGGCGTGAGGACTCCGTTTGCCGGCGTCATCACAGCCTTTGTGGTTCTCCTCGCCATCTACGCCTTGCCGGCCGTGTTTTATTACATTCCCAACGCGTCACTCTCTGCGGTGATTATCCATGCCGTCGGCGACCTCATCACCCCTCCCAATACCGTCTATCAGTTCTGGCTCGTATCACCATTTGAGGTCTTGATCTTTTTTGTCGGTGTGTTTGTCACCATCTTTTCGAGCATTGAGAATGGCATCTACACCACGGTGCTGCTCTCGGCAGCGATGCTTCTCTTTCGGATTTTGAGATCGAACGGCCGGTTCTTGGGGCGTGTCAAGGTTCAATCCATGCTTGGAAATCGCGTTATTGGCAACGACAGGCAGCAGCCGGTACCCGGGTATGGCACGTTTACCGGCTCACAGGAGGCGCCGACACGCAACATCTTCTTGCCTATCACGCACGCGGATGGGTCCAACCCCGAGATTGAGCTGGACAATCCGTATCCTGGCATCTTCATCTACCGGTTCGCCGAGGGGTTCAGCTACCCGAACGCGGGGAACAGCCTGGAGCACTTGGTGGAACACATTTTTGCGCACACTCGGCGGACGAATCTGGCGCATTTCGACCGGCCTGGCGATCGGCCTTGGAACGAGCCCGGCCCGTCAAGGAAGGACATGAAGGCGGCGGCTGCGGCCGGGGTGGACGCGGGGATCATGGTGGTGGACGTGAGCTTGCCGACGCTCAAGGCGGTGATTCTGGATTTCAGCTCGGTGAACCACGTCGACATTACTTCGGTGCAGCAGCTGATTGACGTGAGGAATCAGCTGGACCGGTATGCCAGCCCGGATATTGTCGACTGGCACATTGCCTGCATCAACAACCGGTGGGCGAAGAGGGCGCTGGCGGCGGCGGGGTTTGGGTACCCGACTGTTGTGCCGGACGGGCCGCACAGGAGGTGGAGGAGCATCTTTTCTGTGGCGGAGATTGGGGGGTCGCACAGCGCGGCTGCGGCGGCCGAGGTGGAGGTGAACGAGAAGGAGATTGCGAGGAGCAGGAGGCAGACTGCTGCTGATGTGGAGGTTGGGAATAAGCAGCAGCAGCAGCAGCAGCATCATCACCGTGGGCCAAATGATCCTAAGAAGGTTGGGACGGGCGGGAGTGAGAGTGTTCCGAGAAAATCGACGGTTACGTTTGAGGATGCGGTTCTTTCTTTGCACCAGAAGAGGATGTCGCTGGGGCCGGAGCTGCACAGTGGGCGGACGGTGGTGGCGCCGGTGCATGGGATCAATCGGCCGCTGTTTCATGTTGACCTGACGAGCGCGCTGCAGAGCGCGGTTGCCAATGTTGAGGGGAGGTATGAGGGGTTGGAGGAGCATCATTAGGCGTTGTTATTTTTCCATAGATTATACCCGCAGGAAGTAGTGATTAGTGTGAGATATTGGTTTCGTTTTGAGGTTGTCCGTCATATTTTGATGTTTTGCTGTGAATGGTGTTTTGTGAGGTTATTTTTTTTTTGACTGTGACTTTGATAAAGGTGGGCAGAAAGACAGATGGGATCACAACAGAAATGGGGAGATTTTTAAGGAGGGGGGGTATAGGGATTTTATTTATATATTGGTCGTCTATAGGTGTGTTTTGGAAGGACTGCTTTTTATGGAGCATGGCTAACAGTCCATCACGGCGCTAAACGCCGGTTTTTTTTTTTTTTTTTTCGTGATACCGACTCCGTGGGGTGACCGGTGGTGGTGAGCTCGTGGTCATCAAATGGCTCCCATGGCCTGTCGAGGTTTGGGGTGTGAGTGTTGGGGTTGGGGTAGTGTTGGGACCAGTGGTTGCAGGTTGATGGGTTGATGTTGTATCCTGAGGGGAGTAGGGGGCTGGTTGAGATTGAACGGGTGGTGGGGTGTTGAAGTAAGTGGTTGGGTGATGAGGTTCTTCGCTTGTATTGGGGAACAGCCAGGGGAAAGGGGGGGGGGGTATGAAGTTGCGGGGTGTTGGTGGAGGAGGAGGGGGGTTTGGAGACGGTGGCGGTGGGATTCAAGGCGGCGGAGGCGCTCGTGGAGGTTGGCGGTGGTGGAGGTGTTTGTTGGGAGGGAGGAGGGGGTAAAGGAAGGTGTTGTTGTTGTTGTTGTTGTTGTTGTTGTTGTTGTTGTTGTTGTTGTTGTTGTTGTTGTTGGTGGTGGTGGTGGTGGTGGTGGTGTGATGTGGTGGTTGTCAGCTTGTCGACTGTGTTTTTCGGGAGGACTACCATAGCCACCGTCCGAGGGCGGGATGGACACACAAGACTGCATTGTTGACATCGAGATGGAAAGTCTTCGACGGGGAGCAAGCGACGGACAGCTGTCGCTCTCTCGTTTTGCTCGGCTTCTCCTCCAACAGCTGTATTGTCCTTTCTAGGGAAGGTATCCTCTTCTTCTTCTCTAGACGCCAAAACCAGACGGATTCTATACCGGGCGATCACCGGGATTCTCACAGGTGCGTGGACAGGGCGTCTTTGGTTCAATTATCTTGACTAAGTCATGTCTCGGGTTGTTTGCTTAAAGACTCTGGCGGTTTTTTTGAGTTGGAACTAGTGTTCCAGAAAATGTAAATGTCATGGAGAATGGGAAGAAACACTTCGAGACTGGAGACAGAGGTAGGAAGCAATGTAGTCACCAGAATGCTTGTAAAACTGATGAGCATATAATTCTGAAAGCAAAAACAAGACATTGTGCAGGCTTGGTGGACTCGATCACAGGTATGTTTGAGGCAAACATCAACGCAGATGGCCCCGTTTGTCAAGGGATAGATATGATACGCCAACCAATTAACATAGCCTTTTAAAAGCTGCTCTCGCGGTTGTTTGCTTTTAGTCTTGTGTAGGATGCAGTTGTTGGAGCTTATTGGTTTAATATGAAATAAATGCCCCTGTTGAACTTGGTATCTCAGGAAATAGTGTAGAACGTTTTTCAGTTTGACTCTGGGGAATGAGAAGCCACACCCATTGGTCCTCTTTCAGCTGCCGCATCTGTTCCCATTGAGGACGAAGCAAAGTCTAGGTTGATGACCGTCGAGCTTGTTTCCGCTGCCACGGAAAACCGCGGAATATACTACAGCAGCTCCAATTTGCCTCTCATTCCACAGATATAGAGTTGAACTAGGCTCTCGACCTGTCCATGGTGTGGCTACTCGTGAGGCTCTGTCTGAGGGTGGATCACGCTTGAATGTGGAGTCCAAGAACCGTTGTCTAGGCTCAACGCAGCTTGGATGATGGTTGTCTGTTGGGCCCATCACTCCATCTCACTATATGAGGATGCGCATACACTATACAATATCGCCGTCGTGGGCCGCATTCTACGGATTGGAAATCAATGTTAATCAAGAGAGAAACCCTAGGATGATCTCCCTCACCCCGTTCCGCATCCTTAACTCTCAGTTTTTGCCATCCGTGGGACTCACCCGACTTCGGAGCTGCTTCATAGCCTCGGTGTTGCGGTGACATCAGCACATATATCCGCGCGCATATACAGTTGATATTTGCGGCTCTTGCAGCCGGTAATCTCCCGCAGACTGGAAAAGACGGACACTAAAACACTAGGTGACCGGTCTTTACCTTGGCTTGCATTGAGGCTTCCTTCCGGTGACATGTCATCCCATCTGCTGGGCGGAATGGGACGGTTCTGTTGGATCGGTGTGTCTTTCTGGGATCGTGGTATGGAGTGTCGTCTCGTCTTTGATGCGGTCAAACATGTGGTTTTTGGCTCCGCTATTGTAGTGGAGATCGGAAAAAGTCGTATCTGATGGGGGGCGGTTTCTGGTTTCTCTCTATTTGTAAGGCTGGCGAAACTGGTGGGGAGAGGAAAGGCTAGACTGATGAAGGCGCTTTTGAGAAAGATGAACTCATCTCAAACAATGAGAAATTTCTCGTTGGAGGCCTGGCCTGCATGAAGGACTCGTTAATTAATGAAATCAATACGGGCATTCGCTTCCCTCTGCTGCTGTTGGCGATTGGGGTGTGTATCTGGGTGCTTTCGAGGTGATGTTGTCTTTGACTGTTTCCCTTGTGAAATCCCGCGCTCTCTGATTGGATCCCGAATTCAAGATAAGAAGCCTATCTCTTGGCGGGCTCGGCACCCGCTTTCTCAGCTTCTTGGGACGCCACTGCTGACAGGGGGGTTTGGTCCAGGGTGGAGAGCAACCCGCAGGTCGCATGTTTCCTTTTGGGCAGGGGTTCCGACGACTCGAGCACACTGGTGACGCTTCCAATTTCGCGATTCCGGGGTGCAGAGCAACATCAGGAAAAGAAGAACGAGCAGTCCAATGGTTCGTCCGTCTCCGTCCACCCCGAAAGCGGGACTTTTGAGACCACGTCCGTCCACCACCGCCATCTTCACCATCATCACAGGCCCTCAAGCTTTTGGTGTCGAGCCACTTCATTGAGCAAAACCACATGATGTTTGTGTTGGCACGCTGGTAGATAGATTAGATGTTCGGTCTGGGCGTTGGCGCTGAGGTCTGGAATCGTACGGTCATGCAGCGGCGAGAGGTCCGCGAGGCTGGACATGTCCGTCGGCGTCCTGGGGCTAACGTTCATCAGCAGTGGTGTCGTCGACATGATGTTGTGGCTGTTGACCGGGGAAGTGCTCGCCGTGCTCGCCAAGTCTGTCTGCCCAGCACTCGTTACCCCCGAGCTTTATATAACAAAAAGGCTCATTGCTGATTACTCCCTACCCGTGATGCAGTTGTCAGTTAGCCAGTGTTGGTATTCAGAGGGTTCAACTCCACACGTTTCGCTATGCAGTTGAAAAGGTGCGTGGAAGATCGGCGGAAGAAAGCGGGGCCCTGAGATAAGAAAGATCGCCGCCTGTGATTCGGCAGAGCCCAACCGATTGCCGGACAACGGGTCGCTGTGACTGGCTCTTTTTCAACGTCTTGAACCCAAAAAACACAAACCATTTGGTAACAGATTCCAGGGCCCACGTCGGCCCAAAAGTCTCCGTTCCCAGCCTCATTGAAATCCCATGTTCTCCAATATCAGATCCGCACGCTAGCATTGGAGACAATTCAACGGCTGCGATGACTACACCAAAGACATCGGGGATCATCAACAAAGTATGCTTCAGTCGCACAGACAAACGGCCAATCCGGAAAGCTCGGTGAGCACAGGAGAGCCTCGCAATCCCTAATTACCTTGGCCTCTGGGCCCCGTCATGCAACTCGGTGCGGGATTGCTGCAGTGCACTCCTCCTGGAGCGAAGACGCTGCAGCTGAAGCTTTTGCCAAGTTCGAGTCAAGACGAATCAAGACAGACAGAAACCGAAAAGGGCGCAATCCAAGACCGCAGCTCTTGGGGATCAGGAACACAATCCGACCTGGAAAAGGGGGGGGGGAGGCTCCAGGATGGGGGTTTCTTATACAACGACTGGAGCTTCGCTTTTGTTGCACAAGCTATTCTCGGTGTTCAAGGTCTCACCCAGAACAAGTTTGTGTCTCCGTTGACGACATGCTTCGTTTCCGTAGGGCGGAGTCAGCTGTAGGGAAGAGTGAAGAGTGTATGACAAGACCCCATTGATGGGAACCCGAGATCATCACGAAACCGCTGCCTCGGTATCGGTGTGTCTCTAACCTGAGGTGTGGTGGTCCGATGACAAGAAAAAGAAGGGATGCATGTTCTGTAATCTCGAGACTGCTCCTTCGAAAAGATTAATGAATGAAACTACAAAAAAAAATTGCGCACCCATTTCCGATTACCGCCCTAGTGAACCAATCCTACCGTTCCTACGGGTAGACAAGCGTGATGGAGGGAGGGGAGGGGTTTCTTTCCACCCACACCCGTCAGCAGATGGTCGTGTGCAGGTGCGGCGAACCCCCACTTAGCAGACATGATGCACCACCACACCCCAGGAACCAAGAGCTCTGGAGCTGAGGCTGTGTGCAATTGCTGATGTCCATCATTTTACACATTGCACATTTCACCAGCTGACCAGAGCTCAGGCCATATCCAGGTTGCATATGGCCTATTCTGTTTGGCTGATGCAGTCCCAAGAGAGGCCCTGATAATGACCACGAGGGATTATCTGAATAAGCAATGGTTTGACTTGACCTGACCTGCCAGCTCAGTGCTGCTGAAGCTCGAGAGGGAGGAAGATTGGGGGTACGAAACAGAACAGGCCATCCATGGAGTGTACGCATGAGGTCTTTACTTAGGTGTAGAAGAAAACAGACTGGAGTCTACGCAGTAGAAACTATTCAAGAACCTTTTCAGACAGCGGTATCGACGTCGACCACAAGTCAGGGCAGTCAGTCGAACAGCAGCTGTGATGGATCCATTCTGGAGGTACGGTGGTACCTCTCAGCTTGTACCTGGCTCGTGCGCAGAGTGGGAGCAGAGCGGGGGTCGTCCCACACCTGGGCGCCACCGTACCCCGGTACCGCAGGACTGCCTAGCTGCTTGCGGAAGCCCTGTGCGTGTCCCCGGGATGACCCCAGACGACTGGGGCTGGGCCTATCGTCGAAGATGGCCGTCGCCGAGCATGGTGGTGAGCAGGCGGAACAGAGGACAGCTCCCCATCACCAGGCAAGATATTTTCCCGCGTCTGGAACCCACTTAATCTGGGAGGGAACTGAAACTGATTCGGGAAACACTGCAGAAAGATGGACTGCGCTAGGCATATCCGGCCTCACCCACCAGGGGCAGTCTGAGTGGAAAGCGCCTGCCGCTGCCGGCCCCGGGCCCTGGCGCTGAACTGGCGTCGTGCGTCAGAGGTTTCTCGCTGCTCCCCACTCTCCTAGATAGGCGTTGCGGGTGGGATGGGGGACGGTCGATGGATCCGATGCCGTACGTAGTAGGGTGGTTTATATACTCAGGCTTTGTCCCACCCTCGTCCATTGTTTCTCGTTCCTTCCCCCGTCTCAGACCAGACTTGTGTCGAAAATTATACACCTTCCGACAGCCTTTCCCCAACGGCTGCTCTCGGCCTCCTCCTCCTTCTCCTCCTACTACTACTCCTCCTTCTTCTGTCTTTCTAGGTATCCATTCTTTAGATTGCCTATCCATTACGACGACACGAAACGACCCTCACGCCCGTCCACTGCCCTGATTACCTACCCTATCCATCCGGGCGCCCGCCCTGCTCCGGCTCTAGCAAGCATTCTGTTCACGCACGTCCGCAAAGGACTCGACACCGCGCCATGTCCGACTCAACTTCCGAGGCGGCTCCGGCCTCGACGCCGCTCCATTCCGGTACGTAGAACCACAACCATCCAATGATCTCACTATCCATTCAATCGGGCCCTGATTGCGCCTCTCAATGACATTCGACAAGCTAACCAGGGGGTGCCAACAGCGAGGGATAACCTCAACGAACCCTTCAATGCCGGTGACCAAGCTTATATCCTCGTGTCGTCTGGCATGGTCCTGCTGATGATTCCCGGCATCGCCTTCCTCTACTCCGGCCTCGCTCGCAGAAAGTCGGCCTTGTCGCAAATATGGGTCGTCATGATGTCTTTCAGTGTCATTGTCTTCCAATGGTATTTCTGGGGTTATTCACTGGCCCTCAGCCCGACCGCCACCAACGGCTTCATTGGCAACCTCGACAGATTTGGCCTCCGCAACGCTTTGGGTGATGAGTCTCCGGGCTCCCCCTTCATTCCCGAGCTGCTGTACTCGTTTTACCAGGCAAGTACTTGGCTGATTTCGACTTGCGCACATGGCTTGATGCTAACAGTTGGAAGATGCAATTCGCTGCTGTTACTGCTGCCCTCGTGATCGGTGCTACTGCTGAGCGTGGTCGCGTCATTCCCGGCATGGTCTTTACTTTCTTCTGGGCTACTCTCGTCTACTGCCCTCTTGCGTACTGGGCCTGGGGCGCCGAAGGCTGGGCTTTCAAGTGGGGTGTTTTCGACTACGCTGGTGGCGGTCCCGTCGAGATTGGTTCGGGTGTTTCCGCTTTGGCCTACTCTTGGGTGCTCGGGCGCCGCAACGAGAAGATGATGCTCAACTTCCGTCCCCACAACATCTCGCTCATTACTCTCGGCACTATCCTTCTCTGGTTCGGATGGCTCGGTTTCAACGGCGGCTCTGCTTTCGGCGCCAACCTCCGCGCTGCCATGGCCTGCTGGAACACCTGCTTGACTGCCATGTTCGCCGCCATGACTTGGTGCCTTCTCGATTTCCGCCTTGCCAAGAAGTGGTCGCTCGTCGGCTGGTGCTCCGGCACCATCTCTGGCCTCGTCGCCGCCACTCCCGCTTCCGGTGTCATCACTCCCTGGGCCAGTGTTTTGCTTGGTGTCGTTACTGGCGTTGCCTGCAACTTTGGCACCAAGATCAAGTTCTACCTCCGCATTGATGATGCTCTCGATGTGTTCGCCGAACACGCCATCGGTGGTATCGTCGGTCTTATTTTCAACGCCTTCTTCGCCGCCGACTACATCATCGGCCTGGATGGCATCAACTTGGGCGTTCAGGGTGGCTTCCTCAACGGCAACTGGGCTCAGCTCTACAAGCAGATTGTCTACATCCTTGCCGGCTGCGGCTATACCTTTGTCGTCTCGGCTCTCATCGCCAAGGCCATCGACCTCGTTCCCGGCCTTCACCTCCGTGCTTCCACCGAGGCTGAGCTTCTCGGCATGGATGACGACCAGCACGGAGAGTTCGCCTACGACTACGTCGAGGTCCGCCGTGACTACCTTGCCTGGACTCCTGCGGAGAAGGAGCAGAGAGCTGATGGCGATGTTGTCGTCCCTCAGCACGGCATCACCGGGCATCAAGAGATGGCCACTCGCTCCAGCGCCCCTCCCACACCCCCCTCGGAGCCCGCTACTGCTGTCGGGAAGGAGGAGAAGGTGTCCGGGTCTGCGACTGATTAGGGTGTCACGACCAGTCATTTGAACATTGTTTGAAAGCGTTGTTTCCTTTTTTTTCTTTTTTTCTATTGATATCTGGATAGGGGGGGGGGGGGGGTGTGCAGGAACGGAAGGGAGGCAATGTGGAAAAGGCAGGCAGGCCTAGAAGCGGCAACCCCTGGGAAGCATAACGGCTTTGCTTCCAAAGAAGTATATTTTTTCTGCCGTGTCGTTTTGGATCTTTTTTTTTTCATTTACATTGTCCCTTGTTTTGACCCTTTTGAGGAAAAGGTTTGCGGGCATGACGTTGTTGTAAAAATACCCCTGAAAGCTAGCTTAGCGATATTTATGTGTGAGATGGATGATGGATATGGTGTTTAATCTAAAGATATAACATTTACTTCTTGATCACTTGTGATGCCGGTATTTTTATTTTATTTTATTTTTTTACCATTGAGCTGCTGCTGAGAAATCAAGTGTTGAGACGAGACCGATTTCAGACATGGATGAGGCAAGATCATGTCAAAATCTTTCAGACAGGTCGGTTGCTATGTCGTGTCTTCTGCAGGCAAGCATGTGAAGCAGCGAAATCGGAACTGTGAGACTAACAATTATATCCTGAGGGAAGAACAGGCGGGGGGATGGGGTCTAGAACACCATCACCTTCCGTCTGATCTTGGACGCTACAGTAGGATGGAACCCAGATCAGACATATGCAATGCTGTCTTGTCTTGTCAAGCTTTTCCTTGGTATGTGCCTTGATGCCGGCTCTGGCGTGAGATCGGAACTAAGGACCACACGGTCGGGGACGCCGAGTCAAGCGATGTCATCTGGGGAGGCCGGGAGGGTGGTGTACTGTATGCCGCCGGACTGGGGAAGGGGGGGGGCCTACAACCGATCACGATAAGAGGTGGAAAGCCGGTCATGATCCTCAACTTGTAGTGGTTGCATTAGGAAGTCTTGGGAGGGAGGCTTATCTCTCTACCAAGAAGTCACCGCAAGGCTGGATTCGGTAGTTGTGGTTTTAAGTCAACCAACCAACAATGGGACGGGATGCCAGGTGCGGGAAGAGGGGGTGCGGGTTCTTATCTCTGTGGCGTGGCCGGGTCGGGTCGGGTTGGGATGGGATGGGATGGGATGGGATGGGATGAAAGGGCTAAGAAAACTGGCTGGGACTAGGTGAGAGAAGAGGGAATGGAGAATATCATGTGATTGGGAGCTTCTGCGGTGCAGCCGGGGAAGGAGGGGTGGGTGGGTGCTGGGCATCGACCAATGTTGTTGAAAACAGACAGGTGCTGTGATGGCTGGGGAGGATGGATGGAGGGGAGAGTTGTTCCATTCCTTCTAGAAGGTTTTGGTGGGCAGTGATGGCGGATTTGGTCTGGCATAGGTGAGAGCATTGATAGAGGAGCACAGCGGTGGTATGCTGTTTTTGTCAAAGCCAGGCTGGCCATTACACTTGAAATCGTTTATTCTACTCCAGAACAAAAATCTTTGAAACCTTATACCTTTACTTTATTTTGATTTTCAAAAGAGGAGATGGAAGTCGAGGGTTGGTGTAAGTGAGATTAAGAAACCGTTTGGTGGGGCTGAAATTACGTACAACAATACCGCCGCCAAGGACGGGAAAGCGGGTATGGGGGGCGCGCGCCTGGTGGAGAAGAGAAAGGAAACATTTCAGTTCCCGGCTGGGGGGATACGGTACGTAATGCCAAGGTTGGCGTCATCGTGGGTTCTAAAATTGATCAGAAAAGAAAGACAAGGTCCCTGTTTTGGCGTGGATGGGAAAGGGGAATGGGATTTCGGAGATTGTCGATGTTGGGGAGATCTGAGACTAAAGATGTGGGTTTGAGAGTTGGAGGAATCTGAACCAGCTGTTGGAGGGGTTCATGACAGTGGTTCGCCGCCCTGCACAGTACTGCCAGTGCCGACGAGGCGAGGATGGCCAACAAACATAGTTTTGTGACATGGGATAAACAGATATAGTATGAGACATAATCGTTGGTTGGTTTTGAGGTCAACAATGTTTCAAATTGTGGACAACACGTGCAGACATGGCACATTCGGCAATAAGGCGCAGTTGGACTTGATCAACCCCTGTCACCCCTCACTCACAGCCTCAACACCACCTCAATGACACCACCCACATCTTAACCAGGCACCGCGTTGCTGCTGCTGCTGTGAGACCCTTCAATTTTCATAAGCCCTCACATCTTACGATAATATCTCACATTGCATACATCACCACACCACCTTGCCAAATATGAGCCTCTTTCAGTATTTCATACCAGACCGGAACAACACACCACTCATAGTAGCTCTCACAGCCTCCATCACCACCATCACTCTCGTCATCCTCGACAAGATCTTATATCCTCCCCTACCTAAACTCCTTCGCTCCCCTCTCAAAACCGTCCTCCCAACCCTCACCAAAGACGAACTCAAAAACCTGGAATACAAACCCGACACCTTCCCCGGCGCCCGTGATGTCGAGACTCCCGTAAGCTCCCCCTTCCTCCCCACCTTCCCTGACCAAAAATACTAACCAACCCCCCTTCCACCCCTTCCCAGTATGGCTCCATCCGCATCTACGAATTCGGCCCCGTCACCGGCCCCAAAGTTCTCTTCATCCACGGCATCTCAACCCCCTGCACAACCCTCTCGAAACTCGCCCTCTCCCTCTCCAACCACCCCTCCCACCCATGCCGGGTAATGCTCTTTGACCTCTTCGGCAGGGGCTTCTCCGACAACCCGGCCGACCTCCCCCACGACGCGAGACTGTACATCTCCCAAATCCTTATCGCCCTGGCCTCTTCTCCCATATCCTGGACCGGAAGCGAAAACGCCTTCAAGCTGGTGGGGTACTCCCTCGGCGGGGGCATCGCCACCCACTTTGCGGTTTCGTTCCCTGATTTGGTGAGGGATCTGGTGCTGCTTGCCCCGGCGGGGATGATTCGGCCCGCATCGTTTGGGACGTTGACGAGAAAGGTTTTCACTAGTGGCGTTGTGCCGAGGGGGTTGCTGCATTTGGCTACGAGGAGGAGGTTGCGGAGGCCGATTCGGTCGAGCACGAAACGGGGGAAGGTGACGGCCAGGTTGCAGGAGCGGCAGGATCCTGCGTCGAGGATGGTGAAGGCGGAGACGGCGGATGATGTTGGGGCTGATGGGGAGCCGAGGACGGGGTTGGAGAGGAGGGTGTTGAGGCAGGTGCAGCAGCAGTTGGTGGTTCACGAGGGGTTTGTGGATGCTTTTATGGGTTGTTTGAAGGATGGGCCGTTGATGGGGCAGGAGGGGGCTTATAAGAGATTGGCTTTGAGGGGGGGGCAAAACATCCATCAACCCCGACCTCTCTCCTCGGGGCACCGA